GTATACTTACTCTTACTTGTCCAATAAATATACCTATTCTTGCTTGTTTAATAAATAGACCGACTTTTGGTAATAGAATACAATAAAACCGACACAATGTGAAGTATCACGAAACTGCATCTCGACGATCTCTTAAAAACACGTATTTTTGTGAAGGTCCGCTTATACAATTTCAGTTACTACGAAATTACTTATTTTTTCACTCTCTAATTGACTCGAATTGACCTAATTTTAACGACAACTTATTTCCTCATTTATCGATTTTAAAGCTAAAAAACAAGTTAAAAATTAATAAAATAATTCTATTTGGGATACAACGACAATCGTGAATTAATTACGATTTCATCTGAAATATTGAAATTAATCAATGCTTTTTTTCTAGTTTCTAAAGAATTATAACAAAGCAAATACAATTTATAAAGAAAATTTTCTATTTTCTTGCTTTCCCAAGGAAATACAAAAATTATAGAAAATAGAAAATTTTTGAAAAACTTAAATTTAAAAATGATTAGAGAGAAATAAATAATCATAAATAACAGACTGAAATAACAGAACAATAATCAATGATTACTGAAAATTGATACTATCAATAAGTATACCGATAATAATTTTATTTAGAAAAAATTTCGTTAAATAATTCTATTTTTTTTAAATTGAAGAGGTATTTTTAAAGAGAGAAGAAAAAGTTGAGAAACGAAAAATATGAGCATTAATTTTTCACAAAAAAAATTCAAATTATTTTTATCGAAAATTTGTAAATTTCGATTTTATGATATGAAAATTTTTAGCAATATAAACTAAGAAAACCGGCTTTTTCAAGAGACCGGATCTTTCACTTCTAAAAGTAACACTGGAGCAGTGCATAATGCACAATGCACATACGCCACACTCATCATCCATCCATCCAAACATACATAAATTTCTCAAATACAATGATGAATGTATTTATTTGTCCGCCAATTATTTCGCATATAATCGATTTAGAATATTTATTTTGTTCTTTTTGATTATGTAAAATTACGAAAAAAACGAAATATTTGTGCCTCGTTGGTTGGCTGAGTTAGTCGATGAGAATCTCCTTCTTCATCTTCTCTTGCTTCACCATTATTGGTTTGGCTATTAGGAGTTGGCTATTAGTCAGCTGATAATACAAGTCAAAGTTAAAATACATTCATCCCAGCATCGTCTAAACCCTTAACCTTTGTTAATTTAGTTTTTCTATAATTCTCTATATTTAATGAAAATTTCTCAGAAAAAATTCTCAGACAATATACAAAAATTTTACGAAAGACTGAAATGACATTTCAATGCATAGATTATTTAAAGAGTTTTAATAAAAAATTATCAAACGATTAATAATTGAATGAATGAAATAAGGAAAATGAAATGAGGCGAAGGCTTAAACTGCTGGAATTACGAATGTTAAAGTGAATTTCATCGGTGATCATGAATATTAAAATAAGGAATAAGATTTGGATATTGAGACGACAATGTTTAAAGATATTTGGACATAATCAATAATGGAAATAAAATGGTAGTGGCAAACCACTTGGAAATGGCTGAGGGTTTCAACACTGAAAAATAGACAACTTATATTTGGCCAATCCTAGCAAAAAGATTCGGAACGATTTATAAATCGAAACGATTTTTACGAAAAGTACGATTTTCAAACGCTATTAGAATAAAGTATTTATGAAGACTAAATCTCGATAATGAATTAAAATTAATTTGATTTCATTAATAAATCAAATTAATATCGAAATTGAGCAAGTTAACGCTTAGATTTTATTATTAAATTAGTCGAAATAGAAAAAAATAATGAATAGGTATAATGAAATATGTAGTCGAGTAGCATGTTTGTGTATAACAGCACTCGCAGATCAGAATAATAAACCTGGAATCTGCGAATTGAGTGGTAATCGATGGTGTTTCACGAATCCCTCACATAGAATCGGCTTTCGCATATAGTTGACGATATTCCAAAGCGTCTTCACGATACGAGAATCTTCACGATACCGTAGCATATAACCCCAAAATAATTAGCTTATTATTCTATTTTCTTATAATTTACTGAAGTATTGTTAAAAACGAATCAGCTATTAGATCATACATTATATAATAAAAATAAAGCAGCGTATATACGGGAAGTACTATTATTATTACTAAGAATATGACGAAAGAGAAATAAGGAGCATTTAAAGAAATTTATTAAATTTTTTTATCAGTTTAGAGGTCATTTAACTTTTTTTTTCATTTTATATAATTATCTGTAACGATTATTTGATATTTCAAGGAAAAAAATGTTTATAGGAGCGAAATGACTGAGTGACACTTTGTGCAAAGCATTATTCAATTGTCGTGGTCCTACCTACTTTACTTTTCATTGAGAAGAGTACCGCTGGAAAACCACGGGCACTTCTATCCCTCTCAGCGGCTCAGTGGCAAAAGCATCTCATCCTTACAGGCAGCGGAAGTTTCGATTTAACTAGAACTGACGAGTGCTAATCACTAATAAACGTATGTACATATTTTAAAGAGAAATGGCTCAATATTTCAACACTTCCCTTTGCTCTTATTTTATGCGAAAAGAGTATACAACAACATTATTGGCAATAAAATCAAAACATCTATGTGTAGCGAGTGAAACAAATACGATTCCGCTGTATGAACCAAGGAAGATTTCTACCTTTTCCAAATAATTCTATAACAAATAGATCAATAAATTTACAATTTAGCGTGTCCTTTGCATCATTTTCTATTCCATTCAATAGCTTTCTTCCAAGCTTTAAAGTTAGTTTTCAAATTTTTCCTGTAAAATAAACCGAATCTGAGAGAACTTTTGAAAAAATTTAGACAAAATGACAATATATTTTTATGAAATTATAGAACTTATTTAAATAAATTTGACTCATAAAAAGTGAAAATTTGAAATATCTAAAAATGAAGAAATTTTAAAGAAAATGCACTCCAAATGAAAATCTGTATGAAATCTATTTATGTATATTTATATATAAAAATAAAAATATATGAAATATTATAAAATTGTCAGTTGTAGGCATTTGACATTTAAGTGCTCATAGGACATAGGCATTCAAGTGAATTAAAAATTCTTTCATTAACAATTATTTTTCTAAAACGATTAATAAAATTACGATTCGGAATTTTTATATTTGTGTCATAAACAAATCATTAAACGAAATGGAATTATTTGAGTTGGAACATTAACTGCGAACTTTATCACGAAGATGAAAAAAGCATTTAACCGGCAGATGTCCTTCGTCCTCTGATAAGGCAGAGAGACCGTTTCTTGTTCGACTGACTCGACGAACTGCAGCGTTCATGTTTTTGCCGAAGAGTCAACTGAAGACAGAAGTACATTTGGGGTTAACAGCCACTCAAATTCCTTTTGTTGCCATTTTAAATGTGCAAATTCACTCAAAAAAGAATAATACATTGTAATGCATTTATTAGATTTTTCAATTCAAAAACTTCAGTTATGTTTTCCTATGAAATGGCCTTTTTTTGATTTTGGCAAATAATAAAGTTGATTACAAATTCCTAATTTAGCAATTTTCTAGAAGGAACAATTATTGCACAATTACTGATGTGGGCCGATAAATAGGCATCAAATAATAGGCATCTGTGTGCTGTATATGGTAACCCTCAAGCATCCACAATCGCAACGACGCCACAGTCACAACGACGCAAATAAATTGTGGAATTTGTGCGACTCATTTACTGTATAAACAAAATTTTTCGTAGGAGTTAAGCATGATTTTTTGCTTTTATACCGTAATCATGTGTAGGGAATATTTGCCGAATTGTTGAATATAGTTATTTTTTCAAAACTATTCATTTGGCCTTGGGTTTTGCATTATTGAAGAGAGCCATTTACCATCGAAAATCTTTCCAAATATGTTTTTTTCCACATGGTCTTTCTGTCTTTCTCAATTCTATCATCTATTTTGGTGGGATTCTGTCAAAAGCCGCAAGCCATGATGAGTTCGATTTCTGTCTCTTGAAAGGAAAAAACTTCTCATTTAGAATGAAACTTAGCTGACGATGGGATGGGAAGCAATTTTCATCCCTATCCCGAGTGAATATCTAATGAAAGGATTGCACCATTGCACCATAGTAGTTAGTGGTAACCAAACCACGAACGACCAGTTTTAATTTTTTCCTACTGAAAATAAAAAAAGCGAAGAAAATGTAAAAACTGACAATTCAGAAAAATTCAAAACATTGTCCAAATGATAAGAAAATATCTTTAAATAATATTTCAATTAATTATTTACAATTTAGGATAAGAGATTGGGCTGGGCCGCAAAACATGAAGTATGCACCGCTGCCGCTAATTCTCCACCTTCATCTCGGACTTTAAATTTTTAGAGAACTGGTTTTCTTTTGTTGAAGAGCGTCGCTGGTTGGGCCGGGTGCGTTGGCTTATTGGACTGGGCGAGTTTTGCCAAGGAATCATTCAGCTATAGGCATGCAAGTTGCCAGGTAATTAAGTAGTTATTTTAGTTATTCATTAGTTTTTTTCAAAAATGAGATGATGAAGCCGAAGTGAATAAAATTTTAATGAATTTTTATTGTTAGTCTTCCGAAAAGTTTGCATTGCATCTAAATTTCGTCTAAATTTTCTCTGTTATATTTCAAGTTCCATCACCAAAAATCAGTGCTATATTCTAAGCGACCGGTCTAGTAAATGCATGCATGTGGGTTATTATTTATGGCATTTACGATAATCGCTTTACTGAGGAAAAAGAAAGCGGTGCGCTCGCTGTGCACTTATTTCTCGACGTTTTGGTGATTTTGGTGAATTAACAGTAATAAGCCAACTGTTTTGCTTCAATTATAGTGCAGAAAGAATTTAAATCTTTTTGAATTGAATTTAAGAATGGCAAACTGAATCTGACCAAACGGCTATTTATTTTACATTTTTCTTTAATTCTCGGATTTTTTCCAGATACTAATTGTTGAATTGTTATATGGAATTAATGTCATCTTTAAGCTTACCTACTATTCGTCGTCGGCGAAATTATGTACAAAAATTTATTGAAAATATTGACTCATTTAATAAAGCAACCGACGAAGTGCTTGAAGAAAAGAAGACTACCGGTGGAATCAGTTAGTTGCTTTTTTTTCCGTTCATTTAAATTCTTTTGCTGAAGACAACTATTTTATGAATTCTTCATGATGATTTTTATCAAAAAATCTGCAGTAAATTACGATTTTAAGATCACGATTTTAAGATCATAGCCAATGTTTTTGCTGAGGGGCGAGCAGTAGGGTTCCGATTTTTCTCGCTTGAAAGGAGTAATCTACCATTAAAATAAAGTCCCTGTGGTCCCGGTGGCAATTTTGACCAGTAATTTGCAATAATTTATTCTCTTTATTCTTGTATTTTAATCTCACGCTACGTTTTTTTTGTATTCTTACCTTTTCTTAAATAAATACCGTTCAAATAGTCGAGAAGTATCCAGATTTTTTTATACGTTAAATTGAAGTAGAGAATATTAAAAATTTCTATGGCAAACAATTCAAAAAAAATTTTTAAACTATTAGAAATCTTAATCTTATAACGAATTACTCAAATTTAGATTTAGATTTCCTAATACTTTTTGTATTTTTTTATATTTGCTTGCAGTTTCTGGAATCAGTTTCATCATTATTGTAATCCTTATTTTCATGCAGTTAAATGCTTATATTTTTGGTGAAGATGATTATAATTACAAATTTTCTATCGACACAAATTTCAGTGAGTAAGTTTTGTTTCTGAATCTTTTATTTTTTTCGCAAAATTTTGTTAATATATTTTGTTAATATATTTAATATATTCCATTCTTTTTTATTTCTTTATTTTCTAGTTCATCATTCATTCTTATTTTGCTCATTATAGTCACCCATATTTGGAATTGGACATGGTTGTCGCAACTAGTTGTTCTAATCTTATAGCTCATTTCTACGGTTCTTTATCTGAACAATTCACTGTTGGACCAACATTAAAAAAGGATCCAACTCGTTTTGATTTTACAGAAAAAGAACTTTATTATTGGGAAGAATTGAAAAAAGTGCATAGACAGATAAGATCAGATAGTGGCACGCATTTTAATCGCCTCGAAAAGGTTTTATTTTTCAATTACTTTATACAATAGTGACTTTTCTTTAAAATTAAGAAATGCGATAAGAAGACAATTTCATTTTAGATGGCATTTGTGAGCCAAGCAGTTGAAGAAGGTTTAAAATCAGAAGCTGACGGTAAATTATTAGATCAGAAACGAAAAAATAAGAAAAAAAAAGCCATTCATCATTTTGAAGAAAACGCAGCTATATTTTTCGTCAGTAACGGCATTAATGTTCTTCATATTGTCGCAAGTTTGTATTTTCTTTATAATTCCGTTCAATTTTGGTTGAAAAATCTAAATTTATCCTTATTTCTTTATTTGAATATAATAAGCAAGGGACAAAACCTTTTATGCTGGCGATCATTAATACAAACTGTAGCAATAACTGTATATCTTTTTTGTTTTTTAATGTCAATTTGTATCAATTTCAGTTCTGAAACTTACAATTAATTAAGGTGGCTCGCAGAATATGGATTCAAAAGCGTGCCGAATTCATGGGCGTGTGCAAGTTAATAAAATTAAAGGCGACAATATAGTTGTTTCATTGGGGAGCGAAATTGGAATCGAGAATTTGTTGGCTCAATTTTCCGGAATACCTTTCGGTATCTGCTCTAATTTATTTTTTTCTAAATATTTTGAAAATAAAATGTAATATAAAAAAAATAATGAAAAATGATGAACAAAAAGATTTTTTTATTCTAGAAGGTAATACATCTCATCGAATTGAACGCCTCAATTTTGGACCGCGTATTTTTGGTGCAATAACCCCGCTTGCAGGCACAGAACAAATTTCTCTCTCAGGTTTTTTACAATATTTCAATATATCTATTAAAGTATCGGCAATGCAATAATTCGTTTGAACTGTTCTTGCAATTCTAACAGTGATTTTGATAATGATAGTAATTATTCTTTTTTAGATCAGAAATAATTTATGGATAATTTATCAGAAAAAAAAATTGAAAAATGTTTCTTCTGTAGAAATAAATATTCTCGAATATATTTAATCGTGATTTTTTAATAGCTTTATAGTCAAAAGTTGAAGAAAATGTTCATAATACTTTGGTTTTTTTGCAGGAAAAGAAGAGTATCATTATTTCTTAAATATTGTGCCTACGAAAATATATCACAATGGTATTTTTGGTGGTCATACTTTAGTATACCAATATTCAGTAACTTTTACGGTATTTTTTCCTCTGTATTTCTTGTATTTTTTATTCAAATCTTTCTAAAAAAATTTTTTTTTAATCTCTATTTTAATGTCGACAAATCGAATTTTCCAGAAGAAAGTTCCCAAAAATACACCAGATTCACATACTCATGCTGGTATTACTATACATTATGATTTTGCTCCCACTGTTATTGAAGTTCGTCGTGTAAGAATGTATGATTTATCATTTATTTTGTTTTCTTTTGGTTTTCAATGATATCAAACTGCAATTATTTCATAAATCAGTTGTTCTTATATTGGTAGTTGCTGCATCGAACAATTAATTTGTTTAATTAAAATATATCTAATTTCCCAAAATTATGTTGCTTTTTATATGATTGTCAGTTTTAACTTTTAAAAAAATGTTGATGAATTTTAAATTTTGTTGTTCAAGGAAAGTTCCTTCTATTGGTAATGATATTTATATCTTTATATCTTTTTATGTTTCATGAATATTTAATTTAAAAATATTTAGGTCCATTTTGCAATTGGTCTTCCGTATTTGTTCTGCAGTTGGCGGAATTTTTGCCACAAGCTCTCTGCTAAATGGATTGATTGTATATATTTGTGATACATACAGAAAATTTATCGTATCTGGAGCCGATTTGCTCAAAACGACTAAGCGTAGGGAAAATTTGATCTTTAGCATGTAAATTTATAAAAATTATTGTCCATGTCATGCTAAAATATTTTTGAGGTGCTGTATTAAAATTTTATTTATTTGTTATTTTGTTTTTTTAATGTTTTTCTTTTCTTTGCTTGAATAACTTAAGAAAATTTGTTTGTTTAATATTAATTTGATTAATTTTTTGTTTTATTTAATATTTTTTCCTTTTTTCCTTATTTCTGGAACAGTGTTATATTTTACAACTTATGATTTGAGAATTCACGGATATTTTGCAGTTGTTCGATATTTATATTTTTGTGACTGTTATCAGTTCTCGCAAATTTCACTTTCACTAAATCTCGTTCGTAAAAATATTTTCGTCAGTCGGGATTCCTTCATTTTAACTTCCTGTTCAAAATTCTTGTTAATTGTTGCTTTAAGATTCTGAAAAATCGTTGATTTGGTGATTTAAATGTTAAGCGATTCGAGTTAAGTCGAAGATATTAGAATATTAAGAAATTTTAAGGGGTTTCAAAAGGATGTGCAATATTTTTTGTGAACTTATTTAGAATTTATTATATCTCTAAATATATGTTATATTCATATATATATATATATATATATTTGGCTAGGGCATTAATATTTGACAATTTATTGGCTATTAAAAAAATTCTAAATTATAGTTCGATTTTTCCACATATAATTCTTTGTACCTTCATTCTTTTTGTTCAGTATTGCCACAAATTGAAAATTGAAGCTGGGAGAATACATAAGTTTTTCAGTTTTTCAGACAAAAATTATCTAAGCTTTCATGCTTGATGTGAATATCCTAGGCTGAATGGTGATCCGATCACTTGATGAGGTTATAATATACAGTATAGCTTGCTGAAATTTCGGAATAAGCTGATGAATGTGGATTGTAAAGATAAAGGGGTGGCCATCTGGAGGCATTCGCTATACATTATTTGTAGAATTTTTTACACAATTCTTCTTAGACATCTGTCCAAGGACTTAGAAATAGAAAATTGGTTGAGCGGTTGGTAATTTAGAGCGCATCTTTTGAAATATTTTGTTGAAAGTGAATTTTCGAAAAACTTTATCTTCGCTTTTGCAGAAGACACGTCTTTGAAATTATAAAGAATTATACGCCTGGCTTATTTCATGATAACATTTTAACAACTTTCTCTGCATACATAAACCAACTCGAGTTCGAACTTCGAAGAAAACAATTTTGTTTAGCTTTGCTTGATTTGCTTCTCCAGTTAAAAAAGAATGCAAATTCTACTTAAAATATTGTGGGAGAGAAATTTTCTTGAAAAAAAAATTATTAAAAATTTAAAAAGCACAAAAATATTTGTGATCTGTTGAATTAATTGGATCAAAAAGCATAAATGAAAAAAATTGTTTTAAAATTACATTTAAACAAACATGGAATGAAATGTTTTTTAATTTATATTTTATTTACAATTTATTTATTTAAAAAATGCGAATAAGTTCATTTCGCTCATTTTTTATTTTATTTTATTTATAAAAAATTTATTTATTATTTACAAAATTTTACAAAATATTTCGCAGAATATTACTTAAAATGAAGGGAATTTGAAAAAAATTCAATGCGCTCTTCAAAAAAAGTGCTTCAAAAATAAGCGAAATGAACTTATTTACGTTTTTTTTTATATTATAAATATTTATTCAAAAAAGATAAAATATTTTCCAGTAAAGATGTTTAATACATTTAATAGATTCCATAATAATGGTTATAGCAAAATCAAAAATTATTAGTTTTATGATTTATACCAACTGTCAGTAAGATTACCATAACCATCATACCAAGCAATATAGCCACATGTTGCTTTACCTGACAAATTAAATAGCCTTATCTCATCGCATCTTGGACCAGCGATTACCGTTGTATTCTCTGCCTTAACCAATTGCACGCAGTGATAAACTTAGTGATAGCGACAAATTAAAAAAATTAATGATTTGCAGTGGTGGAAAAAAATATGAAAAAAATAACATTTAAGAAACCATTAGCTAAAAACATTACAGCAAAGTTTTATTGTTAAAAATATAATGTTAACTTGAAAAGCGTAATCATTTGTCGAACATTCCAAGCCTCCACACCTGCTACCATAATTATCATATCTGCAGTAAATGTTACGAGCGCTTGAAGCACTCATCCAGCGCCCACTCCATGTACATTGATAGTGATCACTTCTGTTTGTGAAAACGTGTAATACTCCATTTATTAGAAATGAATTGAGTTCAGTATCAGATTAATAATTCAATATTATTTTTATAGAACTTTTAGAACGTTTCTATTTTATTTAAAATCGCAGGTCTCTAATTTCGTAGTAATTTTTGTAACTTCTTTTAATGGATGGCAATAATTTTTAGGTGCAAATAGGGCAAAATGACTGAGTGGTGAATTATTTAGACTTTCAATTCAAGTACCATGAAACCGAAAAATTTCATATGTAGGATATGAAATTTCATATGATTCTTTGACTGGAGCAAACTTTGTCATTAAAAATTAAATCTGAATAACGCAAGAGTTCACCCATACTTTTTTTTCCAAATTGCTCTCTAGCCAAGGGTTTCCAAAGTACTCACCAAAGCAGCCAAACTAGAAAAGATGTGTGTTGTTAAAAGAAATATGCATCAGACAGATTTGGAGGCATTTCGAACTAATTTTTATTTTATTTTTTTTGATTTTCATTAAATTTCCATTAAATATCAGATTTTCTATAATATTTTTGGAAACTACTAGCATAGATTCATTGATTAAACTTATAATGAAACTAATGTTCTTAACTAGAAAGCGTTAACCTGCAACAGTATTTCTTGAAAAAATACTTCCATATCAAATTAGTGCATGGTTTTCCAAAACTATCGTCTGGAATGCATATTCCATCAAACCAAGAATCACCGCATCGTCCATTATGAGAACGAATATAATCATATCCAGATGGACAAGAGTCATGACAGAATGGCGCGGTACCATACCACTTACATCCTCCACTTGAAGGCAAAGAATGATAATCAGTGAGTTTAAGCACTGCTTCTCCGGTCATGCCTATTTTTCATTCATCACCAGTACAGGTTAACACTTCATATATGTGCGATAAATCAAAGTAGCAAAAAGTGCGATTTATAAATAGCTTGCTCAGCTATTCACATTCGCATATCAACTTGAGAAATTACTTACCTGAATTATTTATTTATTTATTATAATGAAATCTCTTTTGTGAAACAAACGCTTCATACTTTTTGCACGCGAAAAAATTTGGCTTTCTAGGAATTTTTTATCATAGAAAGGAATGAAGAAAAACCGATTAATCCTTCTATAGCGAGATTCGTTGGCCTCAGCAGTTTTGTCAATAAATTTCGCTTGTTTCTTTCCAATAATCTGCGCGTATTGCGGTAATTTCTCGCAAATTTCCGCTCAGTATATTCTAAAATTCAATGAATTTGGCTTTTCATGAAAATATTAATTGCAGTTAATAAAATAATTATCAGCGCTGTTAATTTAAAATAATTCTTCTGTGGAAAAATTTCCATTTTCACATCCCGAAAAAATGATATAAAAATTTATTTGAAATTTATAGAGACGGATGAGTGAGATCTAATGAAATATTAAATACTGAAGTTAATGGCTTAATTAATGGCTTTTTTGGAAACTCTTACAGGGCGCATGCCATCTTTTATTATCTCTTAATTGATAATAGAACTGATAACTATTTGTTAACTGATAACTGATAACTAGTCGTATATTTGTTGATGAATTGATATATCTATTTTGCGAAAAAAGTTAAATTCTATCATATTTTTACATTTTTATAAATTTTTTTTAAATATACGACTATCAAGTATCATCAAATATTTTTTAAAATTAAAATTAATTACTCTGAATTCGATTTATCATTTGAGAATTATTAATTCTTTTATTTCCATCAACATATGAAATACCAATATGAAATTCCTGAGTTGGTATAATTATTGCAAATATTATTATTGATAACACGATTGGCATTCAGCTGTACTGAACTGAAATAATTTAATTTTTCGCAATAAACACTTTGTTGGGAATATTTTATTGCTAATTCTAATGATCGAATTTTTTATTTAATCATTCAAATATAAAAATTTAATATTCTTAATAATAACTTAATAAAACTTAAAGTTAACAAAAAAATATTCGATTTATGAAAAATTTTTAAAATTAGAGATTTTATTTCAAATATATGAGATAATTTTTAAAAAAAATTTTTAAATATTCTGAAATACACCGCTGAAATTTCTTTCAGTTACAATTAACCCTATCAAAAACTGATAATAATAAAAGGGAATAATAAAAATTATGAATTAAATTATAAAAGAGATAAAAGGCCTAGTGACTGTTCGTAATCAGGTCACATTATTAAGAATCTGAGCGTTTATCATCTCTCGTCACCCAACTGATTAAGGTAAATCTATAAATCTATATTTACGTATTTTACCTTTCTGTATTATTTCAGTGAATATTTCCATTACAATTTTCAAGTTCATTTCATTGTATAGAATGTTAATGTTAGAAAATAATTAATAACATATATCATCAGTATTGCTATTTTCTATTTTTATTTTTTATGCAAAGTTTTTTCAGAGACGCGTGTAATGAAATTGCAAATGCAATGCGACAAAACTTGCTTCTTATCAGTTCCGACCATCTTATATCCGCGATGCAAAAATATGGTACGCTTAGATTTATTCAAACAGTTCGTCGATAAAATTAACTAACAAAATAATTTTTCATATGTACAAAAAAGGATTTTGTGGATATGAAAAAAATATGTCGCAGACAAAATTTAGTATAATATTGGCAGTTTAAATCAGTTTAAATTAGGCAGAGCGTTTTACATATTCACAATAAATTGGAAATAGCACACTAATAATTAAACAAAAATAAATCCATGCACGAATTGGCAATTAATAAAAATATAGAACTTTAAGAAATGAGTGTATTTTATAGAGGGGTCGGTGTAGACTCTTTGGGGTCCGCAGGGTTAATTGGTACCCGACAAGAGTAATTTCAATTACGTTAGCAACCTAAAATTTTCTTAATTTTATATAAAGTTTTTTCTAATAAAATTTCCGTAAAATTTTCACATTTCAGAAAATATATTTGGTTGCCATCTTAAAAAGTTTTTTAATTAATTTGATATAATATGCAAAAATTTAGGAAATAGCATAAAAATCCCAAGGAGATCGGTGAGAAAAAATTTTTTTATGCAAGAGGTTAATGCAAGAAAAAGGTTGAGAGCGCCTACTTCATACATGCCAAGAAATTCATGTACATTCATATTCACAAATTTGCAAAGCAAAGAATGTCATCTAGAAAATGTTGAGCATGAATGATAATGTTTATTGTAATATATGTCATAGATGTGACGCAAATCTTCGCCACGATTAGAATGTGTAAATCTTGGTGATGAATGCTCGTCAGCTGTTCCGCTATCCCCATAAACTGATTCCGGATGAAGCACTTTCGTCGGTGGACTGAGAATTGCAGGATGTGGCAATGAATTGTATATACCAGCTTGATAAACATATTGTTCGAATGGGATTACATCTGGCATCCATTGCATGCTTTCATCTTTATCTGCCACAACTGATTCTATAAACAATAATTCAGAAAAAAACTTTCAGAATACATGACAGATAGCTTAGAGCATTGCCAAGTGATATACTCGAAGATAAATTATAAGTACTATGGACCTTAATTTATTTCGACATTTCATCACCCAATAGATATTGAAGATTAGGAATAATATATGAAATTTAAGGATGGAGTTTCGGAAAAAAATCAAATTATTAAAAAGGTCTAAAAAATAAAAATAACCAAATTGTGTGGTCGAAGATAAAAGTGGAGTTTGACAAGGCTGTTTTGAAGGTTCTTTTGGACTTATTGGCTCATTTGCTACCCATAGGACATTGTTGCTGTACCGATTATTTCTCTTAAGATTCATTCAATACAGTTTCGTACAGTAAAATGAATGTATAAAATAATTCTATTATAGAAAGTGCGAAAGATTTCTCAAAGTAAATGTAAAAGAAATTTTCATGGTAAATGAAAAAGCTTCATAATTGAAAAATAAATCAAACTCGATGGGCAAAGTAATTGACACATAGAAATATATGAATAGTAATAAAGACAAGAAGAAGGTTGATAGAAATTTCGAGCAGCATGTGTCGTCCAGCACCACTGTATAAGTTATAAAAGCCAAGAAGATTGTATAAAACGCACAGCAGTGTCTAAAGGCATTTAAGCAAGATTAAAATATGGAACGCGGACAAATGCCTAAGACTGTTGCATTATTAGTGATGAATAAAAAATTGCAAATTTCAGGAAATTTCTAAGAGATTTCTATTTACACATCATCTAACCGTGCTTGCCGGCTCCAATGAATATTAGGCCACGGACATTTGAAATAGAGTCATTTGAAGATTTGAAAACTCAGATGGGTTTCCAGAGTCACTTGGGAGCATGATTGGCTAATGGAATAAATCTTACCAACGAAGAATGAAGTAAAAGAGTTTTAAGCATATAGCGCTTAGTGGTTGGCAGATTAAAATCACCATTATATGATATTATAAAGGCTGTTGCGCATGAATAAAAATCCAACTGAAAAAGCATGGTAAAAATGACCGGAAATAAAAGATTGAAATTGAATCAAACATCTAATTTATCACTTTTTCAAATCTATTTTAAATCTTTCGCAAATATTTTTACTTATTATTATTAATTTCAAAAATATTTCGAAGAATTAGAAAATATCAAAAAGAAAAAAATATTTTCACAAATGTCACAATTATGCTAAATGTTTTACCGAAATAATGCTTGAAGCATAATAATACAAAAATATTTAAAAAATATGCAAAAAATTAAAATTTCGAAAAATGTTTACCAAAACAAATAACGCAACGGGTATAATTAAAGCCCATAGCAGCCAGTCATTTAATTTTATGGTACAATATGGAAATAAAAAAAATATTATTAACGATAAAAAAAGCGGAATAATAAAACCAACAATCGAGAAAATTGTTGCACTGCAATAGAGTAATTTTAAAAATTCCAAGAGAAAAGCAAAAAAAAATTAGGCGAGAATTAATACGAAATGATTAACAAACGACTATGCTTTGAAGGTATTTAACAAAAACTTTTAATCTGATGGCACTTGACGGCAGATAATGATAAATTCGGTAAGTTTAGTAACTCAGTGAATTTCCTATCATTTTGAGGAAAACATCCAAAAAATGTAATACTATTTGTTAAATTTATAATGGAAAAAGTAGTAAATATCTAAAAAAAAAGACGGAAAAATGGAAGAATAGTAAGAAATATTATAAAAATACTTTGAGAACGTGTGGCCTTCTATAAAAAAACGAGATAAACTGAATGCATAGAGAAAATTCCAAGCAAATAAAATGCTTGAACAAAAGCTAATTATCGCATTACGTACCGGACAAAATTCCTGTAAAATTGGAACATTGCATGCAAATTTTTATTTTTTGATATTCAAGCAGAAATAATTGCAGCTAACAATATTTTTAATTTTCACAAAAACCACAATTATTTGACGGCAGAGAGTGATTTAAGTTTAATAACTTACCAAATTATGTCGAACTCGTTGTAGAAATAAAATTACAATCGCGTCTAAGAGAAATGAAACCATAAAGGCAGAATGAATTATTTTAAAATTTATTCTACGGTATAGTACTGATATTATCGAAATAACTAATAAAAATAGTGCGAAGGCTACTGATAACGATCCAGCATATGGAATAGTATCAGAGTTCATAAAATGTAACTGAAATGTGAAAAAAAAATTACTCAAATGAAACCTTTTACAAAATAATTTTAATAAATTATATGACTGAATTGATTAATATGTTTAGTTATTGTTTTTTAAACGATTGCGATCTTTTGTTAAAGGATATAGTTAATTTATTAAATTTATCTTATCAGTAATTTTAATTAAATGAAGTTATTGGTATAAAAATGACAAACCAATGCGCCATGATCAGGAGTTGTGAAAACGCTAAAAATGCCAGAATTATGATAACCACACACGACATGCGTGCGATTCAATCCGAGTAACTTCGAATCATCAGACGACCATATAAAATCATTGAATAATAAAATATTCTCTGCATATTTTCCTTGGATTTCTTTAAAGCTCTTTGCATTGCTATTACTATGGGTAATATTTTCGTTAGGAAATAAAAGTTGAACACATTCAGGAATTTTCCACCCACTTTCTTCGATGAATGGGAATTGCATTTCAGTTTCACAGTTGCCGCCACCAATAAATATCGAAACAATAATCGTCTTACAATATTGACAATCATGGAACATAGCCATGCTATAAAACAGCATTTTCGTTTTTCCATTTAATGATGGACAAATTACATTAATTGCTGATTGAAGGAATAAATCATTTCGCCGATTATCCACGAAGTTGTCAAATTTTGGTAAAGAATATTGATGCGAATCACCAACAGTATCTATCACAAAGACTAAAATCCTTTAAATTATTGTAATTTGATAGTTTAAAAAAATTTGAAATTTAAAATTTAAAAAAATTTCTTAGAATCGAGGAAGCCTTTATCATTTATCGAGAGCTTGAATGAACTGAAAAGTTTGTTAGCTTGACCACTTATTAAAAAAGATTATAATTATAATTATCATTATTATTATAATGGTTGAGGAAAATAACAAATGTATAACATTAATTTTTTTTTAAATGTTAGTTATCAAAATCATTCACCAAGATTATCAGCAGAAAAAAAAAATGGTTCCAAAAATGAATTTTCACTATGAATTCGCAGTAAATGTTTTCCATAATCAAAAAGTAAACTGATAACATCAATCGAATTGATATTCGACGAAAGGATATTATTAGCTGCTTCGAGAATATTTTCGGTAAAATATGACATTCTAAAATAAAATTTCAATTCATTCTTTAAGAGAAAATTCTGGAAATGAACAACTTAAAGAACAAATGGAAATGCTCCCTAAAGCATGTAATTACTTGGAAATAAAAATGAGAACTTAATGAGACCTTAAATGCTCGCTTTCATTGGCCCTCTTTCTTTGCTCATTCATGATTGCCTTTTTCAGTGCTTTTAAAGCTAATTCACTATTAATCCCATGCAATGAGCTACGCATATTTGTCGCATTCCGTAGAATGACTGAAGTGATAAGATCATCTTCAACATTTGAGAGCTATAAAAAAAATTTTTATTTGAAGTAGTTTGAAATTAGAAAATTAATTTTCAAAAAAAAGCATGCATGAGAATAACGAAAAAAAATTTTTTAGAATTTTTTCCATCGAAGAGATATTACCTTCTTAAATAATGGCGACGTACAATTGAATATACTAGCCTTATGCCAAATTCCGTCTAAGCCACATTTCCTGGTTGCTATACCAGTCTCACCATTAGCACAGTTCTGCAAAAGAAATGCGGCTTCTAGAAAATATCTAAATACTAAAGCGGATTGTTGAATTTGCCTTCTAAGATTATTGACCAAGAATAATTTAACAAAAAATATATTTTATTGCATATTTAATACTTGTTTCGCAAGAACTCCTCGAATAGTTGTTGGCCACTGAATACCATTTTCTATATTGGATGGACATCGATTGTTTATAATCCTGCATGTTAGAGATTTTGGATCAAGCAATTCATGAGGATTGGGACATCGGTCACATCTGCGCCCTGTCGCACTGCCGATGCAAGGACACTGGCCAACTGCTGAACAAAACTGATGCAGTGAACCATAGCCGCATTCACACGGAACACAACGACCATTTTTTATGAAAAAACCAATCTAAAACAAAAAAATTTTTTAATATAACATAACATTCAAAGTATATAAGTAAGTGATCGGAATAATATTTATTTTTTGCCTCATTTACCTTACACCTGCATTTTCCTGTTTCTTTATCACATTGTTCAACGAATCCTTTATTATGATCACAATCACATAACTTGCACTCTGGAAATCGCCCATACCAGCCAGTCGGACATATCTGCATCAATTCACGTTCACAGTTGCTTCCCGTTGTTCCCCTGCGACATTTGCACTCATATCCTAGAAACCGTTAGGTTTGGAATTAAAGATAATGCAAGGACAGAACTACAAGCTTTTCTTTCTAGTTCTTTTTTTTTACTTTCCATCGACTTTTAGATTAATATACCGTGCGAATTATTCGTTCTTCGACAAATTCCACTGTTACATATTTCTGGCAAATTGCAAACATCTATACATCCGTCACCAACATAACCTGAATTTTATGAAGACTGAAGGGCATTTCATGAAACTATTTTTTTGGAAGAAAATCGTTTGATATGGCTTCTGAAAGTCATGAAAAGGCAAGAAGATGAATTAAAAAGATAAGGAATACAAAATATATGTACCAAAAAAACATTCACAGTTGTATCGATCCCAGTCAGGTATACATCGACTATTCGTTGGACAAGCAGCTAGTTGGCTGCATAAATTTTCCATCTAAATTTTAATTCTTTCTTCCATAAAATATTTCAAATTAAACGATTCGAGATGTTAATGACGAGATTTTTAGACAAAAAAAAGTAACTTAAAACATTTCTCAACTTGAATCATTGAATTAATAGCTGAAAAATACAAAAAACATACATGGCATCCAGGCTTGGTTCTCGAAAGATCCGCAATCTTCAAAGCTTTATTATTCATCTCAACATTTCTAATGCATCCTCTGAAAGGCCGAGAAATGTTCGACATTGGTGCTGATCCCGTGAAAATTTTGCGCACTTCAACGTATAGATATTCATCATATAAAGAAAAATGCTGAAAAACAAAAAAATCTTAATTAACATCAAATGAAGTCAAAAAACAATAAATTCTAAATAAATAATTTTTCTAGTACTTATAAAAATATTTATAGTCCATTTATTCGTTAATATTCGACAACCTTTTTGTAAAGATAGTCAATTAGAACGGTGATTGTTTGACCAAAAATTCCAACTGAGATCGCTTTATAATCGCCGTCAGCCAAATATGGATAGGCGATCATATAATTTTCTTCGCCAACACTCAACATTCCATAACCTTGCGCCAACTAAAAATTTGGGTGTTACGAAAAAACAAGGGACAATTATTAGTGGAATGGAACTGATATGGTATATTAATAATTTAATAAATTTATTAAAATATAAAAACGACTTACTGAAAATATAATTTTTTGTGTTGGTGATGCAAAATCAACGTTTATTACGTTTATTTCACGTGAACGTGTCCGAAATTCGAACGAAACGTTATGAAATGATTCTCCTTTTCGAATTTTCCAGATCGAATACGAGTCTTGTTCATTAAATAATAATGGTGTTTGAGGAGATTCGCCTTCAAAAAACCCTTATTTATGGTGGAATAGCAAAAGAATAATAAAAGGAAAATGGACAGTCAGAATGATCATTTTATTTTCATATACGAGTCTAAACGAGATGAAAAGAGGAAAAGCGATATTACCAGTTTCACAAGGTCCATGTTGATGAAGCCGATGTGGACAACGGCAATTGTGACCGTCCCATTTCACAATGCATTTAGAAGTGTTATCACATGGATTCTTCTCGCATTCATTTCTCATTTGGTGACAGCCGGCAATCACATTTCCACGTTTCTCCATTCTGTCGAGTTCGGAGAAATGATAAAGCACACCGTCAAATGTTAAATTCGCTATACAACCAGTATAACCATCTTTCACCAATTCGGTAGCTGATTCGTCATCAATGCCATTAACGAAGTTGTTCCGAAGTGAGCGCTGTGGTCTCCCACCAAGATAAATAGGTGAGGCGATATCAAGGAAACGATGGCAGTTTACTGCTAAATCACCACATCTGTAAAGTGATTTTGAATTCATGCTTTGTCAAATAGTGCTGCTGGCAATATTGTTGTGATTACGCATACACACGGCAATATTGGTCCTCAAACTTACTATAAGAATAATTTAAAATTATTAATTGATGGGGAATAGTCGAAGTATTACTCAAATATCTGAAGGCTTACAACATGCTCGCTGATTCCGATTGAAATCCTAATTCTCTTTTTATAATTTTAAAAACCAACTTGGAAGGAAACATTGCTTTAATTTCAAATGCACATGGTCGATAACTTGATTTATTGCCTAGTTTTTTAAAAATGTATAAATCACAATTATCCAGCGATATGCGAAGAGTCTGAAAAAAAAACTACAAATACTGTTATCATTACTTTCATTTTTTTTTTAATATTTTTAGTATTTGTTTCGCTATTTTTTCTCGATTATTTGCACTTTTGTTTAAAAATTTTTTTTGTGATAAAATTAAAATATCTATCACTCTACAAAAGAATTACCAAATCTTAAGAAGACAAAATTTCTAGAAATGTGCAAAAAGAAAAATCAAATGATTAGATAAAAAGCCAGAATAACTAACTTTATCAAAAAAATCCACATCTAGATGGTGCCATTTTCCATCGCTCACTTTATTTTCAGGCCATTCTTTCATTTTTCCCTATAATTAATGTGAACGTCGTCAAATCATTATTAAATTTACTTCGAAATTTAAAAGTTTTGATATCTCAAATATAAAACCTCAAATATTTTATCACCGAGCGAGAACCGTGCACGGATAAAGCCATTTTCCAACGAGATTTCCACGAAATCCGATTTAATTTTACCAGCGAATAGAAGAATTCCAAATTGGTTTATAGTAGCAATACTAAAAAAAATTATTGCTGGACAAAAAAACATTTTGGGCATTTGATTTAAATTTTAGGTTTCAAAACGCGAAGTCGAGAACGAATGAACGCTTTTGGCCAAAATAAAGTGTTATGTATGATCCCATTTATCCTTTCAATCCTAATTTCTTCTAAAGGTTGATAACTATTGTCCTCAATGCTTCATCATTTTCTCAGGAAAAAAACTATTTTGTTGCATATACTAACAGTCTAATTGCAAATAGCTAAAGATTACTCCTCACTTTACTCTAAAATTCCATGAGATTCTTCCAATGGACAATGGAATCGCCAAATATCCATTGCCATTGAAGGATATCGAACGCAGACGACAACGATCATCTGAATCATGTATTCTCCAAGGGCATTTGAGGCAACGTGGTTTCCGATTCGCTATTGAACATATAGAATTCGAAAAACAGGAGTTCGATAAACAGTTGTCCACGAAGATTGATTCTTCACAATTCGAACCTAAAATTGGTAAATCGAGAGCTATTATAATAATTTAATAACTATATTCACAGTTCATTTAGCTCATTTCAAGAATGGTCGCTCGACACTTTAAGAATGTTAAAATGTGTTAATATATTATGTCTTAATATGTTAAAATGTTTTCAACCAAAAAAGGCTTCTTCCATGAAAAAATTCTTATAATATTTTGGACAACAAATGCCACTGTTTTCTTTTATTTTTAAGGTTAATAATTTATGAAATAGGCAAATTTATTCATCAGATGACATTATTTCGAGAAATTACAATTATGCTTATCGAATTAATTAAATCCAAAGCTATCATGCACCACTTTTTCGTATAATCCCCCCTCTCTTATTCATTATATCCGTTCGCTTATTTTAATTTTTCGATTTCTATGCCACATTAGTCAATTATTCATATAACCCAGTTAGCTGATGATTTTTCGCATAATTTCGTGTTAATACAAATATCAGCCGAATTTTACGCTTGACTCAGGGGAAAATTAATTATTTATGCTCAATTCATTGAAAATTTTTTAAAATAAAATCGACGATGAATATTGTTGATGATGTGGTGGCAACTGGGAATAAATGAAAAATGATCACTTGTAACTCCGACTCGGTCATCATAGTGGACGTTTAATCTTATTATTTGATATGTTCACAAAATTGTCTTATTAAGTTTATCAAAAGAAATTGAAAAAATTATATTTGGACTCGTCCACTGCTATTATTAGAAATTCCGTAGAAAAGTATAAGGAAGACACAATTTACCAATTTATTTTCCAGGAGAAATACTAAAGAAAAATTTAGGACTACAATTAATTCAATATCAGATCTTCTAGCTACTTGTGTTTTATTTTATTACTGCTTTTTTATTTTGAAAAAAACCTGTCCATCCATCTGTGCATTCGCAATGATAGCGATTTTCAAGTGAAACACATTTTCCATCATGCTCGCAAGGCGATGAAAAGCACTGATCAATTTGCAAATCACATGAGCCTTGGATATCATCAGAACCTTAATGAATAGGCCAGAACTTAATTTATATAAAATAAAGTTTATATGGCCCATAGTAACGGCAAAAATTACATTATCTAAATAAATGATGATAGATTGACTTACAAAACTATTACCTCAGCTTCTATCGAAATCTAATAAAGTCCTATGATTACATGAAACTGTCAAAAAATACGTTGACTTGGTAAAATTTTTCCATGGAATCAATAAACTTACTAAAGAATCCTTTCGGACATTCACAAATTAGCGTAGGCACTGTAACAAGTGACCGAAAAACAAAGTTATCAGTACGATGAACCTAAAATCAAGGAATATATTTCGAACCTCCAAAATTTTTTAATCGTTATTTCGTTGAAATCCAAAAAAAAATTATCAAATCCTTCATAAAAGGAAATTTTAATTGGTCCTATTAATTTTTGTAAATAAATATGATTAAGAATTTAGTTTTTTCGCATTGATATTTTTCGATTTACTTGTTGCGCTTTAATATATTTCTGGGTTTGTCGACATCGTTGATAATATCCACATGGCTCACCAAAACAAATGTCATCTTCAGCTAAATCCATTTTTAATCCACTAATCTCGCTTAAGCGTGACTTCCCGTTCGAAAAAAGTTCTCGAACACGAAACGATCTAATGAAATTTAGTTGATATTATCAAAAATCTGATAATATTTGATGTTATTTTTAAAATTTTAGCTTTCGTCTCGATCAAATACATTTGCTTTTCACTTCAGGATGGGAAAAAAATGCTTAATTAGGTTAACTTTTGCTTAACGGTAATGACATTCAAATGTTGAATCTAACTATATATTTCTTGAAATATTGACTAAATTCGATCATTCAAACAACTGTAATGATTGCTGAGCAAAAATTATAAAAACGTTGCTGAATAAATTTTTTAAGATCCTAAATTTTTTGGTTAAAATTTAAAATTTTTTCGTGGACCCTTGGGTTTTTCGATCCAAAAGTTTTTTTCATTTAACCATTAGATATGACAAACATAACTGCTTTATGGCTAAATTTTTACTAATAATTCATAATAAAATGAGTCTATCGACCCAAAACCAATTCGCTATTATTTGCACCGTCATTCATCAATTTTTTATTGGAAAATTCTTTGTTTCTGATGATAGTCATTTGAATCTAAATGCTAGTCGAATTCAGAATTTACGATTTCCGATGAATTTCATTTTCATTTCATTTTAGGAATTATTTTTATAAAAAGAAGGAAATCATTTGCATAGGAAGAAATCATTTTCTTTTCTCTTCTCTTAAGAAAATTCATTCACGGAATTTCATGTAAATTTAATTGGAATATATAGAAGTTACTCGAAATATAATTAAGTTTATTTATATTTATAATTATCGCTCTTAGCTTTGTTTCTTTAAGAATTGAAAGAATCGTAGAACGGCAATAAATTTTGATGAATTACATATAATTATGAGAAACAAACCTATTAATACGGAAACAAATTTATGTTTTATTTTTGAAAAAATATGCTTAATTTTAATTTTGTTTAAAGGACAAATATTTCCAAAATTGTATTATTTCCATAATTATTTTTCCATAATTATTAAATGCAATTGCTATTTAGCGAATTTGTGATATGAAAGCCATTATGACTTCATTTTGCTCATAAATTGTACATAAAATATTCGGTGTAAATAAGATTAATATATTAAAATATTATATATTTTATTATTAAAATATTAGAATATTGATATTATTATTAGAATATTATATTTATTAGAATAAAAATTTAGAAAAATTTTAATAAAATTCTTAATAATAATAACAATAATAATAATAATAATAATAATAATAATAATAATAATAATAATAATAATAATAATAGAATAACCTTTCTATCTTTCCATTATGTAACACATAAAATGTTACATTGGTGTTGAATCCTTTAGATTGCATGTTAAATACTCGTATATCTCTAGGTCGCCACTGTTCCAGTAATGATACAGCTGAAATGAATCGTTGAAATATGGCATAGTCGAGCAATTCATCGTGTCTTAAGTCGTAGAGGTTTACGGTGACAGATTCGAGAAGAGCATTTTCATCGACAGGCACATAGATAAAATGGCACTTAGCACATACCACGTTAGGTCCATCTAAATACAGTTTTTGACGAAAATTTTTCAAGAAAAATGAGTTTTCAGTTAATTTTCGTTATTTTGATCATAAATATGGAATCATCTAGAAGTAATAAAATGACAACGGCAAAATACTTAATTTTCATTAAAATTAACAATTCTAGTGAAAATTTTGAGTCATTTTGGCAAATAAATTCAAAAAAGAAACCAGAAACACATGTTGTATATTCGCTATCAATATGACGATTCCAAACGTTCATTAAACGCATTTCTCCAGAAATTTTGTCGATAGAAATGATTTCATTGGTTTCCATGTAATATTCAAGTGTCGCATTATAATCAGGATCACTAAAAACTTATGAAATTACAGTAGATATTATTTATTTGCCAAATAAATGGGAAGAGACGGATTGATTATGAGATATTTGAATCGTATGACATTTCGACTGCGGCCAAATATCATCGCTTGAATTCTTTCACTCGACGAGGCTACAATTACCGCCATTAGGAATAAAATCCATGCCATATTTCCGTCCTCAAATAATTCTTCGAAATGGTCTCATTCAAGTGGTCGATGGAGTTGGCATGGTAAGTGCTATTAGAATTATAGCAAAGCGAGATGAAAATAAAAATAATTTCAAAGTTGCACTCACAACGCAGGCACTTGTCCGATAACTGGATTGAATTCCTCATCACGGTAATGTGCTACAAGAGTGATAAAATCTCTTAACTGTGGTCGATTATCGTTGATATCGCTTACATGAACAAAAACAGGCACAGTCGAACTCAACTGCCCACTGCAAAGATTTGGAAGGATCAGAGAAATTTTTAATCGAAAAAATTCTTCTTTTAATGAATTATATCGTTCTACGAAATTTGCATACTTGAGGGCTAACAGTGCTAACAATCTTTTCGACTTGATCTTATGCCTTTACAATTTGAATAAAACGCATTTAAACCTTAAACAAACCTGCTGGCTTGAATTTCAAAAAAAAATTCGTTTTTTCTAGCTTCATAATCGAATTCTATTCTCGATATAAGATGAACAATTCCATTTTTTGAGAATTCCTAGAATATTGCCTTTTATGAGTTTACCATCTGATGCGTAAAAGCGTTTTGTAAAGCATAAAAAGTGAAATTATACTTTTATCATTAAATGAAGAAAAATAAACGAACTGTTTCGATATCAAAAAATTTTGCATCTGCACTAAATATTTTGAATTGAATTATAGAATTTTCTGCTTCATCAATATCGCTGGCTACAAGTGTTCCAATTTTCGTGCCAACTGGAGAATTTTCTGCTATCCAGAAATCATATTTTGGCAGTTCAAATTGAGGTGCATTGTCATTAACATCAACTAACACAATAAAAATTGTAGATTTCGAATAAAGCGGTGGATTTCCACGATCTTCTGCTTTTACTGTCAATACATATCTAAGAAATACTCTTGATCACTCAAAATTCTTCAAATTATAGAAAAGATATATTTTGAATAAAAAAATCACTTGTCTATTTTTTCACGATCGAGTTTTTTATCAACTCTAATGACACCCGAGGATCGGTCCACTATGAAAGCATCTGGTTTGGGATAATCATTTTCTTCCAGATAGTAACTGATGAGAGCATTTTCACCGATGTCTGCATCACTCGCAAAAACTTGAATAAAAGAAGTTCCTATAGGTATATCCTCTGGGATCCAAACTGTATAGTTGTCAGATGAAAAGACGGGTGCGTTATCGTTCACTGTAAGAATTGTTCAGTTCAGACTAAGCGAAATTTGTAATTTTCTTCAGGATGAAATTATAGCTAATGCCAGGAAATAAATAAAAGAATAACCTCTTATTTATTATACTATATGAACTGGTTAAAACTGATATTTTTGAAGATTAGAAAATGATTCACGCAATATTTATGCGTTTCATAGAAATCGATGACTCTCTGGCGTTAATTAAAATTAAACTGGAAGATATGGTTATAAAATGTGGTTATAAAAATTATGCTGAGAAATACAAATTCTGAACATACCATCATCAACAATGATTTCAATAATTGCAGTGGAACTTAATGGTGCACTAGCTTGATCTCGAACTGTTATATTCAATATGTAGGTATCATTGAGCTCGCGATTTAATTCGTTTGCGACCGTAATTGCACCGGTCGTTTCGTTGATTATGAAACTCGTGGAGTCTGAAGTTTTTTTGAGAGAAGTGTAACTCAATTATCAATAAAAAGAAATTTCCATTTATTTTCAAATCGTTAAAACAAAATAATAGCAATAAAAAGTACCAATAAAATATTGCAATTTCGCATTGTTTCCTCTATCATCATCATTGGCCTTCATACGATACACTTCATAGCCAATTGCAGCGTTTTCAGCCACATGTATAGTAAAAGGGAATCTATGAAAATATGGAGGACTATTGACATCCTCGACATTGATAAAGACAGTGCAAAAGCCTTTCAGTCCACCTTGATCTGTTGCTGAGATCACAACTCGGAGCGAATGATCCGTGCTGCGAAATTCACCAGACAATGAAAGTATTGCTCCCTAAAATAAATTAATGTCTAATGAAATTTTTAAAATACCAGAGCTAAAAAATGAACAAGAAAAAAAAGATTTATTGCATCTTAGTTCACTCTCGAAATTTTTAATTTAAGGCAACAATTGCTGGTGATATTATGAAATTCTGTGAATAATTTGTAAAAAAACCTCCACGCCGAGATCAGTCAAAACAAATATGCTTCGATCGGCGCTATCGATCCGATAAACGATATGTTGGTCTTTGTCGTTATCAAAAGCCTTAACGCTAGCGAGCTGTGTTCCTCTTGGAGCAATTTCCGACACTGTGATATTAAGGAAATCTTGTTTGAAGTAAGGAGCATTATCATTAATGTCACGAATATTGATTGTAACAACAATGAAATCGCTAAGCGGTGAACTTCCGCAGTCTTCAGCTCGAATCTAAAAATTAAGGTAAAGAATTTGAATGCCAATCTAAATGATGATTGCAAACCATCTAAAAAAATTGAAAAAATTTTTTTTATTGAAATAAAACTATTGAATAAGAATATGAAGAAATTAACCGTTAAGCTTAAGTTCAAATAAATTTGGATTTAAATAAAATTATTTAATTTAATTAAATTTAATTTAATTATTTAGACAGAATCTAATTCACCTTCAGTTCGTATTTATCGCATCGCTCATGATCAAGTTGATTTTTAATTCGAATACTTCCCTTTACTTCATCAATTTCGAAATCTGTTGGTGAATTTGTTTCCAAGAAGTACCGTACCATTCCATTTTGGCCAGCGTCTTCATCAATAGCAAGCACTCGACTAAGTTCTCGACCAACTGGTGCATTTTCATCAACAAAAATTTGTTGATTCCAAGCAACAAATCGAGGTTTCTATAGTTTGAATAATTTCTTGTTAAAATATTTTGAATTTTAGCTAAATTTTTAATAGGTGTAAGTCTTTTCTAAAGAACTATAGCAGTTGAAAGATAATTTTTTTTGAGTTCATTTCCATGAAACCCCACATGTTTCAAATTTACCAACAATATGGAAAGTTGCACTGATACGTACATGGTCATTGACATCGATTACATGGATTTCGCATGAAACAGTTGAAGATTTCGCTGGTTGCGCTGAATCTTTAGCACGAATAACTAAAAAAACAGGGCTAATTCTAGAATCGATATGTCCTTGAAGTACAACGATACCAGTTTCATAATCCACCGAAAAATCGCCAGAACTCGATTCGACAATACTGTAGTGAACTTGGCCTTAAATCAATGATAAGTTGTTCTTGGATCGGGCCAATTTCAATACACAAGTGATTTAAAAATGTGATATTTATACTGAAGCATGTAGTTATAACTTGCAAAGGGAAAAAATTAATTAGAATAACAATAAGTTTTTATTCAGTCCATCTATCGTCGAAATTTCCAATTAGTTTTCTGGTGATAAAAAATTCTAGTCTTTAAACTTTTTCATGGATATTGGATAATTAATTTTTAAAAAAAGCTAACCATTTAAACTCATATCTTCATCAATTGCTTTAACCTGCAGTATTACAGCTGGTACCGTAATATTTTCCATTATTGATATATTATATAATTCCTGTAAATAAATTAACTCAGGTACCAAGGATATATATATTTGAAAAAATAGGTCGATTAATTTGAGGAAATTATCTACTAAAGAAACCATAGAAATAAATGGTAAGACGAAATCGGCTAAAATTATACACCTGCTAAAATAAGTAAAATTACGATTGATTAGTTTGATTCACGAAAATAAATTAACAAGCCTGTTCGAATTTGGGATAATTGTCATTGACATCAAGAACGACGATTTCTACAAGAGCGCTAGAGCTCATTGGTGGTACACCCTTATCTGTTGCAATAGCAGAAAATCGGATTATATCACATTTTTCGCGGTCTAATAGAGCCGCTGTTTGAATAACACCAGTATGTAGATTGATATGGAATAAGTCCGAACCAACTGCTTCAGATAAGGAATACTCAACCTGACCATTCTTACCATCATCTGCGTCACGAGCAAAGACTGACACGACCGTCGTTCCAATCTGAAATCTTGAGAGAAAATAAGATTTTCAAATTCATCTAGGACTGACAATAATTCCACATTTGAGAGAGATTCTGAATTTCCGGAATATCATTTGCTACAATGAGTTCTTATAACCCATAGAATATTACTGAAGAAAACAACCATCCTATATTCAAAATTAATCGTTAGCCAAATACTTCGACCAGTTTTAGAGTTTAACAAACTCTCAAGTCTTTGATATTTTTTTTTCCAATATTCCGGACTTCGGTATGTTTAAAATTAAGAAATGAATAAAAAGCAACAAACTGGAACGTCTTCTTTGATCTCAGCATAATATGACGTTCGTTCGAAAATGGGAGCATTGTCTTGAACATCGACAACATCGATGACGACCGTAGTACTCGATGATACACTTGGATCCAATCGCTCATAGGCCGTCACTTTTAACGTATGTTTCGGTAATATCTCGCGATCAAGGGATTTGCCCAAACTTCAAAGAAATTTAAAACATGAAAGAAATTTTTATTATCTTCCACTGACAAAATTTCTGGTGATAAAATGCCTTTGATAAATAGAAGAAAACTTCTGATAATAATGATTTTAATGCTTCCGATTGTTTTTAACGTGAATATTTTTTCATAAATTTAGCAAGAAAAGTTTTGAATGAAGTGATGGGATAAATTTATCATTGAGATAGAAGTTTAATATCTTGGAAAGATAAAACTTAAGTAGTATAAAACTTAGATATTTGCGAAATATTTTTAAAATTTAAATATTTATCTTAACATAAAAAATATTAAAGCTATTACACATTCCACAAAAAAAATCAAATATTCATAATTGTAACTGAGCAGAAATAAATATAATAATGCATATAATTTATTCTTATTTAACATATTTTTGATAAGAATTAGTAAATCGATGGAAATATCAGCAAAGATATTAAAATTATCAGTAAAGATATTTTAAGTTAAATTAAAGATAAACTAAATTAAATTAAAAATATTAAATTAAAAATATTACTATATTTAATTAATTCCCCAAAGAAGATGAAAATATGCAAAAAATATATAATTTTCTTCCAGAATATAAACTCAATTCTATTAAATTATTAATAAATTAATAAGTTAATGCAGCAAATATCAAATTATTGAATATCTAATAATAATATCGAATAATATAATTTAATAATAATATTGAACAAAATTAATTTAATTTATCATATTATTAATTTAATAAGTCGGCAAGATTATTTTGAAAAATACGATCAAATTCATTATGCAAATTTTTGATGCGCATGTGTTTGAGGCAAAATTTAGGCGAAAAGAGCTTGCAAGAAACGGCTAACTAATTAAATGAATATTAATTAAATAATTAAATGTTAATATCAAAATACAACAAATTAAATCTAGAAGAGTTTTCAAACAAGAACAACAAGATTTGGATTCTGGCTCTGGCCTATCATTAAAAATTAGTGTGGTTTGGGAGTCCACCTATATTTCTATCCTTTATTGTCTCCCTGGCAAGAATTTCTCATTCTTCAGAGAATGCTAACCACTTATTCATATATATAAATATCGCTTTGACAACCTTTGAAAACGAATATCGTATAAGGAAACCAAAATGAGAACAGTTCCTAAAGCAATTGCCAATTAACTACTCGCTTGATTATATAAAAATTGCTAAAAAAAATTTCGTTCGTTACCCTTGCATATTAATTTTGTTGATTATTTCGAGCGAGTTTTCAACGAGAAAAATGGAATTTTGCAAAATCATATTGCAAAATATAAAGTAAAATTTTGAAATAATTCATAGCTTAAAATAACGCACCGAATTTCACCCGTAATTGTATTCAACATGAAAACGTTAATCGACCGAGAATCTTCAGGTGCAATCATCGAATAGAACAACGAGCGATTATTTATGTGTGTCGCTTGTACGATAAGAAGAAGACTGTTAATTGCCATGTCTTCAGGTAATTCGATAAAATAACGTTCTTGTTGGAAATGAATTTTTGTTATCGACGTAGTTCGTCGGATTAGCCATCGTTTTGATCGCCTTGCATTTGAATACCTCGGATGTGCAACATAAAACTGTCCATGTCTTATCGGATGATCACTTGAACAACTATATTGATAATTGATAAGCAAGTTGTATGAATAAAAGCATATTCGCCTCTTCACGAATACTATATTTCTATCAAAGGAGATATCTTCAGAATTCAAATTTTCCGGAGACGTACATTTAGTTGTATTCCACAAGAGCAAGGCTTGTCCAGGATGGAAACATGGAGAATTTGAAAACAATAACCATATTGTAATATTGTCGATTGGTGTTGAGCATGGATTACATGAATAATCACTTACAACTGGCAAACGGTTAATGATTTTTTGTGATGCAATACGAAGAAATTTTTCGCAAATCAGGCCAAAAAACAAATAAATGAAAAAGGTGGAAGGGGATCGGTGAAGAATCATGTGGACAACATGAAGATTACAAAGCAATGATGACCAAAATGGAAATATATAAGGCGGAGTCTGGACAAGTAATTAATGGACAACGACTTGTATTCCGTATTGATTAATAGGGAAACTAGGCTTTTTACCTATTCGAATTAATTATAAGGTAGATATTAATTGCATGTCAATCAATTAAATTACCAGTGGACAATTGATGAAAGTCATGAAACGCTGAACAGATAGGTCAAAATTGATAATTCTAATGGATAATTTTCTAATTCATTTAAAACTAATTTTCGAATTTTTTCAAAGTCTCAGCAAAGTAAAAATCGCAATCACGGCACTAACTCGATGTCAATATTTTTCAGTAGAATTAGTTTTATTAGAATTAGAATTAGAATTCTGCAATCATAAGAACACCAATAACAATTGGCTCATAGTCGACCTTTTTCATGGGCCAAACAGGTATATTTTCATAAAACGAAGAATGCTCCTAAGAAAACTTCAAAAAAACCAAAAATTGCAACTGGATGACATATTTAAGTGGGATTTATATAATATTTATGAAAATTCTTTCGTTCGGAATGCAGACAATATTCAAAGAATTGCTACGATATCAAATGACATAGAATTTGACAAAATTTCAAACATAATATGGAATTGAATAATAAATTGGAGATTTTATGATTGAAATTGATTCTAACAATCTAAGTTATTTCGCTTTAATTTGATTGAAAATTATAAAAATTTTCATAATTTATATTCTCGGGAAATTTATTTTTCCTGGGCAATTTAGGCAATTCTTTCCAAGGGTTTAAAAGGTATTTTCTTATTTTTTAGCCAATCATATTAGCAAATTAAACGGACAAATCCATTTACAGAACGGATATGATTAAATCTTTCAGTAAGAAAAATTCCTATTTTACTATGTCAAAATTATATAAAAAGCATTTGATGAATTTCATAAGTTTATAGAAATTCCAGCGGTGAATAGATGAGTAATATTTTAACAAAAATTAGATATTAGATTTGTATTAGATTTATATTAGATTTATCAGTAGATGGACCAAAAAAATTTTTTTATTTTATGATTTTATACAATTGCGGTACAAAACGATATCGATGTTCCGATTCCCGCTCTCTCAGTAAGAAAATCCTTATTTTATTATTATTATTTTATATGTTAAAATTATTAAAAAAAAGCATTGGATAGCACTGTGCGGTATTGGTAATTTAAGTGCACCCCAAATGATTCCCATTCGCATGAATAAAAACATGGGGAAATTTTTTCTGATTTGATGACCAGAAATGTTGACTCTTAGAAAAAAACGGATCTCCAAATGTTAATTGAACTATCGTGGATTGGAAATAATTATTTCTTTTACAGATAAATGAACCATATTTAAAATTATCTTTTATCTTTTTCGAAAAAATGTTGGTTTTCCCTTTTTTAAAGATATTTTTCAGAAGAGATTGCTGCTAAAGTAATCCATAAATTCCAACAATATTTTTTGAGCATCGAACAGAATCTAATAAAAAATTATCAGAACGAGAAGTTTCCCATTAACTTCAAAATTATTCAGAAATTCAATAAATTAGAAAATTAGAAAAATATTAAAATGGAAAAAAATGAAGATTCATCTAGCAATCGTTCTCAAATGGGAAAAAGCAATAGCAATTATCTTAAAATTTCGTTTTACGAAATCAAACAAAAAAAGTAATTATTGTGAAAATATGCAATTTTTTTCGTTATGAAATGAATATAATAATAAAAATTGAAAAATTTGTATTCAAAAATTCAGAAAAATTGATAATTAGCTCTTTAAAATTTAAGTTTTTTGTAGTCTTAAAATTGCAAAAGATCTATTATATAACGCTTGAATGCTACAAATAGTGGGCATTAATTAATTAAGTTATTCAGCTCACCGTTACGTGTTTCATCGACTTTGCTACCTACTATTCAATTAATAGAACAACACTGTGGAGGATAATGGAACGAGACGGTGTTTCGGAGAAGATCATCGACTCATAAATTCCAGTAATATTTTTTAAGTATCGAACAGAAAAGCATTTTATTAGCAGGAAAAACGACAGACTTCTTCGAAATAAGAACTGCTGGCTGTCAAGGCTCTTTTCCACTGCAGTATTGAACTGTGCGATAGACTGGATAATGGACAACGCTTATCGGCACTCAAGAGATGCACAAATCAGTCCAGAGCATAGTCTAACAAATTGTGAATAAGCTGAGGTAATCTTCTTGACAATTATGATGAAATGCAAATAATATTAAACAATGCATCAGTAACTGCAGAAAGAATTGGACTCGGGGTCAATGTATACAAAACGAAAGCCTTTTCGTCTTATGTGCAAGAAGCTGATAAAATACCTCTTTTTATAAACTCATTGCCGATTGAAAAAGTGCCCGATTTTAAATACCTTGGATAGGCTCTAATACTGCCATGCAAAAAACGAAATTACCACTTGAATAACGGCCATTAGAATGCGTTCTTTCGACCGACGAAGTCTTTACGGAGTCATCACGAAATCACCATAAAGACGAAAGTCGGCGTCTATATAGCCGTGATTCTTTCGATCTTGCTATTTGGCTGCGAGATAAAGCCAATTAGAGTGGAGGATATTAAGAAATTATTTACCTATCATTTCTAAGGTACATTTTACGGATTCGCTGAGTGGATAAAATTTCGTATGGACGCATTCACTTTCGTTCAAATACCACTTGAATTAACAGTACCATCACATTGCATCGTCTTCGCTGGTTACAGTGCGTTCTCAGTCATCCATCACAAGAGTTGATCCCATATTTTGCTACCGAACCCTATGATGGTTGGGGCCAAAAGTGAGGAAGACCAATTGAAATTTGGATTGATACGGTCAGAAAAGATTGGGCCAGCAATATATGAATTTAGATAGTGGAAAAAGAAATGGCTTCTATTACCTCCAGCATCAGACCGCGCCACTTGGAAACGTTTTACCCTTCTAACCAGTGGAGCCAACTTAACCAGCTGTTAGAAAAGGAACTGTTTTTCAATTAAGTACCATTCATATGCTTCTCTGCTAAAATATCTCATTGTAATAACAATCGGTAAAGCCAACTTGAAGCTGACTGTTAATTGTTTAGTCAAACTTTCTAAGCGCTTCCGCTTTTGGTTGTAGAAGTTTACCTATAAGAATGTTTGAAAAAATTTTCTATTTTCAACATCATTTATTTTGTAAAACTAATATAATTTTTCCGACAATTCGATATAAATGTGAATCACTACTGAATGAGTTACTTTAATCGAGTGATAGCCATAGTTTGAATAAAACTACTTCAATCGAGTTATAGTTGTAAATGAGTGAATTACTTTCGTCGTTTAAGGATTTACAGTGAAAAATTATATTCAACTGGCCCTTTCTCATTGTTCTAATTTTTCTCCTAACCAAGTGTGCCAAATGCCGAACAATTTACAAATATTTATTTTCACAATTTATGCAATACAAAATGATAGGACAATACTTGTTGCAGTTGGATTTCACTCTAAAACCTCAACGTAGCGTTAAACTAAATTTTGCGCGTGGTTTAGTAAAGTTTAAACCATTCTTCATTTTTGTCGCCGTGCCAAATGCTGCTTGAAGATAAATGGACTTCGCCGCATCCACACAGCCCATCATGAAACCTTTTCTCTTGCCATAGGCCGTAGCCGCGTCCTAGGCTTGGTGCAGCAGTAATATTTTTATATTTTGCCAAAATAATTCCCTCGTTCCGTTTTCATTTTTCAAATAATAATTCCTCTGTAAATGGCTGTTTAATTACGACTAAATGACTAACATTCAACTAAAAGAAATCCCAAAATAGCCATTTATCAAAATTATACAAATTTATATATACATTCAAAGTTAATATAAAAATAAACAACGGGAAAACGATAATAATAATCGAAACATGCAAAATACAATAAATATTTAGCAATTTCAGCAAAATAGTTTCTCGATGAAAACCTTTTTCTTTCAGTTGTTCAAGCAAATTCTAAATAATTTATAATAATTTAACATCAAATTTCATCGTTCGAAAACAATACGCTGAAAGCAATAAAGCTGGAGAGATGCGAATTACTGCCGACATTAACAATTTCAATTGAGAACAGATTGCCGTTAAAGTGGTCGTTGTTAATCGGCTTGATTGCCAATAAATTATTCAAATATCAATACAAAGCAAATACAAGTAAGTGCTTTGATTAAAATCCATTTATTTAGATCTTACCATCTGTTCCCTTTAAAATATTCATTTAAAACAATAAAAATGAAAATAAAAATAAAAAAAAAAATATTTAATTAAAACTGATAAAAATTTATTCATAATCCATGCTAAATTATTGCCAGGCAATTTATGAAATGATCACTTGATCTATCACTTAACCAAATTAAATGGGAATCATATTTGATAACTGATAAAAAATAAGGCGAATTGACGCTGAATGATAAATAATTACATCAAAAAAGGAAAATAAAAATATATACAAAATTTCTAAAACATTTGAGCTGATGCGTAAAAGATATTTCAGATCAAAGAATAAGTAAGAAATAAGAAGATGAATCGACGGGATAAATTTGCGAAAAATGACAGACAAAAATGAATGAATAACCAGTAATAAGCATAATTAGCGTGAAATGATGCCTTACGAAAGATGAAATGGGAGAAAGCAGCGAACTTGTTAAGGAAACAAGAAAAGTTGTGTAATAAGTCATTGGAATCCCCCGGGAAAGACTTTTACCGCTTGCAATTTAAATCTCTCTTTCCCATCTTCCAACTTGAAACTGTGATTACCTATTGAAATGCGAAGGGCAAAAACAATTCGTTAGAAATTTACAGACTTTACAGACTTTTTCCAATTTACACCCTTTTAATTTACCTGCCATCTAAAGCCAATAACTTGTATTGCTAATTTATTGAGCAAAAGAATAAGAAATAAATAAGGAAGACAAAACATGCTTGTATATAACGAATGCCTTACAGAGGAGAATTCCCCAGAAAAAAATCATTCGCATAGAGGAAAACGAAGCACCAAACATCACTTTTATAAAAATTTAAAAAATGGCAGCAAAAAAGAATATAATAAAATTTGAAATAAAACACAGATGACAAGAAAATTCTAATTTTAAAGATTTAATTTTTTTAAAGATTTAAAATTTTTTAAAGATTTATATTCAAACATTGAAGTTTAAATAATATAAAACTAATAAAAATATTTAGCAAATAAAATAACAAATTAAAAATTTAAATGCAAATCTATAAAAATTGCGTATAAGGCTTATTATTTGAAGATTTTTTTATAAATTATTTGAAAGACTGATTTGTTAAAAATATTCAAATAAGGCAATTTTAATGGAAATTATTAATTGTAGAAATGAAAAACAGGTTAAATTTGAATGTAAAAAGAATAATTAGTCGCTAAATTGTTTTAAAAAATTATATTCAACGAAAAATTATATTTTGATGTGACAAAATCGACACTTGGATTATGATTTGATATGCTTAATTTTATAGAACAGCTCTGCCAAATCTTATTAATATTTCCTAATCGAATAGCCACTGCACTGGATTCATATCTTTTCTCACCGCTCAACAAATCCCTCAATCCAAGAATTATCCGATATGCTACGTCCTAATGAACTAATGAAGATCGAATGAACGAGTGCACCTATTCAAGTTCCTTTATTTAACTTAGGGCTAGGGCTATTTTGCTCTTTTACCCGCAAGACAAAAGTCATTTTAATCAATTCACAAAATCAATTACTTCTAGACGAATAATTTTCCTTAGTTGACACAATTATCCTTATAGTGATTGCCATTTTGTCAATATCCAATTATTTCCAATTTTCGCTAAAATTAATGAGACTAATTTTCACACGAGCCAAGTCATATTAATTACGTATATATTGCACATCTTATGCTCTTCATTTGAAGTTGTAAATTCAGATGATAGAAAGGAAATGGGGGAAGGCTCTAGCTATTCCATTTCATTCGAAACTCAAAAATTTTGAAATTTTTCGAAAAAATTTTGGAAAATTCTAAAGACGATAAAAAATATCGCTCCTTAAAAATTTTTTGCCCTCCGAACAACCAATTTCACGCAATTATATTGCTTGATTAATTGTATTGCAGTTGCATGTGTCATTTCTTTCGTGCTTCGACCATTTATTTCCATTAACTGATCACCGATTCTTAATCGGCCATCTCTAGCTGCGGGCCCGTCTTCAGCAATTCGTAAAACAAATAATGGCATAGCGCCGAATTCTTGACCACCACGAATGGAAAAACCAAAACCTTTCGGACCGCGATCTAATTCAACCGGTATTAGAGAGCCCTGAAGAAAGTTCATTTTTTATGAATGGCTGCAAAAATAATCTAAAATTTATTAAACGTGATTACAGGACCAGGAAAATTTTCACGCTTGATTAAATTTTTGTGATACAAATGTTATAATTACTCCCGAAAATTAGCATCACACAGAAAAATTTTCATAATAAATTAATATAAAATTAAGGAATAGGTAAGAAAAACGATTAGACCATTGGTATACATTAAATTTTATTTAAATAAACTTCTAATCTTCTCGCTAAAATCTTTTCCTATTAGGTACAAAAAAAGAAAATAAATAGTGCAAATTGTGCAGAAAGAGAAAAAAATTAGTGGAAAGAAGTTACTAGAAGTTATCAGAAGAACATTCGCTCTAATCATATCATATCGAATATCATCGCCACGATTTTTAATTTTCATTAAAAAAACTTATAAATAAAACTTTTCGGTGCAAATCAACAAAAATTGAACACGATTAAATGAGCAATAATTATCTAATTGCTCAAATATAACAAAAAAAATGTGCAAATTGAGAAAAGGAAAAAAATTTGAAAAAAAGATGAGTTGCGTAGGGTCTGAGTTATTGCCATAAGATATTCTTTTATTTACAAACCATGGAATGATGATAGAATTTGGTAGCGACGACGATGACGACGATGATGAATTCGCTGATGAAATATTTATTGCATCAAAGTCACTATTCTCCGAATAACCATCAATAAATAACAATGAAGACTCACGCAGTAATAAATTTAATGATTCATAGCTCGTCCGCTACAAACAACAACACGTTTCACGTGAAAAAACACACGTACTTCACAAAAAATTAGTTAATATTTCAAGGCAAATTATAGGTCAATTTTAAGACAAAACTTATTCAATCAAAAGATTTCAACATGAAGAAATAGGTGACTGTGATGTGTACTTCATTTAATATTTCAGTATTAAAAGAAAATCCATAAAATATTGGAGAAGTTAAAAATGAAAGACCAGAAAATTTCCACATTTCTCAAATTACAATTTGCATATATTATAAGATATCAGATAATTTTAATAAACTAGGTCTTTCCTTTTCCTTATTAATTAATATTCAATAAGCAACATGTGAACGAAAAGGCCGAACGGAACATTAACAATGCTGCTGTAATAACAAATAGAATATATCAACTGCTACAATTCACCGCCTTTCATCCTACAATCCAGCTATTTTCCAATTTTTCACAAAATTTTTTATGAATATTTAAATCAGTACATAGGACATGTGAAACTAAAAAACTGTGCATGTGACAATCAATAAATATAATACAACCATTTAAGTGAACTCAACTGATACTTATTTACATGATAAGGCCTATTTTTAAAGAATCATCCAAAAATTGAATGACCAAAAAGAGAATTGTTTTTTTTTTTCAAATTGACAAAGCTCCGAACGAATAAATAGATCGACCAAACAAGCAAGGAATGAGCGAATTGTGACAGATAAATTTTATTTTATTAAACGTTATCACAATTCTTTTCCCTTATTTCAAATTGTTATGTTAAAAAAATTAATACTAAGAAGGAAGTGCAATTTTTTTCTATTCCTATCCAAAAGCCCAGTTTCATCTACTAAACTGAATTTTGAAATAATTTTGAAATAAGTACATAAGATACCTTTAATTTTTTTAAAACTTTTTTTCGTCTAAAAATAGTTTTTTTCCAATTTTAAAAAATCTCTCAAACTATATATTTATATAAAATATCTTTTTAATCCTTTCTCTTTTATCTTTACATTCTTACTGCTATCTTCACATAACGCCGTTTTTTTAATTAAAGAAGTTAAATTGATTACATAAAATTAAAGCATTAAAATGTGACTGACCATGTCAGGCTGAGAAGGCATATTGTTTTTAACCATATTTCGATCTAAACTTCGGTAAGGTATATCATGTGATTGTTGGTTGCATGAAGCTGATGGTGGCTTCTCATGATTAATTTGATCGATTTCTGAGAGATACGGCGCACTTCCATGCATCTGTGGACATTGAATTCCTAAGGTAAATTAATTTAATACAATAATAATTTAATTTTTACTACCCACAATTTAACTGGGGCAAAAAATTTTAAAAAAGTAAAAACAAACCTTTAATTTTTAAAATTTAAATAGCATTTGAAAATGAAAATGCTGAACTAAGGAAATTTGTAGAAAAAGAAGAAAAAAGCCAAAACATATATATAAAAACATATATACCATTATATTGCTCTCGAAAATTTGTGCTAGGTGCAATAGTAAGCCGAACCGACAGCCCAGAATCTCTTATAAGATCAACGATTTCATTATGGGGCAAGTTCATGATATCGATTCCATTTACTGCCATTACTCTATCACCAATCATTAATTGCCCACATCGAGCTGCTGCGGATCCTTCTATTATTTTTCCTAAAATAAAAAATTTTAAAGTTATTACAATTTATTAATTAAAACTAGTTAAAATTAATTTGATTTTAAATTAAATTAGTAAATTAATTTAATTTAATGAGCTGCCTTATTAATTTTTAACGAATAATGCAGCATAAATAAATTCGATCTAAAACCAATAAACAATTCGAAAAAATCTTTGACTGCAATAAAACAATAATTGCGAAACAAAATATCAAACCTACCAATGGTACTGCCAATTCTGTTGGCTGAAGAGATAATAACAAAACCAAATCCGTCAGTTTCATTACGATGAAGTACAACGTCATAGGTTGTAAGAAGAGTATTAACATCAGAAGAAAATGCTGATCTACGACATTCTAAATTTCTTTTCGTAGTGAAAAATAAAACCAGCTCTCAATCAACGCATAATAATCTATTAAATATAATTTTCAGCTCGAGGAAGAAAAATATTTCACTGGAAAATAACTGCAAATAACCTTTAGGACGTCGTACAACGAGCTTTACATGGCCATTAGCAGCTGCTTTTTGAGTCAATTGTACAGCAGTATTATGACTTTCACCTAAAACGTTCTTCCCATCTATTTCTACAATTTCATCGCCAGGACGCAAACGCCCATCATCTGCTGCAGCTCCACCGGGTACAACTTGCCCAATCGTTATCATTGTTCCTTCCTTTAAAATAATTATAATAGTTTACAATTAAATGGATCCAACTGAAAAAATTTTTTTGCAAATAAATTTTTTAAAATTTCTTCTTTTTTAAAACTAATTCCGAATTCCAACCTCTGATCCACCAACAATTCTAAACCCAAAACCATTCGGTTTTCTTATTAAATTCACCGTAACAGTTTCGGAAGAATCGTTATATACTGGATTTATCGGTACGTAATTGGGTGTTGCAAAACCCAAACTTGTTGAAGAAGGTCGTAAATGAGAAAGATTTTCGTATGTATCATTAATAATATGTTTTTCATACTGCTGGAAAAAAAGATTAAAAAATGCGGATGTGATACGAATATATCAATAAATGAATAAATAAAAAAAACTGAATTGAATTTTAATTTTAAGAGTTAAAAAAGATTAATAAAATAAAGTACCCGAGGTAGAGTATTTCGGGGATTACTGTGAGATCCAGCTGTGCCATTTGTTAAAAAAAGATTGTTAGATGAAAACGGAGGCGATGATATACTTTGGGAAAATGTTTTGTTTGGACGTGTTGGTTGTGGTGCAGGTGTCCTTGAACGAGGCATTACGGAAGGAACGGGAGTTGATCGTTGTTCACCATAACGAAATCCTGCGGTTGGAGTTCGTGAACTGAAAAAAAAAATTTTGCATGATTAAACTATCAAAATTCCGAAGCGAATTTCAAAGAAAAGCTTATTCATTTCAAAAAACTTGATAAAAACAAAATATAAAAATTTAGTATTTGTATTTTTAAAAATTTACCGATGGTTAGGAGAATTTCGACGAACGAGTAAATGAGCCCAGAATCCAACCGGACAATCGCGTAGAATAGAAACCAACTGATGGTGAGGCATTCCTCGAAAATCAATGATCTGTTCTTGAATATCGGTAGATGTAGGTGATCCATTTGGATAAGACGTCCGAATTTGCAGCAATGTATCTCCCTCCAGCAAATTTTCACACCTTTCCGGATATAAAATCTTCTTCACTCTTTGGCCTTGCAAACTCTCGAAAATCGTAAAACCAAAGCCGTCTTCTCCCTTTAAAAAATAATTTGTACTAAAAACGAATATCGAATCAATAAAAAATGATGATGGCTTTACTGCCGATATTTAAAAGAAAAAAATCCAATGATGCAAGTTTCTGACGATAATCCTAAATTCAAATCAAATTCAAATAACTCAAATATTACTATTTTTACTTTAAAAAAAAAAAACCTTTCTGATGAGAATTTCGCGTTCATCTTGAAATTTTGTATATGCGTTTTCAAGAACAATCTAAAACAAAACAAATCGCCAAAAATAAGAACTTTAAAAGGTTGCACCTGCACAAAATAAATAAACCATCATGAACCTTTCAACTTCAATCGATTCTGTGAAACAATGTTGGTATATGTTAATTGCGGCAAGAATAGCACAAGAAAATAATTTAACATTGCCCTATTATTGAAAACAATCCATAGAAGCAGTGCTTTATTTCAAAAAAAAAAATAATTGGTAAAGATAGTAATAATATACAAAAAAGCAACAAACGACTTTAAATTAAAAATGGTACCTTATTGCAAGGATCAATAAATAACTGATATCCCCGACACACTCTTAGGCTAACCATTTCACCAACATTAATCGACTGGAATATTCGACAAGCATGTGACTGAGTCGCACCAAGAACGCATTCATTATTAACAAAGACCAGTACATCACCTGGACGAAGGACACCATCACGATGTGCAGGACCGCCGGGAATCACATTTTTAATCTGAAAATTATAAATGCAACACTATTTATAATAGACTATTGTTCATTCACATATTTGCTTGCCACTTAATAATTTGGCAAACAATTTGAATTGAACAATTTGAAAGAGATAAAATCAAGAGATATTAACCTGAAGAAATTCCTCATAAAGTGAACTACCATCGTTACCAATTAACGTGAAACCAAGTCCTTTTACACCTTTCACTATTCTTGTTGTTAAAATTTCACCCCGAAGTTGAGATGGATCTCTGCAAAAAATTAATTCTGCGAATATCTGCCAAAATCAATAAACTAAACCAGCCTTAAAATTAGCAGTAAAGATAAAAGATAATGAAAAAAGCATATCTGAAAAAAACTGCAAATCTGTAATATAATGAGTTGTTCACTTTAAAGTAAAAAAAATATTAAAAGCTAACCTTGTAAACATATTAGAAGATGACTGTAAATACGAGGAAGGCATATTATTATCACTATTTACTCGAATGCTTCTGTTATTCTTATCATTATCATATTCTCCTGTTGATAACGCTGAAGAAGCGTTTTTCCAATCGATGCCATTACTTCTCGTATTATTATTAGATGGGCGTTCGTACTGTGTACGTTTATTAATATGACTGCAAATTAAAATAATCATTTATATGGCTAAAATGAGAAAATAAAAAAATTTTAAATTAATTATTTATAATGTATCGTTTTTTTTGGTCTAAACCAATAAATATGCAAATTTAACTAATTCAACGCACAACTGTTGGTCCCTATTTGATGAATTTTGCCGATTAAGCTTTTTAATTTTAAATAAAAACAACGAAAAATCGATAGAATAGCAATTTTTTGAAAAAATTTTTTTTTGGAAGAATTTAAAGTAAAAAAAATAAGATGAATAAGCGTATTGGGAATTTCGAGATATATAAATATATATATATTAGATATATAAATATAATTCTATAAAAACTTATTCAATCTAATTTTTTCAAAAATTCAATCATCCAAAATAATCAAAGATATTTGTTCAAATAATCGTTATAACGTTGAAAGTTGCAAACTTCTCTCTAATTTATGCCTCTCGATTGCAAATAATTTTAAATTTTTCAGCAAAAACTAGTAAATAGATTCAAAAATCTATGAAATCAGCGCAATAATTCTTTCCTATCAAATGTTCATAAAATCCAACAAATTGCATATTTTTTCTAAGATATTTAATAATAATTACAATAATAATAATAAAGATAATAACGATAATAAAAGAATTCTCTTATTTATTGAATTTTATTAACCGAAAATTCGTCATTATTAAAACCTAATTAAAAATTTTGCAAAAAAATGGTAACAATTGGAAATGATGACTACTCGTTTCAACGACTTTTCGATGAAACAGCGAACTAATAATTTGAAACTCACAATCGAGAGAAATCAGTGGATAATTAAGAAACGACAACTAAAAAAAACCTGAAAAAGACGATTTGTTCGAGAAGATCACACATTTGAACGTAAAAAGATTTTAGAAATAATATTATAGAGAATAAAAAAATGAAAAAAGGAAGGGATTATAAAAAAGATTAATATTCCTTTTGTAATTCCTTTTTATTTTATTAAATTCCTTTTGTAATTAAAGAAGTAACAAGTAGGAAGAATAAGGACCAACTAACGACAATCAATACTATTTTGCTTTTTCGCTTCATTTTTCTTCTTCATTCAACATTATTTCGCATGTAAATTTTATTATTATCAATTATCATCTCATTCCTTTTAACTGATTTTCCCAGCAGAAAAAACGTTATTTAGAAGCAAATTAACTGCTGGAAAATATACGAAATCTACGAAAGTCAATAAATGTTTCTAACACAAAAAAGAAATTAGCCATCAATTAACGGAATATCTATGTTAACTTTGCAAACTTCAATTTTTAATTAAATATTTTCTCTTTTTTCGGATGAATTCTTTCAAATTGAGGTCAGCAAAGGTGGAAGGAATTGATTAGTTAAGGTTATTTAATTAAAATATGGACAAAAAAATCGACGAAAATCGAATAAAAGAAATAAGACGAAATATGTATAAAAGGAAAACTCTGGATTAAAGGCATTAAGAGGATTAAAAAATGATGAACGAAGAGAATTTAAAAAAAGAATTTGTACAGACAAATTAATTTTCACTGATTGACTTAATTGAAAATTTCATCACAAACAACGACAGACGATGCAAATTAAATGAACTACTTCGAAGAGTAAAAAATTATTTCGGCAATTCGTATTTCCATCCATAAATGACTTCTTGACAAAAGAACTTCGAAAAAAAGAAATATTAAAAATAAAATAAAAATAAAAGGAACTTACTCAACATAAAAAGTTCCATAAACTTTATCTTCAACTTTTTCCCATCCTTCCGGCAAATCTCGCGGATCTTCCCATTGAGTTGTACCTGTATTATGACTGAAAATTTCGTTTATTTATTAAATGCACTGAATAAATAAATAAAGAAAAGTAAAGAAAAAATGAAAAATCTGCTAAAAAGACCTGGCTAATTTAAAATGAGTATCAAATTTCAATAATAAATCGCATAAAATTAAATTGCTTCAGGAAAAACCGAATTGATACAAAAAATTTTCAAGGAAAACACGAAAACTTCCTTTCGAAAAAATTTCCTTTTTTTCCTTTCGATATATATAATTTATATAATTTACATAATAAATGAATAAGAAATAATCGAAATTCCAAATAAAAATAAATACAAACTCAATAAAATATTTTTCTCCTTGTTCCGAGTAGGCAATTTCCCAATTTGCTGGCAACGGTCCTTTGACATCAGTTGACATTATTAAATTTTCCGCCCTTCAATCAAACATATTATTGTGAATCTAAAATAAATTATACTAAATTAATTTATAAAAAATGAAGGAAAAAAATTTTATAAGAACGATAAAAACATATATCAAAATAAAGCAAAAATACAAAACGAAAAAGAAACAAAATGAAGGAAAAATATCGACAAAAATTCCCACAATTTTCCTCTCCCAAAATAAATTATCTAAAAATGATTGATAAGTTAGACAATTGTTTAATTCAAGGATTTCATTTTTTTCGGTCATCAATTATACACGAAAGTCAAAGAGGATAAGAAAAAATGAACATATTTCCTGAAAATGTTACAATCAAAACTTTTTTCGCCATATAATCGCAAATTATTAAATGGTACCAATCGTACCAATCAATCTTTTGAAATAATTTTCTACTTTTTTCAGTTAATCATCTTTTACAATCCCTTAACATTCTCAAGTCGTTTAACACCTCTAAAACCACGTAGCGCATTTCTCAAACGGAATCCCCCTCTAAACTCAACAAATTCCAATATATTCATTCAATACTTACCAGTTTTCAATATATTTCGAATTTTTCAGTACCACAAAAATAATAAAATTTTGTAAATGAACTAATAAAAATGCGATAAAATCCATTTGACGTATCATTATACGAAATCAAAAATATTTTAAGGTCAAAAATCTTGTTGAAAACAAGATTACAGGAAAAGATAACAAATTGAAACTGAAATAAGAAAGAAATAAAGAAATGTTTGCCAAGATGTCTCCTCGATGAATAACACTGCCAATTTATTATAAACTATTTGATAATCGATGATAAAAAAAATTATAAAATGAAATTTGCATTTAAAAGATGAAACCACAGAGAGGAATGGGGGGGGGGGGGGGGGGGAATTAAAATTGGGTAGAACGTATCGGATATTCCATGAAAAAAAGCAGTTATATAGAAAAAGAACGAAATTAAAACTGATCTCAAAAAAATAATTTTGAAATTTGAGGTGGAAAGAAAATGTGAAATATTCTTTCAAAATTATTTTTATTTACATTATTTAAAAAATTATTTTTCAAAAAATTATTATTTTTTATTTTAAGAAATGATAACGAAATGAAAAATACAAAAAAACAAAAAAACCTCGGAGTAAAATTAGACCAAAATCAAATCTTCAGCTTCAAAAATTTTAGATTATAGTGGAAAAAGTGAAAGTTCCAAAAAAATATAATACAATAAAAATTGTAATAACTTATATTATCAGTAACATAATGATAACAAGTAAAAAAAATTGCTAGTAAATAAATTAAGATTGACGAAATGAAAATGGCAAGGGAACTAACAACGAAATAATTGCTTTTACCGAAATATCGAAAGGATTTTGGATTTTCCTCAATTTTCCCAAAGTGGCTCGAAGAGAATATCCGGCACGGTGATGCAGAATACCCTAAGGAAATAACCTAAAAAATAATAAAAGAAGTACCGAAACTCTCTCAAAACGATAGCCAATTACGAATGAAAAATATCTTTTGCATTCCCATGCTGACTTTTTTTTTGAAGAGGGCACTTTTATCTCCAATTAAACGCTCCATCGGCTTGTCGGACTGAACGAACGAACGAACTCAGCGAGAGGAAACATATGGCAACGGAAGTACAGGCAGGTCACCCAAACGGTTGGTGATAAATGCACTAAAAAAGAACGAACAAATCCGAAAAAATTCTGAAGAAATGCCTCCTCTTCCTTAAACCTTAAACCAAATATGAAACACCTCGGCGACCTGGAATTGGGCCCTTTTACGGCCCAATAATAACGAAAATTCGAAGAGTGTTGATTTGAGATGCCCTTCAACACCATCCTCCCGTGCATCGCAAGCACTCTTATTCATTTCTCGTTTCTCGTTTTCTCTAAATATCCCTTCTATACAACATTCGACAACAAGCGCTACCACCTTCATTTTATGGTACATCTTTTTTGCACACTCTACCTCTCCTCAACAATTAGACAATTCCATCGCTACAATAATTCATTTGCTTTTATTTTCTTAACGACCAATATTTACATAATTCAGTAAGTAAACATTACTTTATCACGTTTAGTCAACATTAGATAAGCTTAATAAGTTACTCGCTGAATTTCTATCCGAAAATCATTTAACAAAAATTTTTAAAGAAATTAAGAAAAATTTTTATGGATAAAATTCAGGCCATTTAATTTTATTTCATTTTAACTATAATTCGAATTTTGAAAAATTTTTATCTAATTTAAACCGAAATTTTAATAATAAATATATAAATATACAGTAAATCAAACGAGAATCGATTATTTCACAAAAATGAAATTAAATTTTGAGCTTTATTTCTTCCTTTCAGTTCAAATATAGCTATATTCTTTAGAGATTTCAAGATGGAATAAAACAAATCCAATTTTTGGAGCAATTTAAAAAAAAACGACCACATATACAATTTAATAAAGAATTCTCACAGGAAAGTCCAACTTCAATAAGTACAAAAAGCAAAATAAATAAGGTAATTTCTGCTTTAAATTTTTTTCTGAAAACGTGGCAAAGAATTTTATGCCATTCCAAGTCGCTGTTTTTGCTTCTGCTTCTTTCTCACCGTTTCAATATTTCTTTCTTTCCAATTGCTCTTACGTAATTTAATTGGCCGATTCCCCACATATTTACCATCCATTTCACGACATGCACGAACAAAATCCTGAAACAAAACCACCACATAAACCACACACAAAATAAATAAAAAAGCATAATAATTTCAACCAATGCATTAAATGTGTTAAATAAGATTTGATGTGCCACTTAAACCAATGCGAAATTTGACACTAAAAACGAAGAAAATGAGAATGGATAATATAATAGTTTCGCGAATAACATAGTCAAATATTTTTTCAATAAAATGAATGAAAACTGACATCTTGATGCTTAAATGAAACAAATCCATATCCTTTAGATTTATTTGTCCGACTTTCTCGTATCACTTTAGCTTTTTGAAAACTCGGATATTTTCGGAATGCCTTTGCTAGAAGTTCATCAGATACTTCATTACCTAAATCGCCACAAAAAATCCTAAAATCATTTGGATCCCAGTCGGCCAGAGATTTATCTTCCCAAACCTAAAATTATAAAAAATAAATTCATAAATAAATTCATAAAAAATTGATGAATTACTTCATTCCTACAGTACTGCTACAGAAAAAAATTAAAATGTACAGACAAAATATATAAAAAAAAAGCGAAAAAATTACTTGACCACCACAGGATCTTAAAAATCGTTTCATTTTCTTCTCGCCACGCATGACTCGACCAAGATAGCTTGTCCTATGCATAGCCTCAGCGTGCCTTTTTTGTGCAATTAATTCAACATCGGACGATAAAGCTTGTGTTTTCATGGTAAGTGGCTTCGGTTCTGGATCTTTTTCCTTCTCAACTTCCTTATTTTTCAATGCTTTATCTTCATAGAGACTAGGCCCTGACACCAATACAGCCGGCTGAGGTGGCGGGATTGGAGGTCGCATGAATTCTGGCAATGGGAAACGCAACTGGAATTTTAAAAATTTTAAAAACCCAACAAAAACCCAAGAAATCCAATGAAAAAATGCAAAATTTATTTGTTACTATTCATTTTTCATCGCTAAGAAGAACTGGGCATAATTTAAAAATAAAAATAAAAAGAGAAGCATATCAAATTCCTTCTCATACTGAATGAATTGAATTTACTTATGCTTTTATGAAGCAAATTATTAAAACACATTTTGCTAAATCAAATTAACACAGATAACAATAACGGTAAAATAATATAACAATAAATTAACCTGAGGTGGCATAAGTCTTACTCCAAGATTTGGCGCTGGCAAGAAACCAGGACGAAGCATTACATGTGGAAGGAAACTGCAATTTAATAATTTTGAATTAAAAGACTAAAATTAATAAAATTAAAATTAGTAAAATTGGTAATTAAACTAAAAATTTATTAACTTCAATGTTAATTCAATTTTATTATTTTATCAATATTATAATATTATAAACATCGTATGAATGTTAAAGACAAGTGTCCTATCTATTTTCTATATAAACATGAAAGAAAATCTGTAGAGAAATCATTTATAAAAAGCAAGAAAAAGAACTAACGGTAAAGCTGGACGAATTTTTCCAGCTGCACCAGGTGACGGCTGTTGCGAAGATCCCTCATTAAGACCATTCGATGGTAAGATAGGTCCAGAAATTGCCGCTGGTCCAATCATGGACTCCGGTTTCTCATCACCATTATCACTGCATTCTGCAAGTGCTGCTTGTTCTTCTGATTCTTCGATAGATTCAGCTGAAGAATCTTCTAAGCCATTTTCAACGGCAGAAATTTCTTGCTCAAATCTACAATATTTAATATTTCATATTTTAATTCGCATTTTTGCTAATATGAATAATTGTTTAATATTTAAATAATTTTAAATTAAATTTTTTCAAAATAATTCATTAATAAACGTGAATGAAAACTCTTTGAAGAAAAAAACATTATGTGCACTCAGAGATTGGAAAGTAAATATAATTTATATTAAATTGCAGATTTTAAAAAATTCTAAAAAATAGCATTAGAAAAATTAGAAACATTTGTAAAAATGAAAGTTAATCAATTAAAGCATTAATTTATTGTTAAAAAACTTTTTCTTTTCGATTATTCTTTTCGAACTTTTTCAATGAGAAAAAATGCCAATTTTTGGAAATATGAAAAAAAGCGAAGGTTGAAAGGAAATTAATGGACATTTGAATGAAACGCTTTTACTGATTGGGGGACAGAATGGCTCAGTGGGTCGCTGCTCAATCGGGAGGGCCGATGTTGCGGTTCGCAGGAGTAAACCTGTCCAAAAATCCGGGTGATGCTGGCGACTCACCTGTATTTCTATCGCCAAGGGACTCCTGGCATATCGCCCAGTCGCGACAAGCCAGTGGAGCGAGTCAAGGCGCGGACTCTTAAAAAATTTTTACTGAATGCTAAATTCTCATAAATTTTTCGCAAGGAAGAAGGAACTCGAGTAATTTGGCGCCAAAAACTGATACAATTATTCGAAAGAATTTTGTTTAATTTGGTTTAATCAAAAATCTGCTTCTGCGGTTTATTGAAGGAAAATGAAAAAAAACTAACAAAGCGAGTTCCTCCTCCAACGATCTCGACATAACCCGACCTATATTCTTAATCTACAAAAATAAATTCCTCTTAAAATCAGATTACCGTTCAAAAATTTTCGTTTCGAGACCTGTATGGTCCCTAACAGCTCAATTACAGAACTTAAAAGTCCCAAATTTGTTTACTAATTTGTTTGCGTTGGCTAGATGATAATCTTCATAGTTCAGTGTCTCTACCTCTACCTCTCGTCCGACTTCATTGGATCTAAATTCGCCCTACCAGTTCATCACCCCATTCATTTTTCTCCTAAGAAAACAATTTGACTATCGCTGCGTTCATTTAGTGGTAAATGTACGAATTAACTTGTTCTATGGTGATTGTGCAGTGAATAAATATAAAAAAGGGAACAACCTTTTGTGAAAACTAGAAAAACTAGAAAGTCAAATTTTTGAGGTCATTTCGAAAAGAAGTTTCAAAGTTTCGAAAAAAATTTTAATAGTTTCTCGCGTGAACTATGAATAAGAATAATGCCCTGAATAGATGGATTTTTTCACAAAATATTTCCATGAACGCAAACCTATAATTTTCTATTATATAAGTCGAGTTGAGCAAATTTACCTCTAAATTTATCCCTAATTTAACCGACGTGAAAGCAGTGGAAAGTAAATTTTTATACGCAAAGAAGTGCCAGTGCGGATGTGATTTATTCTACTTCGAGACGGACTGCATCCCAGCAAATCTGGGATCACTGAAAGTCAAGTCCAGTTGCCGCTCGCTCTATGCTTTATTCTCAAGTTACTACCCAGCGAAAGTCTCTTATCCTATAATAGCAAAGCTAACCAGAAATGATAGCAGTAAATGCCATTCTGAGAAGTGGAATTCTTTCACAAATAACCTATGGAACGATTGTATCGCATAAAGCATGAAATGCATGGCACAAACATAAGATAAACAAAAGCATGCAAGCCATAGAGGAACGGTGATGGTTCTTCCTCCAGGAGACGAAATAATATGACAACATATCGATTATGTAAAAATCAGAGAAAGAAGCGGGAAGAAGAACGGAAACACCGCTGAAATTGGCATGCAACTGCAAAGGTCAATCATAGGGGTCACATTGCGCTATAAACTACAAAAATCTGAATATTTATTCGCTTGACAAATGCATGTGCACGATGCCAAAAGAGAAAACTATATTTTTCCTCGTCCATTTCATAACTGAAATCGCTTCGTTCTAATGATCTTCCACAAATAATTTGCATTTAACAGAAATCTTTGGCTGTTGATTTGTTGTTATCTTATGAAACGTCGTAGTATTGTCTAATAGTTGCCGTTGCTTTTAGGAATAAGCGAATTTGTTGCAAGTATAATAGCTGCTTGTTGGTTGCTTGAGTGCATCGCTGGCTATGTCGCCGGCTGGCTGTACTCCGCTAAACGATTTGCATGTTTCCTTTCTGCCTGGTTGTTTCTATAAAAAACATTTTTATGTTTTAATTGCTACTTTAAATATATACTTTGTTTTTTATGAGACTTTTTTCGAAGAAAAAAGCTTTAAAAGTTCGAAGTTTAATTTTTTAGAAATTAATTCTAAATTAGATATAATTTTAAGCTCGGATGAAATGCAATCATTTATATCCTCAGAGCTATCAGAAATCTTTCTAAGGCGTCTTTTCACGTCTATTTCGGTCGTTTCGATCGTTTCGATCGAGCGGTCATCATTTCCATTTTTTTTTTATCTTTTTGTGTTTTTCTTTTTTTATTATTTTCATTATAATTATTAAATATCTTTATTTTAAACATTTTTAAATGAATTTAAGGGAATTTTTGCTTATTGCAATAGGAAAATGCAGTAAAACTATACGATCAACGATTAGTTGGAAGGAATTTGTATTGCGTAGAAATTTTGTGAAGTGCTTAATCATTTCCTGGCCGAACTCCTCTATTCCGTAAAAATCGTAAAATTTCAGAAAATGAGCCATTGTATAGAATCAGCTTACATTATCGCGACGCTTATTGGATGCTTTATCGCTGCAAGGCTTATAAATTTTATTCTTGACTGGCAGCACAGAAAAAAGCTTGAAAATGTGGGGAAAGCTAGATTCGTGTGTGTTAGTGAAAGTTGGATAGAATGTAACGGCAGCAGTGAAATTAAATCGGAACATGTGGATGAAAATGGAGCGAAATCCGAGCATGAAAATGAAAATGAAATCATATCCGAAGATCATCGGCTTAAAAAGGTAAATTATATCGCTTAAAGATGGTTTCATTAAGAGATGTTGCTGAACGAATTATAAAACGGAAAAGAAATAAAAATATAAAATTTATATGGCAATTTAAATTTCTGTTCATTTATAAAAAAATAAAAAGAAGTGGTTTCAATTTATATTTATTATAGGATTTAGGAAATCAGGCTGTTCCAGAAATTTCCACTAAATCTAATGATCCTGAAATTCGTTAGTTTTAGTTTTATTCTAGATTTTTATATTTGAAAAATTTTATTATTTTATTTTATCCAACTTTTTTAATAGAATCTTAAAGAACTGTTGTAAAATTTATTTTAGGTGGTCGTTGTTTGAAAGGGAAAAAAATATGGAGAATCGAGGGTACAAAAGTTGTTCTGAGATTTTCCAGCAAAGATCTAAAGAATGAAATATTCCAACCACTTGACCATTCTTTAAATCTAATTTCTAAAGTGGAGGAAAATGTCGAAGTCAGTCGCAGATCCATGAAACGAGCACCATTATTTGGTCCAAATGATATTAAAAAAGAAAAAAATGAATCAAATAGACCTTTCGAAAGCAAGAAAGGTGCACGATTATTTGGCCCCATCAAACAGAAAGAAACTCAGCCAAGTGGTGATTTTGGAGATAAGAAAAACATACAGTTACATCGCTCTGGTGACAAAAAACTGAAAAAAATTGAATTAATTGACAATTCTGAAGATAAGGATGGAGCACAAGGAGCACAATTGTTCGGCCTCACCAAACAGAAAAAAGCGCAGCCAAGTGGTCATTTTCGAAATAAGAATAGCATACAATTAATTCGCCTTGATCACAAGAACCAGAAATTTGAGATATTCGACGAATTTGAAGGCGAAAGGATGAGAGTTATGTCTAGTATTAATGATAGTGGAAAGGAAAAAGCTGGATTTACCGCTGATTCTAAGGAATGCAATGAAAATGCACCACCTCCTAGTCCTATTGACAGCAAAGAGGAAAAAACTAAAGAAATTAAGGAAGGCATACAATTGTTTGATCCTAGTGGCACCAAAGAGAAAAAAACTGAATCAACCAGCGATTCTGAAAGCAATAAAAATATATCACCACCTAGTGCTATTGATAGGAAAGAGGAAAAAACAGAAGAAACTAAAAAAGGCACACCATTATTTGGTCCTAGTAGCGCCGAAGAGAAAAAAACTGAATCAACCAGCGAATTTGAGTGCAATAAAATTATATCACCACCTTGTCTTGTTGATAGTAAGAATGAAAAAACTGAATTTTCGCCTGCCGATTTTGAAGATGTTAATGATATGGAAGTTGATTGCAGTAAAAGTTTTCATAAAAAAGGAAATACTCCGTTAACAAAAGTTATGAGACTCTGCAATGAACAAATTACCGTAAACCTCGTTGATAATCTTCCTGGAGAAGATGATTTCATTAATAAACCTCATATTTCCAGTTATAATGTTGAAGAACGGCACAAATGGCCACGTCGAGAAGTTGAGAATAAGTGACCGCAAATTTTACAGTTTTCTTTCGTCTTTCCCTGGTACTGGTTCTCAATTTACCGATATTTTTTCTTTGTTTATTTAATAATTAATTGCTTTCATGGAGATAAGCACCATGCACAATCGAATTTCTTTTGTTGCTCTTCTCTTCTTCCTTTTCTTCCTCCTTTCTATTTTCATTTTCCTCCTTTCTCTTTTCACTTTCCTCTCAAATTCATCGCGTCCTTACATTGCTCTTAAAATTGATTCCACTAATTAGTTTATAAACTGTCTGCCTGCTTCGAGTAGAATGTGAATGCATAAGCGATTCAATTCAATGATAAACTTGTTGCTTTTCGAATATTTATCAAATTTTTTGTCTAACAATTTCGGTTAATTTAGTCATAAAAGTTTATTCTTAGAAAATTGAATGTGCACAAATTTATTTCAATATTATTTTATTAGTTATATTAGTCGCCGTTGAAATCGATTCGCAAATCTCTTATATCTGCAATCATATTTTCGTGATAAGGGATTTTTAAAAGTTTTTGTCACATTGTTGTTCGTTTATCACTCATTTTATTGATCTGAATTTGAATAAATTCGAAATTTACAGAAATTCGAAACAAGTGTGGTGAAGCGTAAATATGTCTCTTGTAAACTTATGTTATGCTTATAGTATTTTACACGATTATTTAAATATAAATTGTTAGCAAATGTAAAAATTAAGTAAGAAATTATTTATTTAAAGAAAAAACATAAATTTTAAGGTAAATTTTCTTTTAAATTTAAGGTATCTATCCAGTAATGGAGATGTAAATTAAGTTCCAATCAGGAGGGGAGGGAAGGGGGAGGCTGAGTTCCTTTATTATTTTGATTTATTATAATAAACGGCAAAATGTTCGAATAACTGGAAAGACGTAATAAATTAGGAGAACTTGAGATTTTCACGCTGTCAATGTAAGTTTTATGAGATGGTATGGCGATTTCTCGCAGCCTTCAAACAGACACTGCTGGCTCATTAATTAATTCATAACTTGGCAAAAGGCTCATAAATGATTTGCTTTCCGCATCATTGTAAGCACTGAGATTTCTGTATTCTGGTAGAATATAAAATAAAAGATGTAAAATATTTCCCAGCCTCGAAATTGAATGTTTTTTTTCATTCTTTGATTTATATAATATTTTCAATATACATTTAATATTTTCAATTATATATTTTAATATTTTAATATATTATAATATATGTTTTCAATTATTCATTCGAATATTTTACTGGTGCTTGGCTGCAAGATGGTTGAGAATGGCTCGGGTCCGCCCCACGCACGCAGGTTTTGTCAGGCAAAAACAAAGGGAAGCAGAATGGTTCGGTGGGTTGTTGCCTAGTTTTGAATCAATGCTGAGGTTCTATCCTGCAAGAACAAACCTGTCAAAAAACCGACTGATGTTAGCAGCCTGAACTTCTATTGCTAATTAATTCTCTGGAAAAATTTGCCTGGTCCTGTAACAAAACAGTGCAAGTCTAACCAGCAATGGTAAGGGCCTTTAGAAAAAAATTTTTAGTTTTAATTCGCACTTTTCGACCAATTTCGAAAAAAAACATTGAATTCATTCAAGATATTTTACATTTCGAGATTACCCCACAAATTACAATGGATGAGAATATTTTATGGGAAAATTTAGCATATATAAAAGTAATTATTGTTGTACTAATCCTTTTTTTTTCTTTTTAAGAATCCTCACCATTACTGGTTAAACTCGCTCCACTGGCTTGTCGCGACTGGGCGATATGCCAGTGAGTCCTTTGGCGATAGAAATACAGGATACAGGTAAGTCGCCAGCATTACCCGGAATTATTGTTGTACTGATACATGATCGAGATTAGTATCGGCTAATCGATATAACTATTTGTCACCGTAGATTTCTCGGTTTCTAGGCATCCATCTATTTATTCCATGCACTGAATGATACAAACTAAAGGCAATTTTGGACAAATTGTTCGCTCTTTTAAGTAGTCGCAATTCATTTAGAATAACATTCAATCACTGAATCATGAAAAATAAAAATTATGGAACTATCTTGGGAAGGCAAAAGTTAAATATAAAATCGAAAATTGATTTAATCAAGCGATGATTTAAGCAAGTCGATTTGATTTAAAGGATAATTCGTTGGTACTTAAACAATTACATTCCACTGTGAAATAAATAGTTTTATAAACATTAAAATATGAAGCATAATTTGAAGTTTTATTAATTTCGGCCTATTTTATTTTATGAAATTCTGTGTTATACCAAATTATTGTTTTTTTTAAAGGAAATAACAATTTCATAAAGGAAGAATCAGCGAATATAGCGGATATTTATAATTTAATATATTGTGACATATACTGTTTATTTATATTTATATTGTTATTAAACTAATAAATATTTAAAGACTTTGCACACATAAAAATTTATATAATGAGAAATTAACAATTTAATTCATCGGCGAATTCCGCATTGAAGCAGTTTGCTCGTATATCATCTAAAATCGGAAATTTATTTATTTAGAATATGGCCAAGCAAGCAAGGCAACAGCCATGTGCTTGTATTAATAATATTAATAGAATAAATATGAAAACTAAAAATTATCGTAGCTATTGAGCCAGATGGGATGGACTGAAGTCGAGTTTCACCCTAAGTACCGTAAGATTTTAAAATTAGATACTGAAAGCGACAATGTGAAAAACATTATGAAACTGCTGAAAATTTGCTAAACGCTACAAATTGCTGGCAATAAGATGCTTTCAAATTCCGAAGTAAGCAATGCAAAATTGAATATAATTTAAAAAATACGTTTGAGACGGAAAAAAAGAAGCAGCGGAGAGGGCAGAAAATCTATTCGACAATAAAAAATTTTCTTGAAAAATATAAGAGAGCAAATTACCTGCCGTAATTCCTCCAACTGTCGATCGTGATTTTTCGAAACAGCGAGAAGAGTATTCAGCATCTCTTTTAAATTATTAAATTCTTCGGGTTGTTCTAGTTCCTGACCCTCCCCATCGATTAGTGACATTGCTTGCATATGGGGGAACCAATCATTATTCCGATCCTAGCAATACTTATTATATATTTCCAACAGTTAATTTATGCTAGTTTATGCTAGCATTTTTTTCTTTACCCTCTGTTTTGTTGTTACTTATCGAAGGACGAATACCTTTATACATTGCGCTACATAACTTTCCGGGCCCGTAAACTCGGTCTCGTCTTTGATTTGCAACCAAACAATAAAATAGAGGTAATGGTATAGATTGTGCTCGTTTTTCCGATGTTCTTCAAATGTAACTTTCTTATTGTCGAATCTGAAAATGAAACATTATGAGTTCTGAACATTTCTACCAATCAATTCTTAAATGAATAATCAAAAATCGAGCAAAAATATCAACAAACAAAACAGTTTCTCAGTTCGCTGTCTGATTTATCTCACGTATTTCATCAAATTGCAGATTTATTAATTTTACAAAATTAACTAAACTAAACGAACCTTCCTCTTTCAAGACCACAAATGAAACAAGTATTACGAAGAATGTCATCTTTTTCATTTCTTTCAGCCCTCAAATCACCGAAAGTATCAATGATTACCCCAAATACCAAATTTAATACAATAATAATAAGCACAATGAAAAACGACATATCGTATAGGATTCGTGGAAAAAATGATTCTTCCTGTAAAGAAGTTGATAAAATATTGAATAAAAACGGAAAAATAAACATCGTCTTATAGCATCTATTTGTTAGTTCAACTATTGTTATCTAAAAGCGCTATAATTTATAAACCACATTCAAAAGAGTAGAGTAGATTTACATCAGGTGGGACATTTCTGAGTATATCGCCTATACCACCACCGTTTCTGAGACCCCAGTTAAGCGTTGTAATTATGCACATACGTAGCGTTTGACATGACCATATTTTGCCGTCATCTAAAAGTAGAATTATCATCAATTCTAACAATTTCTAACAATTGTTAGAAAAATTCTAACAATTTCTAACAATTGTTAGAAAAATTCTAACAATTTTTTAATCCTATCTCAATAAAATTTATTAACTTCATTTAAGCTTAATAAAATTACCAACCAACTTTATTTTTCAATAAAAAGTTTATTTCAATAAAAATAAATTCCACTAGAATAGCTTTCGAAATAAGGACAGAGATGGTCGATAATATTAGTCTAATTCTTGTCGGGAGTGGAAATTTTAATGAAAGTACAATCTGAGTGGCTACTTGGATCTATCTGTACTTCTAACGCTAAGTAATGAGTACCATTAAAAGAGGAAGAAGAATTCAAGATAGGATTTTTGAATTTTCCTCTTTGTTTTCAAAAAAATATTAATATATTTTAGAATTCTTGCAGTATAATTTATTGCAATATAAACAATAAATAAGATAACCAAAGGTAAAAAATTTTCACCATCATCTTCACTTTCACTATTAACATCCATCTCACAGACATCGCTTTTATGATTTGTTATAAAGTTTTTTAATGCACTAGTCTGCTCCACCAAGCAACTTGCTTTACTTTCACCGGCATAAGAATTCATAGGATCAACTTCTAATCTAAAATCTGAAATGTATTTTAATAATTATTTATAGCGAAATATTCAATGACAGAAAAAATCCTGAAACGAACAAATATCAATTTTCTAATCAAATTGTCTCTTTTTATCTTAGTTTTGTTCCAGGTTGCTTATTTCTTACATCGAAATGATTATCGCCGAAAATTTAAAATTATGCTGAACCTTTTTGGAAAAATAAATAGCCGATAATTGAGAAGAGATAGACAAGAATGAGTGCCAGTAAGCCAGTCATTATTATCGACTGCCAATTTCGAGTTACCGAACTTATCACATTGCGCAGAGTCTCATCGCTCGAAACAATATCAAAAAGCTTAAATAACAATATATATAAGGAAATAGGAATTTTGCTAATCGCCATAATGATCATTCGGTTTTGCTTGCAAAATTTACTGAAAAGTGAAGGCAGTCTAAAATGAAAACTGAACAAACCAATAATGCATAGAATAATGGATGAATTGAAAGACCGAACAAGCATATAACAACATATAACAAGTGATACCATATATCACGATCATTTATCCGGTCACTCCACGTTCTGTCGATCAATCCACGATTTCCGATATAGCTTAGGATGTGAACAAATTTATTTACAAGCTATAATGAAGATCTTCCAAAGTGATAATAGATAATAAAGCGAGAACAATATTCATTAAAGCAATTGTTCAATTGTTCATTTAAAGCCCAATGATTTGTGAATGGGAGACTCGGAAACCTCAGTTTTGTGGAAACATGAAGAGGTGAATCCAACCGTTCAATGATGCAGGCTATTCGAAGAAGTGCTAGTGAATGTGGATTAATAAAAAAGTAAATAGCATAATTTATGATGATTTTACATACCACCCATTTTCACTGCGATTTACAACTAGATTTAACCAGGTTTTAGTGAGCTACAAATAGAAAAAAAATTTATTTACCTGAAGTATTCCGATAAGCTGAAGAGTAAGAAGCACATCAAGCGACCTTATTGCTAACAACGTGGATATGAACATTACTACTGCTATACCAATGTATGCTTCAGGCTCACGGCCAAATGACGCTCTTAAAAATTTAATCAGCATAGATATTGTGGATTAAATTGAAAACTTTTTGGATTCCATTCTAATTGATTTGATTATAAGATTTGAGGATTTTTTAACTGATAATGGAAGTGGAATACTGTAAAAAAACTACTTACTTATCACTCCATTGTGTGTATAAATATAATAATGAAGCTAATAAGGAAGCATATAGAAATGAGTTACTGAATGGCAGTAAACCTGAATGCCTAATATTTAGAATAGAATATTTAATAAAGCAAGTATATGATTGTATCAAAGTTCTCGCGAATAATTATTTCGATTAAGGCTATCATTGAAAGTAACAAACAGTCAATGCTTTCCTTTGCTCAAACGAAAAAGTCTGCCTTAGTGAAGGCAGCAAAATCAGAAATGGAGCCATAAAATGAAAAGAAAAAATATTTCATTGGCAACTAACCATGCCGCGTGTCCTCGTTAAACGGATAATATATTGCGGTAATGATATTAGTAAAGATAGCGAAAAGAAATGATAACCTCGCCCATAAAATTAAATGTTTTGTACAACTGCTCAAATATTTTCGATCTGAATACGACAAATATAGCGAAAGTTGGAAAACTTTGCCAAAATTATGTCGTAATTACGATTCACGAAAAAAAACACCAAGAAAATTTTTGGAAATAAAATGAAACGATGATAGAAAATGAATATTTTAAAGAAAAAAATTGCCTTGCAATTTTCTTTGCCATTTCATTTCTTGAAACAATTTCGGCCACTGGTCGAAAAATTGAGATACCTAAAATAATTCATTCATTCTCGTTTCGGCACGAATAACAGACTTTTAGAAACTTACTATTTACTTACCTTTGATCCTTGAGCATCGCGTTCAGTTTCAACTAAAAGATTTTGCTTTGTTTCTGGCGTTAAGTACTTGCAGATTGTATGAATCGGAAAGATAACTCGTTCCATTCGGCGATCCTCTCGTACAATCTATAAATATGCAACTATTTGCTATAGCAAACTAACCAATAAGAAATTTCAATTAATAGGAATGTATTTCAAAAAAAAGAAATTTGAACCCTTTTTTAAAATTTATTCCTAGAAGAGTTCAATTTTCTTTTTTTCTAAAATTTTTCACTTAAAAAGACGAAGAAAAACACGAAAAAAATTGTGCAAATGGAAAAATTTGCCCATTTTTATGGATTTTATAAACATTATAACCAATGTATATTAAAAAATGACCTCAATTTGAGCAGTGTGTTGTTTATAATATGTAATCGCAACACGGGTCATTTCACAGTCGAAATAATCAGCTGTTAAAAGATCTCTTAATGATTTATCGTGTCTTGATAATTGTGTTGCAAGAATGAAAATATTATGACCGACCTAGAGAAAATCCTTTTGAAAATTTTGAATTTTAAAAGACTGAAAAATGAGTGAACTGAGAGAAACCTCTTGCGGATCAACCAGGTTGCTGTAGGAGAATTTCTGATCGAATATATTTTTTACTGGTCCATGAACAGAGATTTCTGGCACTGAAGGAAATTTTCCATTCACCATGTTAGCCAGTTTAATATCCTGAAAAATCAACATAACAAAATATCAATATAGCAAGAAATTCTCGAATATTTGGATCCCTGGAATAAAAGATAGAAGAGACTGTTGCGACATTTGCATCAACAGCTTAACTTAAATAAAGAGATTACAATAGCCAAGTCAATCATCGTCACACAAAAAGTAAGCAAAAGAAAAAAATACAGTGGATTTCAGTAGTTCTAAAGATGTGGAAAGATAAATATGTATGCTACAAAAATTAAAATTATGAAAAGAGCGCAAACTTGTCCTGAAATATTGTTTTCGAGGAGTTGCCTTCGCATTCGCGATAAAACATAAGTATCTGAGTTGGCCATCTGATAAGCCACAGTAAGGGCATGAATCTTAAAAGTAATAACATCAAATACGAGAATTAGAAGCATAAAAAAAGACAGAAAAAGCGAACCAGCTGTGTAGGACCACTATTCATATGGCTCATATTGAGAAGAACTGCTTCAGCATTGCTTGCATCGTGTCGAGATTCCATTGTGGCCAACAGTAATTTAGAGGCAACGCTCTAAATCGATTTGTGCATTATTCGTCCAAAAAATACACTTTCCTGTTATTTTCCCAAAATAGTAAATAATAAACTTGAATTAAAGGTTTTCACTTAGCAAAAAGTTGTTTTACCTTAATTTCCAAAGCAAGATCCATATGTGAAATACAAAGTGGTTTAATTTCATTCAACACCAGCGATATGATCATATTTAAGCCAGTTTCATGATATACAATAGCATTCTGAAGTCATACAATACATGATCAGTTTTATTTCCTATTCCTCTAACTCCTCTCGCTTTGCCACAATTAAAGTTACTGGAGGAAGGAATTCAGAATTTTAATAAGAGTTTCATCTCAACTCATTTTCTTTTTTATTTTCTGACCTGATTTTCATGACAAGGACCTTGACAGAATTCAGTTAGTGTTGTCAGCGTTTGTATAATTAACGAAAAATTGTGTTCACCAATATCACCAAAAACTCCAAGACTTCCTAGGATATAATAATAACATTTAGGCTTTAAACACTATTTTTTGGAACGATCTTTTAAAATAAAGGATTTTAAAATCTGGCCGTGAATTTTTCCAGTTAACTGCGTAAAAAGAAATCTCTTTTCGTACATTAATAACAATGAACTGTGAATAATTTATTTTGCCACATATAATTCCAATTTATATTTCTAATAGAAATTATTTTAAATAACCTTTAGTGCTGCCACAAATAACATCCAGAAATGTCAAAGTCTCATCAACCAAATTATAATTTTTACGACTTCCTTGACAGCGCAAAAAATTCTTAAAAAATGCTCAAAATTTTTCTTTGTTATCAAAAAATGCTCATTTGTCATAGACATTTTCGTTAAAAAATAACCTGCAGAGATAAGTTATGGTTTTCGCACAGAAGTTGTAAAAAACGTAGAATTGGCTCAATGATTAACACTTCAGGTGGTAGAGATTTCTTCGATCTATAAAAATAAATAGCATCTCTGTTCATTTTCAATTATGTCAAAAATTTTGCATACAAAATTTTATTTCAAGCAGATTAACAAAATGAAGCTTTCCACCTTACGAGAATCGCCCCTGTACAGAACTCGATGAAATTTGAAATAATCACCTCTCATCTTGGTAGCTTTCTGATGATTGGCGCATGAATGGCATATTTTCGGCTTGTAACGACATAAGGTTTATCGACGTATCAAGACTACCTCTGTGCTCATTTTGAAGTGTGAGATCGTTGGCCAAAGGGGTTTGCAGGCACGACGCTATAAAACGCAATGGTTAATTTTTATTAGTCCAATAGAAATAGTCGAAATATGAATAAATCGTTTTTTACAATCGTGTTGAAGAGGAATTTCGCTTAAATCTTGTTCCAGATTTAAGTACAAAAATGAAGTTGAAAATAAATGGAAAAAAAAATGATTAATGTAAATGAAAAACATTTCCTGCAATTCCAATAAGCAAATACAATAGGTTTACGAAAAAATTTGCAAGAAATATCATAATAATATATTTAAATGAATTAAAAAAAAAAAAAAAAAAAAAACATACATCTTCTGCTTATCGACGATGAATACACTAAAATTTTATTACAAATTATCAAAAATAAGTATTAAAAAAAAAATATAAACAGTAAAATTGTCGCGAACTAAGGTGAATGAAATGGCTCCTTCTTCTTTCTTACTGTCTTTCTTTCTCAAAAATTTCGAGTACAATTATAAACTTTCATAAGAATTGTATTAAATAGTTGAGGTTAATCGTCCATGGAATTTATCGTTTAAAATCATTTCCGCTTTTTTAAATCGCTTCTTGTTGAATGCAGTTTATTCGAAATTTTTTACTTTATGCAAATTTACTGACTTGAACGTTGTCGTGAATCGTTGCATGCCATCATATCATTTTTTACACGATTTTGCGCGACTTGCAATTTGGTTTTAATTGCTTGAACGAATGTTTCTGATACATCACGTTGTTGTGTGAGTCGCTTGTAAAATGACTTTTGAACCTAAAATCATTTCATTAGAAGCAAAGATAATAACAAAATTTTATCATTCATTAAGATTTATCACTCTCTTAATAGATTTTCTTCGAAATCGTATTTAATGGTTCTCATTTATTCTTTGAAATCCAACGATACCTGCTCATTTCCTTCCTGAAGAAGAGACTTTGCTAATTCCATTGTCATATAGAAAACATCATACGATGGTTCTTCAATAATAAGGTCGATAACAAGGTCTGAAAAAAGATCTGTAAATAATATTGTGGGAAAATAATTACGGCAGACTTCATTTCTATGACAAAATATCCAAATAAACCATAATTTTTCGAAAATTTAGAAAAAGAATGAATTTCCGAAAAAATCCAGAAAATATACCACTTGCACCAGCATTATTAAGTTTGCATTGCACATCATAAAGCGATAATTCATTTTCTATTTTATTCGCTTCATTATATATATGCGATTCTGAAAATTTCATTACATAATTTAATATACATAATTTAACCTGAAATAATCTATGAAGTGGAAAAGAAGAAAAATTTATTCTTAAAATGATAAATAATTTTTAGCGATACAACTTGAATAAATTACTGAATTTTTTCTAGGAAAATTATTTGATTATCATAATTATTGTAATGAAAGAACAAAAGGAAAATTTCTACGGTTTGATGAAGATGGTTTCCTTTCTTGTTTTTCAATAATCGAACCAAATTTTGAACGACGTCGTTCACTTTCGTCTCCAAAGTAACGTTGCAATAAATGTTGTCTCACTTCCAATGCCTCGAATAGTAAAAAATATAGTTAATGTAAGTGGTAAATTCACGACAAATACCGATTTTGCAATTAGTTCGCGTAAAAATATGAAAAAGACAATTTACCTGGTCTCTGCAAATGAATTTTGTATTTGTTGCCATATGGCATAATGTATGGAGAACTCGAACGCATAGATTTTCTTGTTTTTCTTCTAATAGTTGTTTGCAATGTTCGATTAGTCTTAAAATCGTCAATTCGCTTTAAAAAATTGTTTAAGAAATTAATAATTTATTTAAAAATTTAGGTAGTTAAGGTTAGTGTTTTTCAGGTAGGCATATTTGATTAAAAGCAGCTCACTTAGCGATTGTTTCACCCTTCTCACATCGTTCTCGCATTTCGGAACCTTTGGGAAATAATCGTTCTGGGCTATACAACAAGTCGACAAGTACCGAAGTCTCAGCATCTTCTAAAAATCGAGAAGATTCTTCGAATTCATCTACCATTGTCTGAAATCATTTAAATAAACAATCTATAATGCAGCCATCCAAAAACCAAGTATCCCGTGTTGCCTGCGCTTATTTGAGGTGAACCATAAAAATTATAACTGAATTTAATTTTTTCTAAAGAGTATCATTTTTGAAAACTATAAAGAGTACGATAACAAATCTTTTATAGCAAAAGAATTATAAATTATAATTTAATATAACAATGGTTTGTTGCCATATATATCAAATAATTACAATTATAGCAATATAACTGAAGACCTGGTAGAAAACAACCACATTTGTGTGGCTATCAACAGTTTTGTTGAAGTGTGGCATAGTAAGTCTGGTTTTATTCTTTCGAATAAGCTTTGCGGAATGGGCAATCGACTGCCATTTTTGTTTCGCACCAGCTGGAGTCGATGCATTCAAATTTACAGGAGAAGCATTTAGATTTGTGGTCATTAGCAATTCCTTCTCTTCAGCTGCATTTAATAATATAATAAATCTTGGATGATAGAAAAAATTTAAAATGCTTAGGTGCTAAAAATTTTTATACTAATAATTTAAAAATGATTTATTTAGCCGAAGTTAAGCACCATTTGCATGGGTTTTAGAGAAATAGAAATTTGGTGCAGAATTTAATAGAGAATGAAATCCATGAAAATAAAACGAAACGAATTTTTGCATAAACGAATTTATGGGATAATTTATTAAAATTTTATGAATTTTATGAAATTCGTCAATTAGTTGCTTGTCACTCGACTCTCTCATAAAACACCAATAATACTGTTTTTCATGGTAAATTAATATTCTCATATTTTATATTTTTATTAATTTTTGGATTTATCGTTTTTTATGGTTATATTACGATTATAATTTTGAAGAATACTGAAATAGCTACCACATTTATTAAGACGTTTCAGCGATTCAGCAAATCGATGCCAATTTTTCGATGCACTTCTCTGCGACATCTTAAAGCGCAATGCATCCAAATTTTGCATCACTTTAAGGAATGTTCCATGGCATTGCTAAAAGTTTGTGGTACAAAGCATTTATTTCACTAAAAACCTTAAGGTTTTTACGCTACTTTTATATAGAAAATATATTGTTATATGACTTACAACATCCATTGTTGTTTGATAGGATAGAGGTTTTTGAAATAAACTACTAAGAATTTCGATAACTGTCAGACATATGTATCTTTCCAATGCTGAATCGGGCAAAATTCTGAATCCTTTCAGTTTAAGCTGAAATTTAATATGAAAAAATTTTCTCGAAATTCCTCGAAATTTTCTAATTTTAGTTAAATGAGCCTTTAGGGAATTGGTAAAATTATTGGAAATATTCGAAATCGCGTTTCGAATATTCCGTACTTGTAAAACAAATTTTTTATGTACAGTTTGCTATCTAAATTATGTTCGCTAAACTCTGTGATTTGGTTTGACTATTGGCAAACGAATTTCAAATTAATGAAAATTTATACGAACTTCCTCCACGTCTGAAAGAATATTTTGAAGTATTAGCTCGAAATAATCCGCATTATAGACGTCTTTCATTTCTGCGCCCGTATCGATATAGCAGTGCAACATGAATTGCATATAAACATCTTTAACCTTAAATTTTTTTGTCGATTTTTAGAAATTGCAAACCAATCGTAATTGAGTCAAACTAATTGTTTCACAGAAGAAGAAAAAGAAACGATCAGTTTTTCAGCGCGATTTTTTCATAAATTACGTAATCCAATTAGACCTGAACCAAGCAATGTGGCGATGACAGCACTCGCATAATGTGGTCAATAGGCAACTGTGAAGCACATTTTAGCTCCATTGTACCATTTTTACCTCGAGTACACATCGCTAACAATCTGTACAGATTTATTTGTAATATTGAAAGAAAGGTTAATATTAATCGCTTGACTGGACACCATTTATCAATAAATGCTACATTTCGGAAAAACAAAATTAATCAAAAAGAAAATTTCATGCCTAGAAATCTGAATCATTTGTTGCTTTATTATTGACTTAATGACTTATACCTGACAAGTTCGATATGATAACGCAAAGGATTATCAGCTGTGAGCTCTTCAACTGGTGTATTTTTCATCATTTGAATGAGCTGCTCGAAACTAGCGCTGTCTGAATAAAATACTCGAACTTCATCTGACGCTGAACAAATCTGAAATCGAAAATTATCTTTTTTCAATGCTTTATTGCAAACTTTTTTTGAATAAGTATTCACTTACTTTCAGAAATTCTTAGGAGGCATATAAAAATAATTATATAATATTTATAAAAGTTAATAAAATAATAATAACATCGGAATAAAACCAGGATAAAACGACTAAAAACTCCATTCGAGTTTAGGTAAATGAAAAACCTCCTGAACAACTTTCTCTTGTGAGGATTCGATTTCGCCTTCATCTGTGCAAACAACACATTGAAGAAATTCGATGAAGACAGCGTTCCGAGCTTTTTGCTCTATGAGGTCTATTACACGAGCGATAATGTCACCCGAGATATTTTCCGATAATTTGCGATTGTTTTTGTATATTGCGACTAACGTTGCTACATCTTCGACCTATTAAAATTGCTGTTTTTTAATTCGAGCTTTATTCACCTTATTTAAATTAAATTTTTGTAAAGATATAAATATTAGAATTGCTCGCGTAAATTCTAAATTGTCTCACCGTATCTATTCGCAAGCATCCTTCTTTGTGATCACTGTCGACAGAAATATACCGTTGAAGGCAATACTGGTTCAATTTATTATTCCGGCAAAAACTTTGCAAAAATTCATGGCATAAAGTAAATAATTTTGGCATTTCTTGATCAACTCTCTTAATAACATTGCTCTCTTTTATTACTGCCATCATAATAAAAATATTATAAATTATAAAATTATATAAATCATAATAAAATAAAAATTGCAAAATTAAATTAACCATAGATTGCAGATGAAAAATATATGGTAAAATATTAACCTTATCATATGGAATAGAGAGAAAGCCGAGAACATATTCGTGCACGCGCATATTTTTCAGTAATTGTTGGTTCATTATATCGTTTGATCCATTTTTATAGCAAAGTTGTTTCAATCGAAATAAAATCTGAAAATATATTTTTACAACAAAAATGAATGCCATTGTTCTTCTTATAGGCGTTTTATTTTTAAGGGACCTCAAATGAATGAAAGATTTCATGTTGATGACCTGTTTAATAAGCGGGTAGCCGATGAGTGGTGCTTTATCTGACAACTCAAAAAGAGCGCTAGCCGCGTTTTCTCGATCATCGCTTAGCAATAGCTAAAATTAATTCTTTATTGGCTCGAAGGTTCTAAATTGAAGGAGAAATAAATATTGGATAGTAACAGTATTAAAAAAATTGAAAAAATATAAAAGAATAACCTTATTTAATAATTTAATACAATCATCCCGTGTAGGCGAATAATATTCATCGAGTTTGTCGACTAACAAATGAAAACTTTCATCATTACAGAAAGCTCGAGGAGCATTTAAGCCACTGTTTTGTAATTGCGATGCTGTATTCGACTTTTTTTCGAAGCTGTTAACGGTAGAAAGTATTCTGGAAGAAAATCGTAAATATGAATTGTAGTTTATAAATTTAAGGATAACATAGTTATTAAGCAAGATTGCAAATCTTTTTATGATAGTAAGACTAATAATGATCACTTCTAAATCATCGAATTTGTTATTGATAAATCTTCTTATCATTTATTTCTTTTATCGCATTTAAGGACAATAGTTGATTGAATCAAAAGATTACTCTGCACTTATATCCTCGATGCGAAGAGTATCATCGATAATTGGACTTTCTGATGCTTTACCAGCATTTACCCATAGTTCACTTTTTTCCGTCAATATCTTTAAGATGAATAAATCTCGATCTATTTGGCAATAATTCTCTACATCTTCGTTTGAAACTAATAATTGCACCTGAAAAAAGAGCGTTATTTTAAGCATATATACAGAGTGTATAATGTATATTCATGCCACCAGACTAGCAATATGACCTGCTTCAAATCGTCCACGAATTCATGATATTGAGTGAATTGTCGGAAAAGGACTTTTAATGCAGAACTGGCAAGTTTGGCACATTCACTAGTCGCAAGTTGCAAAAGTGTTTTAAGTAACTGCCGACCATGCTGACCACCACATTCCAACTGCTCTTCGGTTCTTTCAAATATTTCTTTATAAATCTCCATTGCATGTTTGGTTGTCAGTGCTATGTAAATTATTTATTTATTATTATTTATTAGATTATTTATTGTTGACCACAAATATCGTTGGTTTTTTTTACAAAATTAATCGACCAAGTAAAAATGCCTCCAATTCTTTATCCAACAACCATCACAGTTAACAAAAAGGTATAAAATCAAGAACAATTAGTTGATGCAAATGCTGAAACAAAAATATAAAGAAAAATTAAATAAGCCAAGGTTTATTCAAATTACCTTGAGGTTCCGTAAGTTCGCCATATTCATCACATGGATTTTTTTGCTTAAACCACGATAAAGCAACTGTTATTCGATAGTCTCGACGCACATCCATTATAAACTAAAGTTCCAAAATATCTCATCAGAAAAATCTGTCAATCAACGGTTAAAATCGCAATTTTGGTACAGAATTCTTGAAAAAAAATTGCCTGTAGTATTTCCACGACGATTAATTTTATTTCCATGATTATGTCTTTGCTTGCTTTCGATCGTACGTTTTCTTCCACGTCAACAGCATCGTTTGCTAAAGTTGAATTCAAAGTTCCACTTTTTTCTAACATTCCAACTCCCATAACCGAATAAGTCACCTGATGAAAAAAATGCGATGCTGTGTCACACACTTTTTTAACTGCAAATTAGTTTAATTACAGTTTAAATTTGCATTTGCAAAATTTCTAAAAATTATTAAATTGTGCAAATCATTAAATCCATATAGAAAATATAGACGGTAATTTTCAATTTCCACCTCAAAATTAACAAATATTCAAATAAATCTCAATAAGCGATTCCACCTGGAGTGGTGCTTGAATTGTTATCTGTGATTGCCAGCAAGCTTTCTGCAAGTTGCAATAATTGTGCAAAACTGTAAAAACCAAACTGCGCAAGTGCTCGAGCAAGAGTGACCATCTCAAATTATATGAATCATAAAAATAGAATTGAACACTATGGAGCAATTAAATAGTATTTTTAACGACCGTAGCGAAGAATATTAGAATTACCTCGAATGTTAATCGATTTTGCTCAAGCCTGGAGCTGTGATCATTTAAAACATTCTCGCCTGATTTGGTAATATTCTTCAGAGATAACAAATAATCACTAACAGCTTTTAGTAAATTCGCGTAACCAGATCTCGCTCGACCACTTGTTGCATATCCTTCTACAGGTCTACTTGAACAGCTATAGAATAGAAGGAAAGAATTTTTGGTCTATATGGAAATTTATGGATTAAAGAAAGGAGTTCCAAAGTTTACTGAAAATGTTAAATTCATATTTATTCCAATCAAGTGGTTAGGTCTTAAGTAGGAGAAGAAATGGGAGAAGTGATTATACTTGAGAATAGAAACTCGCTCGGGTATTTCCTTCCAGAGTCGCGCATAGCGAATAGCATTCAGCGGTGATCCTCGAACAACGTGAAGATGCAACATTAAACGGGCAAATGAAGCCCGCAAATTATCGGGCAATCGACTATCTGACATGCATCTAAAGTAAGGCTCCCACAATAATGTAGTAAAACAACAAATTAAGGTTAACTTCTCACCTTCCCAATATGAACTTCTATTTCAATTAAATGAAACCGCAAAAATAACTTTAAAACTAAATCCGGCGGTAATTCAGCACTTAAATTTAAAAGATGTCTTTCAGGTGGTGGATCTATAGCCAAATATTGTTGTTCTTGGCACATTTGAGCGAATAAATCCAGTTGGTGCCTGAAAAATTTATAACTGGCTAAAATTAAATATGCGATCAATTTTCGCGTAAATAGTTTTACACTTATTATAATCGACCTATGTCGGATCTATGGAGAATCTTTTTTATAGTTTCATCTTGCTATTGTAAATATCTATCATATCAATTTGACTAATCAATTAGATCGAATTGACTTGTAATAATCCAGCATTTCGGAGTCTTCTTGATCCCCAATCGAAACACCTTTTGCCATTGCGATTAAAGATTTCATATAGCGATCTCCCCATTTAATCTGAACTTCATCGATTTCCTGAAACCAGCAGTACGAATATTTCATGATTAAACTTTGAATATATAATTAAATTTAATTAAATATTAAAAATATAATTTAATTAAATATTAATTAAATATTAAAAATTTAATTATATAACATAATTAAATTTAAAAATTTTCAATTTCGTATGTTGGCTGTGGAATTTTAGTTTTGATTTTATTTATTTCTATTTAAAGACAATTGAAAAAGTAATTTAAAAGTAATTTATTAATAAAATTGAAAGTAACTTATACATATCATCAAATATTATACCGAAGAGTTTAAGTGTTCTGTGCGCATAAAGATGTCTCGATTAGCTTCGCTCAATACGCAGTTACAAATTAGTTCTTGGACTTTCTTATTGGCTTCACCACGGCAAACGCATAAATCAGCCAAATAATCTAGAAACCTAAAGGTCTTACTTTAGATGATTTCATCATCATATATCATCATCCAAAACGAAAATCTGAAAACGGTTAAGATTGTCTTGTGTACTAGTGCAATTCCAACTTTCCGGTCTTGTTATTCCTGACAAGTTCAACGAAACGCTGCACATGCGGATCTTTAACATATTTCTCTAGCAACTTCGGATTGTTATGCAAGACGGCAGTCATAGTATCTTCAGCCAGGAGATCAAAGCCGATTTGTTGCTGTATTAAACCAAATTGTTCCGCCAAATGTTCTTGATTTTTTCGATAGCGAACTTGTGAGTATCTAAATGTTCACGTATGTTTTAATGAGCATAGAAAAATATAATGATTATAGCCGTTAAGAAACTAAAACCTTAAAAGTGAGTAGCATAACTGAAACATTCGTTTAAATACATCGTTTCTTTGCTCATTTAATTCCTGAGGCGACAGTAGGAGAGGTCCCATTATTCCTCGTCGTGGTTCAAACGGTACACGAAGCAATTCAAAGGTCTATAATGAAAAATGTTAAAGCATAAGAGGCAATCATATAATATCTAAGAAATATTACAAAATTTAATAAATTAATTTCATAAAAGTAATTTTTTCTAAGAGCGCTCACCATCTTTGGTTAGTCTTGCTCCCTTGGTTGTTGGATTAGATAAATTAGATTTACCAGGGATGCACTTGGCGACAGAAGTACAGATAAGTCGCAAATATCAAAAGAATGAAAATATTACAAAATAATATAAGTGAAAAAAGAAGACCTGCTTGAGAACACCTTGCTCCCGAAGTAATTTTTGACGGTCTCTGGACGGGATAAAATCAACTATTTTGAGAGGATCAACCAAATGATTTGCTTGATTTGTAACAAAATATATGCATTCAGTTAACAACTGTACAATTATACTGAAAATTTTTCATCTAGTTTTTACGAAAGTATATAGAATAAATAGATTAGAACCATAAGAAAAAACTCACTTCAAAGATTCCTTAGCAATTATTTTACCACTTTTGATAAGATCAATGAAGTTAGTCAGGGCTTTACAAGCGTCATTTGCGAAATCCAGATCGCGAACTTCATTCGGATGAACTGATAATAATGCAAAAGTTTCTTTGTCAACCCTCTGGTCTTCGCCAATGACTTTAACCCATCCTTTCTCATTCTTACTGTAATCAAAAATGTTTTCTGGAGTAATTTTTTTTCAATTATAATTGGCCAAAGTTCAGAAAAGCAAAAGGCCATTGGCCATTATTCTATATTAAGAAAAACTTCAATTTTCAGGATCTAATTTTAGTTGCATTTCATAAAAATTTTTAAAAATTTCATAAAAATTGTTGATAAAAAATAGATGCATTTCACTCCATTTTATTTATGATGTGTTTCTGGCTAAATCTGACTATTTTAAATAATATAAGTTATATAATATACTTTAAATAACCTGAAATAATATAAGTTATTTTTTTCTGAAGGGTCAGTTGTATGTATCCATTTTTTGGTGACAATATGGAAGAGCCTAGCATAAGTTTGTTGGCTGATTCTTGCCTCGGTCTGCAATATTATATGAAAAGCCCAAAAATTCAATAAATTTTATTGATAATGCTGATTCAATGATGATTAAAGAATGATTAAATAGTGGCATAACAAATAGATATGAAAAAAAAGGAGAGGATTCTCAGTCAACAAAACTGGTGGAATTATTTCACTAATTTCACTTGTGCGAAAGGGAATGATTCTTGGCAGAAGAAACTAATTGACCTAGAAAAAAGAACCTTATTTGATGCACAAGGATCGAGAGCGAAAATAAGGGACTCATCAGCTTCAGGGCGTTCAGTTTGTTTCGGCACAAGATAATAGAGATGATTCCAGTTTGGATCATCTGCATGGACTGCAAAAAATTCTGATAATAATTCTGGGATAATGGAAAATGCTCAAGCGCTAAGTTGCATCTGATAAGAGAAAAGAAAGTAGATTACATTAACGTCCTCTTATGGCAATAGATCTGCCATTAAAATAAAAATTAAATAATGCTGAGGATCCACTGGTACTACTGTGCGCAGCCAATTTCCTTATGAAAAGATTGCATATTGGAAAAGAAAAATTAATGTGATCATATCATAGAGGAAAAAAGCAAGATTCTAGAAAAGAATATCATATTATTTTTACAGTATTAATATTATTATTTTATTATTATTATTATTTATTATTATTATTATTTTTACAGATATTTATTATATTATTTATTATTTATTTATTATTATTTTTATATTATTATTTTTATTATTATTTTATTTTAACAGATTGAAACCATTAAAATTTATTTAAGCATACAATAAAATTTAAATGACCTGGAATAGATGATGCTGGAGGCATATCGAGGACGTCCCTCATGTCTCTTGCACTTTTCACCGTAAGAAACATATCAGAAGCGAGGTGTTTAAATCGAAATCTTTCATGCCACGCAGCAGCTGCTCCACGACAAGCTTCATTTTGAACAACCTATTAACAATAATAAAAAATGGAGTAAATTGTTTTTAAATATATTGTTAAATATATCTCTATGTGATTTAATTTTTTCTAACAATGTTTAATGTTTAATCAAAAGCTGAGAAACTTCAGGAAATGGATGGACAAGAATTTACCTGTACTTCCCACAATGCTCTCGAAGATGTAGCATCGGCAGCGGATGGCCTATTTGTTAGCCGCAAAAAAACCACATCTTTCCCTTTCTTGGGTATAGTGTCAAGCGTCAAAAATGTTTGCTGATCAGCATGAAATAATCTAATCACATCGCCCTTAAATCAAATTCCATAAGTCTCCTGCTAGTTTATATTTCCTCAAACGAAAAAAACAGGACTAATCTAGAAAAGAATTTCTTTGCCATTTTTAGATTAACGAACTCTAATGAATGCAAAGACCGTGCTGCGCCTATGGTAAGCACTTATAACCATTATCTTTTTCTTCATAAAGAATAATGTCAATGTTCACCTACCGATTTGATAATGTCCCCACGATTTTCATCAAACTGAAGGAAAACAAACACTTGCCATTCAGTATGTTCGTTAACGCAGTTCACCTCGTATCCCTGTGGGTGATCAGGAAGTCTATAAAGTTAATGCCTGCATGTTGAAAAATCATGCTGAAATTTGAGCTAGAACTATGGAAAACTTCAATCTTTAATTTGATTATTCCTATTTTATTCATCTATCAATTACACAGTTATTTAAAATTTGATATAAAAAAGCAAAAACAAAAGATTCAAAAAAATAACTACCTCATATGTGATAAATGTATCTGTGGTTTAATAATCCCGGTGTTCCCTGATAACGATCCATATGAATATGGCACCAAACTTATTCTGTCACCCGAATTCACCTGTAATTTCATCGGCAAATGATATTTAATGCAGATATATATTGATTAAAGCTATATCACTGGTTGATAGAATTTGCTTACAATTTCATAAAACAGCCATCCTTTCTTTGGTTTTATCTTTTTAGACTTAAAAATAATTCAGATTATCTTCATATTTAAATTATTTTTATTTTTTAAAATTCTCAACTGAATTGCTTTCATAATTTTATTTATTTGTTGCCCGCCAGCTATACTCACATTTCTCTCATTTCTTCACCATTTCACTCGATTTTGAAAACATTTTTGTCGACAATATTTGATTATTTAAGTGAAAAACAAACATTATCTCCAAGAAAAGAATGTTTATAAACAGTTTCCACATAAAACCATGAACCTTCATTGCCTGTTTTGTCTAAACAAACTTTCATTGCATTCCGCTCCAATTTTGCTGGCGTATTTTTCATTACCGTCAAATATTTGTCTGATTTCACATGAAGCAACTGAAACAAGTGAGCTTTCGCATGTCATTAAATTTATTAAATATACTAAATAGATTTTTTCTTTTCTTTTAAGTAATTTGAAGAATTTTAGCAGTAAATCTCTTTTAGTGATTAGTGATGTTATAAAAAAGTTTCATAGAAAATAGTAATCTCAGCGATAGTCTAATTTTAACAAAGAGTCACTTGTATGGTGCCGCCGTACTGTACGATTGAACCTAACATTTTTTGATATTCCATTTCATTTTGCTCTTTTTCTTTATCAGCAGCATTTTTCAATTTTGCTAACATATCCTCCTCAAATACTGATTCGCCTTCACGAAATCTCTTCTGTTCGGTCCAAAATTGCTTTTGCGCAGCATAGCGATTAATTGGACAAATCCGAAATAAGCAATCTAAATCATTTGTCTTAATTTTATTTAGCCTAAAATATCTTTTTTTTTATATTTCTTTCTATTGGAATATTTTTTGAATTCATGTTTCCATTTAAGAATAGCTAAGCAAATGATATTAGACTGAGAAATAAAAGTGAGTATTGCCAAATAATGAACTTAAGGTATAGCCAGAAATAAATAAGCAATAAATGAAGGTCGTAAAAAATTACCACGAAACTTCTTCGGAGGTGCTTCAGGGTTTCCATCACCAATCTCAACAATACAACGGTCGTCAACTAGACTACAATAACAAATGGCTTGATGCATATAATTTTTAAATGGATCCAATTTTAAATGAACTAACTAACTTTAATCAAATTTAAATGGTTATTAATAAGCATTGATTTGAACAACAATAACAAGAATTTTTCCTAGAAGAAATGAATTCTTGATTTGAAAGAGCTTAAAATATTTGCTGAAATAATTTAATTGATATATCAAATGGTGCATTGCTTAGACTATCAGTTCAAATATTACGATTCGGTCGCTATTCGGTCGCTATGCCAAGATGGGATTCACATTAATATCAAAATTATATAAACAATGCACCAAATAATTGAAATTCTTCCCCTGGAGTGCATTTTAATAATTTGCGTAATTTATGAAATATTTAATATTTTTAATATGAACTTAAAGAAGGTCGTGTAGTAAATAATTCTTAACAAAATTACCCGAGGGTCGACAAAAACCCAGTTTTAATGAAAGTTCGATCATCGTTTCGATCATCTGATTGCCGAGATCGATCTTCTGTATACAATGATATTACATCACCAATATGCAAAGTGGAATTGTGAAAAACTTCCGAGCTTAAATTCGATTTATCATAGAATAATTTTTGTCTTGTTTTGTTACTTCCTAAATTCATGTCCGACAGATGCCATTTAGCTTCTAAAATAATAGAAAAATGCAGATTTTTACAATATTTAGTTTATAACTATTTCGTATTTTAGATGGTCTAAGATTTGATACGATTAAAAAAATGCCCAGTCACTTTGAATTAAAATATAGATTACTAATAAATCATTCATGATAATAAATATAGATTACTAATAACAGATTATCAATTGCTGAGAAGTTACTTCTACGATAAGTAAATATATATTTTATGTAAATACTTAAATCATACGGCTGGACCAGATAAAAGAAACAAAAACCCGTAATAATCTACCAAAAAATCCTGATCGTGCTGACGAATCATCTGCACTTCTATCGCTGAATTTTTTCTAGCAAAATTTCTAACCCTACTAACAATAACCAAAAGAGATAACCTAACTCGAAGTGATTAGTAATTAACCAATTAATGAAATTATACTTATAGTATTTCGAAAATACATTATAAATACAACATAAATTTGTCAACAAAATTATTCAAGAATCAAAAACAGGTAGATGAGAAATATTCAATCACCCAACAATATTTTGTGACATAATTTTATCAAAGAATATAGGACCAGTTACAGTAACCAATTGATCCACTATCTTCTAAAAAAAATGACATTACTAAGAACACTGATAATATCAATTACAGTTTCAGCAGTTTCTTAAATAAGTGAATAAATGACAAATACTATTTTTCCTATCTCTTTCTTTCCACGGATTTCTAGTAGAAAATAAAAGGAATGGAATATTAACCGATGGATTTGTGGAGTGCAAAAATGAAGTGCTGGAAAGATATCTTAGTTTTCAAGTTATCTATTTAATTGAATTTACTTTTTAAAAAAATGCAGAGGAAAATTAAAAGAATCGCCCACTTAATGAGAGCAATAAAAATTCTATTTTATTTATTTTGATGTGATATAGAAATTGAAAATTTGAATTTTAAAAACAAGTTTGATTATTACGAAATTTGATTGAATATTGAGATAAATTTTTGCTTTCGAGCAGTTTTTTATAAAATCAAAAAATAGAAATTTTTTTTAGTGTTCTGAATTACACGCGTAACTTTTGGCTAATATGCATGTATGCTGAAATTCAGCAGTTCAAATGTATTTTCGCTTAAGAAATTAGTGATATATTGCTCGCGATGAGAGCAAGCAGCATGGATTCGATGCCCAACTAATTGTTGGTTGTGCTCATAAAAATTAGATAATTCATGTGCTATTAACGATATCTCTATATTTCGCTGCAAGATTCATAAATTATAGTTATGAAACTCGATTGTAATTCATGAAATAAAAGAAATTTTGATAGAAAAACTCGAGAAAAATGATTATCAAAGACAAAAGCGAAAAAATATCGATTCTACCGGTAATTCTGCCCAAGAATTATATAGTCATTACATCAAACGATTGTTTGAATGAGATGACTGATTATTGTTGTGTCGATCAAATCGATTTCTGCTATATGATGATCACTGATGAAAAAAGAATCAACTAGCAAAACTATTCGAACTGTTTTATTTGTACAAATTAGATGGAACAAGTGGTACAATATTCATATCATTGCCTGATGAAATTTTTGATAAAAACTTTCGATCCAGTTGAGCAGCTTCATTTGGTCAGAACTCGAGCAAAGGCTATTCGAGATCGCTCTTTTTAACGCCACCGTAACCCAAACATATAACTAGCTGGTCGATAGAAAAAATAACTACCATTGTTGCAGGCATTTTTGACATTCAAACCAAAATATTTAAGTTTTTCACATTGATATTCCTTTTTCTAATGTAAAACTCTTCTTTTGATTCAGAAAACTTCCATTTTGATGGAAATTTGATGTTTTCTATTCATAAAGTTTGATTAAAAAATATAACTAAATAATGAAATTTCTTGCAGAGAGTGCCATATGAAAAATTTATATCTAATGAAATACCTGAAAAAGAAAAACCTAACAGAATAGTGGAAGAATAATCTAATAATCTCAGTAGAAATAAGAAATGGTCTAAATTAGGAAAATTTTTTGATAATAAAAGGGTAAAAAATAAGAAGAGCAAGAAGAGCTAAAAAAACCATCTAAAAAGAAAAATAAGGAATATTTGATGAAGAAAATATTCGAACGTTTATTTATTTGTGAAACTGAATACACAAAAAATCGGAAAGATTGGTTATGCAAAAATCGATCATGATGGAATGATTACAAAACGAGATGCTTATCACTAAAATATTTGCAAATTCGTAGAGCCAAAATATAAGTTTAAGGGGAAGAATGAATGAATCTGTTGTATCGTTATAGAAATCAGCTTTTTTTGAAATATCTATGAAAATTTAGATAATTTTGATGAATAAATTCATTATTAATCAAAAGCATTTTAAATGAAATACTTTATGAGACAGACTTTGACAAACAAACTCGAATAACAAATAAAGTTCAGTAAATCTGGATTTGTTCTGTCGGAAATGCAATGAAAAATCAACCACAACGCTTCTCGAGATTAGTGAGAAAAAGTTGAGATAAGTAGATAATTCAAACAAGTCAGTAAGAATCATTGAATGGTAAACGAAATTCGGATGCATAAAAACAGCTATATTCAAGACAATAACAATAAAAAAATTGTTAACTGAATGAATAACCATCTGCAAAAGTGAATACGGAAAAAAGGAATAAAAAAAAGTTTATTTAGAAATAAATTTAAAACCTTTAAAGGGCCACATATTCAGCGAAGTACCGTGCAATTATCCACCAACTATCCACTAATCAATGTAATTTTTGTTTTCACAATTGTTTTCGACATCATCGAAATAATAAAGCGTTCAATGTGATACGAAAGCTATCATAACAGCAAAACTGTTTCCTTTTCGTTATATTTAGTCATGACAACAATCAGAATTTAATGATTTTAAAAAATATAATATACTTAATATGTGCATTTTAGATGATAATTTTAGTGATAACGATGTAGATATCACATTATCACATTGTATCATGTATCACATTATCAAATTGTTATAATCCCCACATCGTGCTATACAACGACCAAGAGAAGAGTAATAGTTCAAGCTTTTTTATGGAAAACAAACGAAGCTGTATAGAGATTTCAGCAGCAAGCATAAGATATAGATGGATTATGGTAACACTAGATTATGGTAATACTATACTGGCTTTATAAACTATTCGCACCTAACACTTCAAATAGATAAATTCATTTTTTTCAGAATTTGCCAGCCGATGAAATGCACCTTTGTTCTTATCAACACTAAGGATTTTTATTTTGTTTGTTGACATTTTACTTAAAAATCACGAATTGAAGAAAACATTACGGATCAATCACTTTAGCAATGTTTGTTGATCATATGACCATTTAATAGAAAACAAATAAAATTATTTACAAACCTGCCAAACAGTATTGATGAAAAAATTATTTTCTCTTCCGTGAAGAAGATCCATCTGTTCAAGGATAATTAATTCAAAATGCGTAAAAATATATTTTTTTTATTTTTTTTATTATGTGAAAATATAATTTGGTAAAAAATCTCGATGGATAAATACTGAATGACTGATTAATATTCACTGTTTATTGAAATTTGTTGGGTGAAAATTTTTTATCAATTTTTTGAAAAAATTTCCTTCTGTTTATCCACAGTTCGTTTTATGAATGGTTTTATGACAATATTCATCCATACGGCTATTTGTAAGTGCCATTCCAAAAGACATGCGTCAAGGAACACTAGGATAACAAATATCAAACGATGATATCGAAGGTGCATTAATCATAAATTATATGACTTTTAAATTATATGACAAACAGTGGCACGACTGTAACTTGCACCCTTATTAAAAATAATCTTCAGTGGATCTTCTTTTATTTGATAGATGTTTTTCACAGGCGAAAACCTGGAACTGTGCATCGTACAATAGTTTTCATCCACTGATTAGCTGGTGAAGATTATTATTCATTTTGGTTGAATAGATCAAAACAGTACAAAACGCTTTCTTGCACAAGTTATTCGATTCATTTACTTATTGGCCTTTCTTTACTGGTCATAGTTTTTTTTTTAAAACAAATTGCTTAAGGTCTATAGCCTCATATTTATTTAAATAGTTGATTATCCTGGCAAATGGCAATAACTTAGATGGACTGGATTTATTTGGGATTGAATTGAAGTCGATCAATTCTTTTTAACCAGATTGGACAATATTTATCATGAAAATTATTTTTCATGAAAAAATTCATGACAATTTGTGCCTCATCGTCCTACTTTTTTTTATATGTTATTTCATTCAGTCAAAAAATAAATATAAATAAATATAAGTAATAAAAAATGTATTGCCCTAAGCTTAAAAAATGGCAATCATTCATCAAAAATTAATCAAAATACTTTGCCAATTCGCAGCAAAAATGTGCAAATTGGTGCATGCACTTGCATGACGCATTAATCTACCAAAAACTACCAAATGCTGATTAGTCAAAACTTGTTCTGTCTTATCTTAAAGGGGCCAATAAATCACCAATGAGATTGGCAACTGATATAGAAAAAAATATCTAAAAATATTTCAGTAGCAGTAATGGGATACCGTATTTCTTATCGGATAACTAAAAGCAAAATTCCAAATTTCATCCAAAAACTTTTGTTGAATTATTGGAAATATTATTGCGAAAGATGCGAAAAATCTTTCGCGAAAATCTTCATCGTGGTCTGATATTGTTTTTATTTTATTTACACAAGTTTTTTCTATTTTTGATGCATCTGTGAAAAGAATTTTAGAATTTTTCCACAAGAAAAACCAATCTTTTTCACTAAATTATGCAGTTTACTACTAAAATGGATGAAATTTTCATTTTCTTGCCAGGTGATTTTTTTACTTCACATTGATTTTACGTCATTTTATTGTCGCCTAATAATGCCAGAAAGTAGGACACTGTTTATCCTGTGGACCATATAAAAACTTGAAATTTTATTCACGAAATTTAGAAGCCAAAAACCAATTCCCTTAAAAAATCGGAATTAATAAAAATATGATAACGAATTAAGCACAACTTTATGCAACTTTTGTTAATATTGGGGCCTGAGTAGCTTCTATCATTGCGAGAATTTTACTTTGTCATTACGCCATTATCATTATTATTATTACTGTTCAAGAAAAAAATCTTTGCTTTATAACTTACTGAAATCACAACTCTCATCATTACTGGTTAGGCTGGCTCTGCTGGTTACTAGAGTAAGATATCTCCAAGCTGCCCTATCCGGCGCCATCGCTAATAGTAATAGAGGCCATTCATTTTTCCACTGTTTAAATACATATACCGCTGGCCCTATATGTTCAAAATCTTTCCCAACTATCAATCCAGGTCTTGATTGGCTCTATGGTTTGCAAAACATTGCCAATTTTTATATTTTATACGATCACTATGCAGTGAGTTAAAAATTCAACCTTTCTAACCCCTTCTATAAATACAGCCCTATCCATTCACCACATCAGTTTATTCTAATGAATGAATATTTCATAAAATAGCTCCCAAAAATATGCAAAATAATTTGAGAAATTTGATTGAGTTTAAAGGAGTTTTTGCGCATAATTTATCGTTCATTATAAAAAAATAAATTTATTAAGTATTTATTAAAGATAGAAAAATTTTGATCGAAATGATTTCAAAATCCAAACAAACAGTTTAAATTCAAATTTTTCACCATTCGTCTCCTTCCCTAAATCCAAATATCGCTGGGCCACTCTATGCGTTCAAATTTTCTACTATCTCTTTTAACATCAATTCATATTTTGGTCGATCCACTTAACTTTTGACGCCAACTGTCATTAAGTTTAGCGACCACACTCAGATGTGCAATTCCCGCGATAGGTGACGAAGAATGGCAATGTCGGCAATGTTTGAGGCCAGTGAAAATGGTATTTTTTAAAGGTAATCAATATCACTTGCCTTTGATTACAACGATCAGCTGAAGTTCTAGCGAGAAACAATTTATTTATAAAGTTTATCCCGACAATTTTCAGATAAATTGTTTAATACAGATAAATTTTCAAATTATGAAAAAAAATTCATATCATTAGCCGCCATGTAGACCGAGTAAGAAAATTGTATTGCTGCCAGCAAAAAATGTAATAAGGTAAACATCGACAGATTATATAATGGAAATAAGTATTCAATAAATGATCAATGATTTATTTTGGCACGAACCACAAAAAAGGTGAATATTCAAGCCCATGAATGTGGCCGAATAGGTTTGAGAGGATCAAACAATTTCGCATCACGCAGATATTTGGGTTCTTTCACGAATATTGGCATATAACCAGCGCGTCGACTTATTGCTATCACTTCCAGAAGCCGCTTTTGTTGATAATCACATAATCCCGTTACGTGTCTTAAAACTTTTTATTCATTAAATTTAAAATATTATTCATTTCTTATTATTATTAAACATTATTTCAGAGAACTTTCAATTTGAAAAAAATTTATATATATATATATTTTACCTGTCATAAACACGTCCAGAAAAATTTGATACAAATTGTTGCAATAACCTCGCATTCTTATAATCAAGCGTTATTTCGTTTCTGCACAGTATACATTTTCTTCTTGGCTTTTCATAAGGATTATGGCTCAGTTGAATTGGCTTATCACAATCATCTAGCTCAGATTTGACAGAATCACAAACAGACTGGGAGTTTCCGATTTTCAGAGTTTCCGATAATTTAATCGTAGCCGAATGGCCGAATCTTCGACACATTTGATGAAATAAATTCATTTTTCAAACAAAAAGCATCATGCAGTCGTAGGCTGGAAATAAAAATTTCTTTCCACTTGTTGCCAATAAAGAAAGTCAACTTCAATCTTGATTTATATTTGCATTAAGTAAGTAATAAACGACCATTAAAACAAAATACGAATAGTTATCGCAGATTATTTAAATAAACTTTGATCGAAAAGTAATAATAAAGTAGTAATAGTAATAGTCGATAATAATCGAAAAGTAATAAGTAATAAAGTAATAATAGTAATAACCATAAATGAAATTTGAACAAATTGTATAAATATTTTAATAGATAATTTATTCATAATTTCTTTACAAATTATGATAATCAATAAAAAAAGAAAATAAAAATTTTTCTAGTAAAGCATTTATAAACGACTGAAAAAAATAAAATTTGTGGTAACAATAATGTTTTTTAAAACTTAAATGAGAGCTCAATTTACAAAAAAATTTAAGAACAATAAGTACAAACATAATTAATGAAAATTTCAGTCTGTGACATCCCCTTTGGCTCCTAATCGCTGAGGATCCTGGCTTGGATAATAAATTTTTGGTGTTGGATTGTAATTTATAGGATTAACAGTATAAGGTACCTGCAATAAATTATGAGGTGATCTTACAGTATATAAATACTCTTTCTATAAATACTTTCTATAAATACTTTAAACAAATTCATTTTTTGCAACTTTCTTCTGAATTTCAAATATTTAACAAATTAAAATTTAAAACCAATACATCGTCCCATATGTATCTTATCCACTTTTGTTAAAATCCATTAATATTCCACAAAAACCGTTAAATTTCCCTACAAAATCTCTCTGCCAAAAACCTTCTCTCTCTCAAAATCTCTGATGAATCGCTTAATATCGAAAATCCCATTTTATTTCCTGAGATTTCAAGCTAAAAAATTAAAAACTGACTTGAGGTACAATTATTTGTGCTGGCGGTGCAAATGTTGAAGGAGGCATTGGCGGCATAGGTATATGATCAAAACGCTGACGCTTTGCTGGTTCATCACCATCATCATCAAACAGATCTGGAGCAGGACAAGCTGAAAAATATTGATATGAAATATCAATAGATAATTAATAGATAAGAAAATCGATTGCCTTTTTTCATGCATATAACACATAATAGAATAGCTCAGTGGGTTCTTGCTCAACTGGGAGCGCCGATGCTGAGCTTCGATTCCCCGCAGGAGTAAACCTTTACAAAAATCCGGGTGATACTAGCGATTCATTTCTATCACCAAGGGACTCCCTGACTGCCAAATGCGACAAGCCAGTAGTGCGAGTTTAACCAATAATGGTAAAAATAACAAATAAATAAATGTAAAAGCATTTTACAGCCATAAATTTAAATTAAGGTAAAAATTCCAAAAAAATTTACGATTTGGAAGACCAGCGACATTTTCTAACTTTCTATTCTCTTCAGAACGAACTGTTGCTTGTGGCCTTCCCCATCTAATCTTAAGTCGTCTGCCTGAAAAAAAGCGAAAAGCCTTTTCGTCTTTTGCAATGCCTAAGGATCTGGATTTTAAATGACGAAAACTGTAATGAATCAATAGATTTTACAAATATTTTAGATGAAATATGCTATAAAATCAGAAATTTTTGAGAAAATGACTTACCTTGTAAAACCAACTTATTGAATGAACGTTCAGCTGCTTTTTCAGCAGCAAGCCGTGTTGTAAATGCAATAAACGCACAACCTTTAGTTGGTAATATATTTAAGCTTCTAATTTCACCAAATTGATAAAAATAATCCCTGCAATTTTTCTACAAAAATAAAATAAAAAATAAACCAGTAAGCATAAAGAATACCGCAAATCAGCTTCTGTGATTGTACCAGGTGGGCCTATATCTCCCACATAAAGCGTTGTGACTGATTCGTCTTCAGGAGGATGTAAAATAGGCATTACTTTAGCACGATTTAGTAACTTTTCGGCAACTGGATCATTATTACCATAGTATCGATCACGCATATTCTGATGACTCAAAGGATCATCGGGATCAGACGGCTTCTCATGTCTGAAAAGATGCATTAAACAATCAATAATTTAACTCTTATGATAAATAAAGAAAATACTATATGAAAAAACCATAGCAATAATTTGACAAATAGAGATGAATTATAATAATTCTGATAAAATTATAAAAATCGAAAAGAAATCGCAAACCCTAAATTAATCAGAAATATATCGAAATAAACCAATAATTTGATGAAAACTTAAAATTTACTCACCTGTATGGGCACTCTTCTCCTCTCTTACATTCACCCTTAACAAAAAATGAGCATATATGTGGTTTATTTCTTTGATAGTATGGCTGATTGCGGGAAAGTTTTCGCAACAAATCGTTTGATCCTGAAAATATCAAGATCTCTTAATAATCATTAATGATTAGCTAGATTAAACTAAAATATACCGAACCAGCATCAACAATTTTTGCAATTGTTGCAACAGGAGTAGTTCCATCGGTTAGCGCCAACTCTCTTTCTTGATTCTGGATGTAAAAATCACGATTTGCTCCTTGCCTTGGAAGATTATCTTCGATTTGCAATGCATGATCGCGGACTTGCACAGGAAGACCTTAAAAAACTATTGTTAAATCATAATGTAGACCAGACACAATAAATATATTGCTTAAAATCTAAAACGATCAATCCAATTCAGTGATGTATTGAAACAAATTTTGAAAAAAAATTTTAAAAAATAAAAGAAATTCATTGAAGTTCATCGAATATAAGTCTGAATTATTTTTAGTTGTGCGAAAGTCTGATAAATCTCTGTTTTTTTTTTTTTATATCGCATTCCTTTCCTAAATTTTTTACTAATGATTCATCTAATTAATTAATTCTAATGCGACTAATTTGATCTAAAGCGAGAATTCAGCTTTGAAAACTTCTATTATATTTTTGCAAATAAAATTATCACAAGAAATTCGTTGAAGAAAAAACAAACCAAATTCAAGATCAAGTAGGCAAGTCTGACAAACATTCTTTAATTTTGCACAAGTCTGACAAACTTCTGTTTTTTTATATCGCATTCCTTTCCCAGGCATCCAGCGAAAATTTGTAAATGGCCGTTGGCAAATTTTGCATTCAGCCCCGTGTCGATCTTTCATCTAAAATTTAGTTCCTATTCCTTCATAAATTTACATTGAGTGAATTTATAGTTTTTTAAATTGAAATAAATTTTATAACTTATTATATGAAAAGGATCTAGCAAAGATAATTTGATCAATAACAATCAATAACAATTAAAAAAAAACCATTCGCAGATAAGGATTTGAGCCGAGGCATGTTTGACACAAAATCGGAAAGTCCTATAAAATAAAGAAAATAACTGAAAAATTCATTTATAAAAATTTTCTTAATTTGAGAAATTTTGTCTTCCTTTTAAAATAAAAAACACCTAATAAAAATTAATAAAAAATAATAAAAATTAATTAATAATAACAAATAATATTGAAATTCGATAAAAAATAATTTTTCTTTTCCTAAACAAAAACTAAATTTTATTCATCCTGAAAACTTGCATTGAAATTCTCGTTTGAATTTTAGCATTGTGAAAACATTAAAATAATAAAAATAATAATATAATAATAATGATAGTAATAATAATAAAGTCCAATATTATATATTAATAACATTAATAATGCTAATAACAATAATAGCCAATAGCTAATAATAATACATAAAACATAAATAACAAAATAGATTCAAAATTATTACGGTAATAATGCTGATGCTGATATGTAAAATAATAATAATAATAAAAATAATATAATAATAATGGTAGTAGTAATAACACAACTTAAGTAAAAATAACAGTAATAATTGCAATTAATAATAAAATAACAGTAATAACAATATTCTGCTTTTGAATTTATTTAGCAATAATAAAAATAATAATATAATATATAGTAACACAATACATAATAACGCAATATATAATAATATAGTATATAATAAAATAATATATAATATAATAATGCAATAATAATTATAATAAAATTATAATAATATAAAAGTGATTATAACAATTATAATTATAATATAATAATGATAATAATAAAAGAAATAAGTGGAATTCTAACAGCTTCTTCCCATGTCTTTCTGTTATACGTATACGAAGATTTTGACATCGACATGATTGGTGGTATTTTAAACGAATAAATTTGTTTATCCAAGTAAATTCACTGAAATTTCGTAAAAGTATAAACAAACATAAATCTAAAAAAAACCTATAATTTCAATTACTTGAAACAATTAATCGCAATAAATGGAAAATGAAAAAATACGAAAAAAAAAACCATTTATTTAAATGCTAGAAAAGAAAACAGAAAATTGATACCGTATTCCAAACCATCGCTTTAGGACCGAAATTTCATTTTTTGCAACTTCTTACAGCTTTCTTTTCACAATCTAATGAGCCAATGGTTTTCAACCGTTTTTTTCTCCTTCAAGAATTTTTCGTAAAATTTGTAAAAAATTTCCTACAAATAAAATCCATTGACTTGTATAAATGCGATGAAGGAAAATTTTAATTATCTTATAGCTTATGACAACGGTAATCGAATAAATTACTTCCCACAAACTGAACTATTTTAGTGAATAAACCAGGTTTCCCTTCACCGCTCTTTCCTAATCATCTTGGAGGTTTGGCATATTTCCAGTACCAACTTCGGCATTTACGCCTTCAAATATTTTGTAACGTCTTATATAACGTCTTGAAACTGGTATCGTCTCGACTGGAATGGTTTCTTGGCTGAATCTTGCACATTATAGAATAGCATTAAATTGGTTGCTTCTAATGATTGCTGGCGTGAGTCGCCGTCGTCTGCGAGTCGACTTATGAGTCGATCAGAAAGATATCGGCAGTTATGCAGTTATGCAGTCTTTTCAGTGTCCTTTCCGGGTATTTCTTCCATTTCTACCGTATTTATTTCGTTCATTTCAGTTGATCTTAATTTATAAAGAAGGACAAAACAAGGCACAAAGCCATTTGTTTGGCATATAAGAAAAAACGCCGCAGACTGGGAAAGACAAAATACCGCAGAATAAGAGTGGAAAAATGGCTGGGCCAACACAAATAAAATTGCTCATGCATAATGCAGAATCCCTCAACGCTACGAAATTTTATGTGATAAGCATTTTTAGATTGCTGATCGCCAGGTGCATAATACTCGTAGAATGCGTTGGTAGAAGATCCCGGAATGATTCAATGGCTTAGGCTTAGTGGCATTCAGGCAAATGTGAAACTAAATTTAGGCTTTTTATGTGTAAGACATATCAATGCTTTTTATAAATATAATTTCATTTTCATTAGACTGCTAGCAATTATTTTATTTGTTATTTGCTATATCTACTGTTAGAGATTCGAAACGATTCATGCAAATATGGATATTGGAGAAATTCAGATAACTCATTTCAAACAAAAGGGAAAGGTTGAGTGATTTCGACCTTACAACTAGAAGAATCCTAAACAAATGGTACTTCTCGCTGTTTCTGTTGCTTTCGTCGTTGCTGCTGGCATTCAATTGATATATCGTATTTCTTAATTTAATTTACCTTAATAGAAGTCTATAGATTACATAATAAAGTATATTAGCTTTCGAAGTTTCGTTTCCACGGAAACGTTTCATTATTCTTTTACCCATTTTTCTTATTCCATATTCAATTTAAAATGTTGAAATAACCTCTAATCTTCTTACTTATTTTCGAGATATTTGGTTTCATTCGAAATTTTATTAATCGATGAGTCTTCCAATTACTGAATGTCGCTTATCTATCGCTTACCACTTGCTTACTGTCAGTATTAACTCTCAGAAACGGCTTCGTCGATTATTATTCTCTATGGCTTCATTTTTCACTTCTTAATACAGTTATTATCATTGTACATAATTTGATTTGCTAAAATACTGTGCACAAATTTATTCACTGTTTAATCTACAAATAGTTTTCATTTATTTAAACCTAAAATCGGCAAAAAATTGATAGAGAAGTTAAATTGGTATTATATTATTGCTTCTTTTGAAAACAATGTTCCTTCCCCTACCAAAAATGATTTGACATTTAATTTTATTATTGAAATAAATTTAGTAAAAATAAGTTTCAATTCAAATTTATGGAAACGAGGATAAATAATGAAAAATATTTATATTTTCACAAATATTTTAAAATATTTTAGTAAAAATTTTAGTAAATAAAAATATTTTTTCACTTAAATATTTAACGAAATCATTCCTGAATAATTTTTTCATTTTTTCAATTTTTTTTGCTTAAATAATTAATATAATTTTTTAAAAAGTCGAGAGTTATGAATTAAAATTTAAAGCCATTTATTAAAACAATGCAGTACGATAAATTTTTGTTTTTCATTGAATATCTGAAATTTTCGAAGAATCTCCTTTAAATTTCCATTTCCTCGTTGATAAACTTTTGATTGAATGCTGAAAGTAACCTTTATCCATCGTTGCTGAATTTTCACAAAAGTTCCAACTCCTCTTTCTCTACAGTTTGCAGTATTTAATTCATATTTAACTTACTTGCCACATCTTTCTTTCTGCACTTCTAGAGTCCTTTGTCCTTTTTGCACCCTTTAAGCCTAAATAAATTCAAAAATTTAATTTATCTTAGCTTATTAGCGTCTAATTAAAGCAGATAACTGCATTTACGAAATATTTCATTTTTAATTCAACATTCCATGAAAATCAGATTTTGCGTTTCCGATAAATTTCCTTTAAATAACACTGTGCATTCAATGCGATTCGCGGCTCGCTATGCCTTACTGCTAATTGACACCTTTGTAAATCTGTCTGGTCCGACGAGTACCAGAGGGAGCGTAGTCAGAAATGGTTAGTACTTGGTAATACAGAAAAAACAGTCAACGAATTACCTATAGTGCAAAGTTTTAAATAAATTCGATGATTACAAAGAGAATGAAATATTTTTTTCTATGCATGACTGAAAAAAAGGTAGTAAATTGGCCAAATAAAAAATATAAACGTTGGAAAAAAAATAATTCGATAAGTTTCATAAGACTTTAATTATTTTAAAATTTCGGCCGATTCTCCCTTCCGATTTTCTAATAAATTAAATCTCTTTAAAGGAATAAAAATCAACAGTCGAACTCAAACAAATCCATTGCCATTAGATTAATAAATAACTATAAATAACTGCAATAAACGTAAATGATTGCTTTAACGATGAAAAAATTCATGCTGATATCAAATATCTCTCCAGTTTTTTGTTTCAGATTATATATATTATGAAATTGATAGACAGATAAGCGAATGGAACTTAACGTAACCTTAGATAGCATATGGGTCAATTGAAAAGCAAACTCACTCGCTCTGATAAAAAAGCTAATGCTGGATCAGATCCCGATGAGAAGTGGTCAAATTTATATAGAGAACGAGAAAAGAATCATTTATACAAGTGGGTCGGAGTTGGAAGTGGTGAGAACAGTTCAATAATGTCACTTTTAATCTGCACTTTTAATTCGTTTTTAGCCTATTAAAATTTTTTTAAAATAAAAATTTTATGTTGCTTTAAGAAAAATAAGTGAAAAGTGGGTGGTATCTCTGACTGACTGACTCGGTTTACTAATAATAGAATGAGATGATTTCGCTACGGAACCAGTTGAGGATAGGTCAATCCCCAGCATCCTTTCTTACTAACAAATTTTTCCCATTAGGCATGTTCGGCCATATTTTTGCTTCAAACTCTAGTTATTTATAGTTTTCTAGTCTTTTCCTTACTTTCTCTATTTCCTTACTTTCATGGTTTTTCATCTGATTAATAATTACCACAAATTACCAAGGAGGAACATTGGTCGCTACATTCGAAAAAGAAGGCGAAGAAGGTGTATTACGCTTTGCAAATGAAAAGGTTGTGTCGATGATGTACAATAACGGCGAAACACCTCAACTTATAAGATTTGCAGACTTCGCGAAATGGAAAAAAACAGTGGTATTTCATTGGGTTTTTTTTTAAAATTGGAAAAAATTGGAAAACAATTCACGATAGTATTCTTTGTTACCTTCTAACAGTCCATCTCTGGTTTGACTAGTTTTTTTGACTAATGGAATAGCACCTCATCATCAGAAAATCACCGGGGAGTGGAACTACAAGTGGGCCTTCACCATCGTCTCTGTACTTCAATGCTTTGTTCGAGAAAATCATTCCGTTAATGAACTATAAATTTATAGAATGTTCAATTAGGGAAAACAGAGGAAGAAGATGACCAACGCTCAAATGCTAGTTCCTTTCGTGAACATCTTGGTCAATGGAAATTGAATAAACGAGGTGTTGAAGGTGAAACGATAATACATCTTTTACTGAATCGTGAAGAACCGATGTGCAGCGAAATTGCTAAAATTTTAATTATTCGATATCCCGGCTTAGCAAACGATATTTTCTTGGGCAAAGAAATGTTCGGTTGGTTTTTTTTTGTGGAAAAATCATTATCATTTTTATCATTTTTAACCGAATTCCTTTGGCAAAATTATCAAATTCACATTGATTTCTGTACAAATCTACCAAATTATATCAGTTATAATTATTTTTTCACTTTTTTTACTCATAATTCACAGTAAACATTCAATTGAAGGTCAGAGCACATTACATTTGGCAATTGTTCACGATGATTATGATATGGTACAATTACTTCTTCAGAGCAATGCAGATGTAAATGCTCGAGCTTGTGGCGGCTTTTTCTTGCCCGACGATCAAAAAGATTACAAAGGTTGTTGAAAAATCGTCTAAATCATTGTCTCACTTCTCACTATGCGTATTTTTTAATTTGATAAATTTTTGCTGATATTTTCAGGATACGCTTATTACGGAGAATATCCTCTTGCTTTCGCAGCTTGTTTTGGCAATAAAGATATTTACGATTTATTAATACAGTATGGAGCTGATCCAAACATGCAAGATATGTTTGGTAATACAATTCTACATATGTGTGTCATAAATAATAGCAATGTTAGTCGACATTTTTATCACTATCGATTGCTGGTTATATTTTTCCTCCGCAGTTGTTCTCGACAACTTGTGATATAATTTGAAGAAACAATGTGTCTCTTATTAAAAGTATCAATTTTAATTTCAAAAGAAATAATCATCTGAATGATTATTTTTAATTTCTTGATAAACAATTTTAGACGATGTATAGTTACGCTGTTCGGCACTGGGCGAAGCCAGCGGATCCAAATATTGTTAATGCAGCTGGATTAACTCCGCTTACACTTGCATCAAAACTTGGGCGAAAAGAAATTTTCGAGGAAATGTTAGAAATTATGAAAGTGGTATGTAAAATTGCTTTTGCTTTCGCAAATTTGCATTTTTTTCAACCGACGAACTCTTTTGTTCTTTCATTTTTTGGACCATCAGCACTATTTCCAAATTTAATTTCGAACTCTTCAGGAATTCTGGCGATTCAGCGATACTACGTGCAGTGCTTATCCTCTGACTGCATTGGACACAATCCGTCCTGATGGTTCAACCAGTAGGCTTTTCTTGTTATATGTTAATTAATAGCTGTCTTAACTAAATTTAAAAATGAAATTTTCACAAATTTACTTTATTTCTTAAAAGCTACATATTATTAAAACTTGATTTTTATTATTTTTATTGATAAAAATTAACAATACGAATCAACAATACTGATCTGATATGAATCAAAAATAATATTTAGTGGAATCTAATTCAACAAAATTAGCAGTAACCAAATGTTTTATAAGCGAAAATCAGGTCTATTTCCTTCTTAAGAGAATTAAATTATCTTTTTTGAGTTCACATGAATAAAGAATATATAAATATAGCGCATGAAATATACATGAAATAACTTGCTTAAAAAGCATTCGTAATAAAGGTTATTGCTGTAATCACGAAAAAATTCATTGATACTATCAAGATTTCAGATTATGATTCTGCTTTGATGACTGTAATTAATGGAAGTACCAGTGAACATTTGGATATGATTGGCAGTGAAGTTATTCAGCGACTTTTAGCCCATAAATGGAAGGCGTTTGCCTCAGTAAGAAAATTCTTATATAATTTTGCTAATTTTATCAGCCACTTTTTTTAACGTTTGGCAGTTTCAGGATGTACAGTTAGGAGATACAGCGATGTAGTTTCTTCTTGGTTAGGGCCCTCGAAATGCTCCTATATTGGTTTTGCTTAGAATTTAGAACTCAAAAAATTTCTTTGAAACCATATCAAAGGCAAATTTACATTGAAACTCGGCTTTTTTAAGGTTTTTTGGCTCTTGGATTACAAATATTTTCCGAAATTTTCCGAATTTCTTTCTAAAATTACGCGAAATAGTCATCATCATGAAACAAGCGTAACATGTTGCCGCGATATACACTTTATTAATTATTTATATGGATCTATAAGTAAAAAACGAGTGCATTTCTAGCACAAATGAATTATTTTTGCATAGCAAAGCTGCCCACTTTTACTTTCTGTGTTTAATGCACAGTTCTTATGGAAAGTAGTAGTAATGCGAAAGATTAGGAAATAATTTTACAGAGCTTTTATTGCCCAACGTAATAATTTAGTTTTATCGCATAAAATTAAAAAGCTAATTTATCGCTTATTAAAATGCGCAAATTTTCAAACAAATTCAACGATTAATTAATTCAGTTGACTTATTCTATTTTATTTATCGCACTTTTAGCAAAAAAAAATTATAAAAATACTTTCCGCCGCATTGCTTGTAAATGCAAATAATCTATCTAGCGAGGATCAATCCAAAGGTTTTTATGTGCCTTTTCAATTTCAGCGTAAATTATTCGAAAGATTAGGTTTATTGGTCATTCACTTGATTTGTTTAACTTTCGTCGTTATTCTGCGTCCAACTGAACTCGAGCGACTCACTTATTCTGAGAATTTGCAGTGGGACGATTGGGTGAGTTTTTTATATTGTTTTCTAAGTTCTTTTTTTTTACTAAATAATTATTTTCCAGGTGCGCCTGTTTTTTGAATTGATGACAATTGTAAACTGCGTTGTTTTCGTGTTCTATCAGCAATCGGGCGAATTGCGAACGCAAGGCTTCTATGGTTACATAAGAAATCTGGTACGATTATTTTGCTGCCGTAATTCGTTAATGATGATGATTATAAGATAATTCAAATTGCATAATTATTTTTTTGTGCTTTCCTCAAAGATGTAAGCGTAGATCAACATATAGCTAATAAAGTGTAGCCGGAGTAATAAAGAAAGTAAGTAAATCCACTCGCAAAGATTTTTTCCTGTTAGTCTTACAATGTACAGTGTGCAATCATTTAATCATGTGAAATGCCCTCATATTATTTTTCTTGCGACTAATTTGATGATTTTATTGTTTTAGAAAACGGCGCCAGCAAAGATTGTTTATCTTGGTGCAAATATTTGCATACTTGCATGCATTCCGTTTCGACTGCTTGGAAATGTTTATGTAGAAGAAGCTTTACTTGTTTTCGCAGTTCCTGGTTCTTGGATATTTTTACTTTTTTTTGCAAGGTTTCTCAACTTCATTCTAATGTCACATATTTATAGATTTGTAGATTTGCGGGAATTCGATACTGAAAAGTTTTTCCATTTGGCCGAATAATTTATAAAAAATTTTAAGAAATGAGTGTTTGAAGTTCGTTTCCAAATTTTTCAAATGCGATTTAGGAGTGCGAAATTAACTGGGCCTTTTGTACAAATGATATATAGCATGATTGCTGGTGATATGATTCGATTTGCTCTTATTTCCGCGATATTTCTTGTCTCATTTTCTCAAGGTGATTTCTTTAAAATATTTCTTTTTCTTTTTAATTATTTAATTATTATTAATTATCTTTAATTTAATTGTTTTTCCTCAATTTAATTCGGCCTAAATTTACTGTTTAAATTTTTAGCCTTAGCGGTTTAGTTAAACAAAATATGAAGAAGAAATGTCATGCATGATTTTGAATTATTTGCAGTTTTCTATTTTCTGGGGAAGGATATGGCTGCCAAGCAGAAATTAGGTGAATCAAATCCGAATTTCTGTTCTGTGACTGGTTATGAAATTTTCACGTATTCTTCTTTCCTCGAAACGTTTATTACGCTTTATCGAGTCAGTATGGGTGGATACGATGTAAGCATACTTTACCACGCATCACGCATTCAATAATATTCAATGTATTGCTTGGAATAAATGTCTATGAAAATTCATAACTTATTTTTAAGAAATATTTTCATCTATTATAGAATTTTTATTAAATAAAAATTTTGTACTTCTAACTTTTATGAAATTAAAATTGGTGGGGAAAAGTGGGAAAAATATTCTTTAAAATAGAAAACAGCGTGATTTTGATTCTAACAATCTGAGCCTTTTTCAGTATGAAGAATTCTTTTGCTCGAACTACGAAGTGCTAAATAAAACTTTATTCCTTCTCTATATGTTTATCATGCCAGTGATGATGATTAATATACTTATTGCTATGATGGGTAACACTTATAAAACAGTTATTGACCAAGCAGAAAAGGCTTGGCGCCAACAGGTCAACACTTTTAAGATCCATTTTTTTTATATTTTCATAGAAAGAGAGTTTTAAAATCAAATATATATGAAATATGAAATAGTTACTCAAATAATATAATAAAATAATAAATCAATAAATTAAAGATAATAAAAAATAAAAAATCAATAAATAATAATAAAAAATAAAATAAAATTAACAAAACGTAAAACTTAATTCCTGCACAACCAAATCGCTTTCTTACCGTTACAAAAAGAATCCTAAAAATGGAAAGTTGTCCACTAATTATACATTGCCTATGTAGCACTTTTATTTAGTTAGATTCATTCTGAGTAGAGAGTTTTAAATAAGTGAAAATAATGTTTAGTATGCTCAAATCGTGATGGTTTTGGAAAGGACAGTTCGTCAAGAGAAATTAGCTGCATGTCAATTAGAATATAGCATGAAATTAAACGAAACGAATGAGTCGGAGGAAATTCGTGGATTGATGGTAATCAAACAGACGAAGAAAACACGTGCTCAACAAAGGAAAAACGCTATAGCTAATTGGAAAGTAAAAAATTTGATTTAAAAAATAACTTATAAAATTTTAATGTTGTGTGTAATTTTCATCGGAAGTTGAAGCTTTAACGATAAGATTTTAAGATTTAAAAGAAAATTTTTATAGAGGATTGGTCGCAATGTGATACACACAATTGAGAAAATGGGTACAGATTACGCGAAGGAATTACTTCATTCCCACGACAGGTTACTCGATGAACCAGCAGTTATGCTTGTTGGAGGAACAGAAACAAGCCAACGCAATGTTGTTGATCATTTAGATAGCGGTTTATGCATAAATGGATATCGAGTGGGTTTTTATTACTATCGCCTTTTCTGCTCTCAGATATTTCTTAATGATTGTTTATAATTTAGAAGTATTCCATTTTTTTTTTTTTCAGCGACTTTCTCAATTGGCTTCCAGAAAACTTGAATCAAAAAGCAGAAATAGTACTGATGAAAAGAATATCCATGAAATAAATGTGTCAGGTCCAGAATCTAGTCACAGTGGTTCTTCACCAAGAGGTGTGCAATTTATTTTTAGTTGGTGATTGATAAAAATCGCCATATCGCTTGTCTTTTTAAAATATTCTTCGTTGAATTCATGAAAGATATTAATTTTTTAAATTCTTTTTACAATTGAAATGGAATGAAATGGAATAGGTTTCAATTCCTTTATTTTTTCTTTATTTTACCAATTTTTTTTGACCTACTAATTTGAAAAATAATTCAGAAGCGATTTCAATTACAGTCAATACCCTTAAAATAGAACGAACTGCAGTAAGAAGATACCTTCCGAATATAAGTGCACCATTCGAAATACCCAATATACCAACAACAGATACTCCTCGAAAAGCTATTTCACCACGTATTCGTGCAGATATGTTCAAAAGGAAAGATAGTCCTGAAACGGGCACAGGTTCCTCTGAAAACAATGGGAACAAGAAGTGAGTCTTATAACAATAACAGTGCAACTCCATCTTTTGCTGTACAAAATCCCTGGTTTGGTCTGGTTTTCTCGGTTATTGGTCATAAGTCGTCTCCGAGCTTCGATCCAAAATCGCTGCCATCCCTTATATTTTAATTTTCATTTTTTTAAAATTTCTACCTTGTTAACGATCACTTTTTGCATTGTATATTAAAAAATAATGCATTTAAAATGATGCATTTTTCACCTATAATTTCAGTAAATTTTTAAGGAGCGATCACGATTCAATGGGAAATCAAACTGTAAAAAATATTTCCATCGAAATAAATCCATGATCGCGCATCGCTACTTTCTTATGCCTCGTTCGCTTCGCTTACAACTTTATAAGAGAAGTAAAAAGAGGGCATTTTTATTTGCACTTCTATTAAAAAACCATTGCTTAATGCTCGAATTGCTCAAATTTTTTTCATCGAATTGTTGATGCATCAAATTTATTTCTTTCTATTGATAAGATAAAATTATTGAGAAAAACGAGTCGTTTGGGATCACTTTTCGAGATTCATTTTGGTTTATATTTGAAATATTAAAAATATTTTATCGATAATTAATAATAAGTTTGGTGCAGCGACAAAAGAAGAATAATCGAATAATTTTATTCGTTTTTTTTTTTAATCAGAATTTCGATATTCAAAAATTTAAAAAATTATAATTTATGTAAAATTAGAAGCCGAATTAAATAATAAATTTGACGGTTCTTATGTGCATTAATAACAAAAGAAATAACAAAAGAATGACACATCGCCAGCTGTTACTTGAATGATACTTCTCTCCCCTTTCTATTACCATAGAGATTTTATAAAAGTAGTAGTTTAGCTCTTAAGCGTAGGGAAGAGGGGGGAGGGGGTAGGTGAAGACTGGGCCTAGATTTAGAAGTACGCTTAGTTTTAGCCTAGTTTTAACATGTAGACTTGGAGCAGGTTTAGCCATTTAGGATTAGTCATGAGCATGGACTTGTTGTTGGAGTCGGTTAAGTTATCGCTTAAGCATGGGGTTAGCTTAGACTCCGGCTTGAACTAGGCTTCGGATTAAATAGCAGGATTATTTACAGAGTTTAATTTAAGTTCATGCTGATGCTTAAGATTTAGTTCATTTGGGCTTTGGCCTATGGTAAGGGTTACAATCGGACTAAAACTGGGGCTTGGATTTGTGGTAAGATTTAGGTAAAGTTAGAAATTGGTGATTTTCAAAACTTGGGGACTTGGACTTGTTTTTAATCTGTCCTTATGATCACACTTAAGCTTCAGTTTAGGCCTATCTTTAATCATCAAATTAGAAGACTTATAGGTTTGGATTTACGCGTACATGGGTATGTGGTTAAGTTTGAAGTGTATGCTTATTCTCAGAACTGAATTTTTATTATAAGCGTTTAGGCCTACAAGCATGAAATTTAGATGATCACATTGCTATTTTTCATCTGGGAAGATAATGGTACAATCTTTTGAAAGCATGATTACAGAGAAAGTGGCTTATTTGCTATATTTTGTTGCATCTCTACAAATCTACAGAAAAAGAAAATGGTTCAATTTTACCAACCTTTGTTTACAGTGTCTCTAGTTTACAGTGTCATCCATGCTGTTTGTCCATGATCCATGTCGGAGAGCGTGGCATGATAAGATTATTAGGAAGTAAACATGGTAGAGGTCTCAAACTCTCTCTCGACCCATTGTTATGCTTGTTATGCTTTATTTCCAAAACCTATTATATTTTCTGTACTTTATAAAGCCTATTAAATATCCGTTTAAAATTGTCTTGTCCTTGCTTTCATCATCTCGAAAATGCAGCAAACATGAAAACAATTCGAAAGGATTTAAAGTAGTATTAGGGGAATTTATGGAAAAATAAAACAAATTTGAAGCGGACGACGCAAATGTGATATAAACTTGAAGACCGAGCATAGTAGGGATCTTTTATACTGGTATTTCATAAATTATGATCTGTTAAAAGTCTGTACAAACATTTCGTAAAGATTTTTTTTTGAAGAACGAAATGATAAATGTGCTCAACAGTGACAAAAGATGAAAGCCAATACAGCAATAAATGTAATTTAAAATAAGCGCACATTTGAAGGCTGTGTGTTATAAAGTTTGCATAGAGTAGTAACAACAAACTTCAACACTAATTTTTCATTCGTTCATATAAAAATAAGAAATTAAAAAATTTAGAAATCCCGTCCAAGAAATTTTAAATATCTGAAATGATCTCTTTCTCTTCTTTTTTTCTTGGCAATAATAAAATTAACAACTTAAAAATATAAATCTACACAACAATAAACAAAGAAATTGAGCAGAAATTTGAAATTGACATAATAAATATCTTTAAATTAATTTTTTTCGTAATTTCAATAGTCGAATTATAATAATTCACCAAAGGAAAGAAAGCTTGAAAAAAAAAAATGGCAAATAATCGAGAGTACCATAAAAGAAATCAGATTTTTAGTAGGACGTGTCCGTTAAGTGGGTACCACAGTCACCTTACATCCACCAAGAAATAAATGAAAAACAAAAAGCCTTAAAAAGAAAAGCCAAAAAATATGATTCAATTTATATGTTACATAGATAAAATAAATTTTCAGTCAAACATGCTAATAAAAGTTCAAAAATTTAATAAATAAATAAAGATTTTCGATAATAAATTCGTAAACATACTTGTTTTTCTCGAACTAATAAAAAAAAATCATTTATAAATCAAAAATATTAAATTTTATTTAACTTACAATATTTAAAAATACTAATAATAAAATTATTTTTCAACAGAAATATTCTTTATTGAAATTGTTAACTAATGGCTCTTCTGAACGATTTGAACTGGAATATGCAGCAACATTCTCATTAGTTTTATAAACGCCATCTGGTCGGCTACGTATCCAACAAATTATCGTCAAAATCAACAAAATTATTGCACAGCCACCAACTATCCCGATTATAGCTGAGAATTTTCATGTTATAATTATTTTTATTTGATAAATAATAAAATTAAATAAGAAAAATAGCTAAAAAATAAGAAAATTTGGGGAATAAAAGGTATTAGAAACGATTAAAAGAAGTGTACAAAAATAAATAGATTAATTAATTTGTGATGAATAAATCATAGATATATAAATCATAAATCATAAAATATAAAATCATAAAATATATAAATCATAAAATCATAAAAATCATAAAAATAATGATAAAAATAATTTATTCAGAAAATAAATAAATAATTTAGAAAAAAACTATTAAAACTTGCACTCACGAGTTAAAATCATCAGCGAAGTTCTTCCGTGAGTTACTATATGAATTCGAATCTCAGATTCTTCATCTGATTCTAAATTGTCATCATCTTCTGGTTGCGGTTCTAATCTGAATTTAAGATGAAATATGAGTTCAATATCTTGGATTGAATAAAACCTTCATGACTGATAAAGTTTAACAATATAGCATTTTATAATCGCTAATAGGCTATACCGAAAATTAATTTGTTTTAAGCCTCATTTTGAAGCAAACAGGCTTAATAAAACATTATCCAACTAAAATAATTCGATGTTGTGCAAAATAAAGAAAGAAAGAAAGAAGGAATAATAGAAATGAAATTAAAAAAATTACAACTGTTGCTCAAACGGACAGCTTCCAAAGCGAATATCTCCTTTGTATGATAAACGAGAAGACGAGGGTTCTTTTAATGGAAAACCACTGCCAATTTGCAAACGAGTAATACATCCAGTAAAATCTGCGATAATACTATCATTAACATTCTGTATGTTTAATAAAAAATAAAAAATAAGTTTACGCAAATACTATTAAAAATATTCAAATATTGTATATTATATATTTATTCAAATATTCAAATCAAAAATATTCAAATCAAATAAGGAATTTTAAACAGACTTTTGTCCAAGAATTTCCATACATTCAATTGTTGGAAGAATGACCAATTGCCAGTAAATGTAAAAGCTTCGAAGTCATTTAACTAAATTTTAATAATTGAAAATAATAATTAAAAATAAAAAAGTAGTAATTAATGTAGTCAACAAATAAACAAATAAAAATAATTATTAAAATCTATTAGTGATTATTGTTTAAAGTTGAATATTAATAAGTTAATCGAGAATAAAAGTGAAGTATTAATAGTTTTAATACCGTTCACTACATACGATATACGACCTACTTTATCAGTGTTTTATCAGTAAGGATACATTTCGTAATTATATGAGAATAAATTTTATGAATAAATTTTGATAAAACACTGGTATAGAGAAGAAAATTATCATAAAAACATTTTTAATAGATGTATAAAGCAGATTTTCAGAAATTATATTTCATAATAAATTTGCTTTTAGATTAATATAAATTTACAAACGTACCAATAAATGAAAACCAGTTTTGTTGGCACAAAATTTTATATCAGCAATTTTGTTTTCATTGAGTTTATGCAAAGGACAAGTTGCTTGCCTTTCAAAAACGAATCCATCAAATACTGATAGTTCCAAATAGCCTAAAAAAATATAATTCATGAAAAAGTTGAAAATGACGAAAAGAAAATCAAATATTTACAAAAAATATTATTGAAAAAATTATTAATGGAAAAATACCATCAGCATTAACTGTTAAGTTGAATTCTGAATCGGCAAATAGAGCGTGTGAATGAATTATAGAAAAATTTGATGAAAAAGTTTGTATAGCGATACGAAAGCATGAAGCTATTTGACCTGGATGTTGCCAGGGGATGGATAATTGCGAGCCAAGTGGTACTAACATGCCAACATCTAAAATGGAATTATATGTCTCTCCATTAATATACAAAGCCATTAAACTCTTTTCATAAAAAATATTTCTAAAGAAAAGCGAGGAAAAAAACCATAAAATGCAAGCAATGAATTTACAATATCAAATAAATCTTAACTTTGTCACATTTTGATCCGATAAACGGCGTATTATTGCAGTCACATTTGAAACTATCGTAATAATCGATGCATAAACCTCCGTTTAAGCAGAAATCAGGCTTGCAAGCACCTTTTTCGCCAATTTCTACTCCCTTTAATATAAAAAATTTATTCTAATTCCTTATTGTTCAAATCCTCCAAATCTACACTTCATGAATTCCTTCCCATTATTTATTTTTCATTATAACTCGAATTTCCATAGTTCTTGTAATTCGGTATAGATATAATTTTTACGAATGATGGCGCTAGAAAATTAAGACATACACTTAAGGCATTTCCATGAATATTTCGAACTATTGATGCTAAGATTAGTTCCTTGCCACATAAATATACATTTCGAATCATTCCCGCATATCCTGAGTATCCACGCAAAGTCCTCGATCCTGAATATTTTGAACGTTGAAGAATGGGGTCTTTTTATCCTAGAAGGATTCACAAAACAAATTAGAACCTATGATCCAATTGTAAACATGTGGAGGAAGAATTCGCAATTCTCTTGAAATTTTTTCATCATCTACGATTAATATCATTTCATATTCATTAACTTCCCAATATACTGAATGCCATACATTATCGTTCCATGAATTTTTGGTCTCGACTTCGAAAACCTTACCACCATTCACAACTTGACCAATGAATTTTCCTCCTAGAAGGAATAAGGAATAACATAAAGAAATTTTTTTTTGATACGAATTTTCTGATAAAATTCTCTACCTGCCACGTATAGTTGAAACCATCGCTGACCATTGTTAGATTCCCATGTAAATACTGTCATTTTCGAATAAGAAAACTTCAACTGCATTGAAACATCAAAAATTGTTGACGTAAATGGCTGTGAACCGGTAAGACGAAAATCCTTGTCGAGAAATGTAAGAGCATCGAAAACTGCTGTAAATATTTAACAATAATTGATCATTTGAATAAATCTGGAAAAAAGACCATATTTATTGATCTCTCGAAGATCTCAATGAAATTACTATGATTAATTCATAATCATTAATTCATAATTCATAACTGAGATATAGGAAAGAACCTAGTGGATGTTCATCTTAGAGTAATTTTCAAGTTAAACTTCTTAACATAACGGTTTCCGAGGAAATAAAAATGAAAGCGGCAAAAAACATTGCAATACAGAAACAAGCCATATGTAATTTATTGAAATATGAAACAGTCAAGCACCCAATGATTAATGAAACAGGTTTAAGAAATGATTAACACAACTATCGGGCAACAACTATCGGTCTGGCTTTAAATCACGAGTTGGAAAACGTGATGAGAAATAAAACATTTTCAAAATTCGTTTACTTCGATGAGAGCACGTAAGCGACCCAATCGTAACATTAATGGACGATTTTTGAGTGGTACCACCGAGATAAAGGTTCATTACTGGAAGCAGTTGTGGGTATCTATTATAACCATCGTCGACTGCATCTTCTCCACTATCACAATTGCACATTCTGCAAAATTTCAGATCATATAGCAAAAAATTCAAATATTCCATCGAATTATCTTAAGCGTTTGAATGAAGATTATTTTTTAAGCTCTTTTATGAAAACAGCTGTAATTTTGCTATAACCGACACATTCAGAATCTTAAACTAAGGAAAGTAACCAGGAACCTATCGTGAATGCATGATGAATTCAAAGCACATGAGCATAATCTTGAATACGGTGGCGCTTCAGCCCATTGTAAACCATGTTGGCCCTTTCTTGTTCCATACCATGAAGAAGGTCGCTTTTCCAATCCATATGTCATCAAATTTGCGCCACCTCTACACTCATAGCGCATATACTGCAGTCAATATAAAATAAAAATTATAAGGAAAAAACAAGAAAAAAACGGACAGACCATTATTTAATGAAGTCGAGTGGAAGACTGCAGTTGAAAAACAAGAAAAAAAAGGTTCCATCATTTTTGAGAAATAGTTTTCATGGAAGTTTGAAAAAGAAAAAATTACCTGTTCACAATCGTCGAAGCCTTCAATAAATCGATCTAACTGATCACCATTCAAACCATATTTAAGGCTTTTTCTTATTGTTCCAGGATCTACACTTCCCGTAATCACAATTCCGGACATGCTCATATCATGGAATAAAGTTGTTTTCACGATATTCGCTGCATGATCATTTTCGTTAATTCTTGAACACAACACTGACGCAGGTTCCAACTGATGTCCACCATCCATATCAATTGTTACATTTTTACTAACAATTTTCGTGTTTTTTGCTAGATATTCTTCACACGAATGAACATTACTGCCTGAATATCATAGACGGGAAAAAAATATTTCATCCGACAATAAAACACTATATAATAATGAAATAAAAATTTATTGAAAAAATCAAGGGACGAATGAAATATTTTAATATAATAATTCCACCAAGAAAAACCACAATTTAAACCATATTTGCCACGAAACATGTTTAGTTAATTGACTTGAATTCAATGTTTAGAGAATTTACAGTTTTTTCTTGAAATTCCAAAACAACTGAACAACTAGGAAGTTAGAGAAATCAAACAATAACTCAGAATCTAAATCAGTTGAAATTTTTAAAGCTAAATCAAAGCTAAATAAATTCAACAACGTCTACGATTCACATGGAAATTAACCATTGAAAACGAGATTTTTCTGATAAAATTGAATTTTATCCATTTAGTTTTTGGTGCTTTCAGTGATTGCAATCGCTTAAAAAATCCTTATCATATCAAAAAGCTTCGTTATTCCCCACAAATATGGAACTTCTTTTATAAGATAACTTACTGGCATGGCACAGCCTTCCATAATAACCTTTTTCACATTTACACTGGAAATCATTCAGTAAAGTCTGTTTGCAAATCGCGCCATTTTCACACGGATTTGGCACACATCTGAAATATTTTACTTGTCCATACTAAAACGCAACGTTCATCTATGCGCAAAAGAGGGAAAACCTATTGCTCCCTTCAATTTGCCTAAACAAATTTGTTTTCGCTATTTTAATACGTCGTTTTCGCATGAGAAATTGTGGCTAACGAATTTCTTCAATAAGTTTCATTAATATTAAAAATCAATTCTTAAATGCTTTAATCCTTCCTCACTAACATAAATATTTGACGAATTATTTCTAAAACATTTTTGCAATAAACATAAACAAATTGGATTTACTCTATAAATTATGTTATAAATTAATTTAAATTGGCCTCAAGATTATTGCTTTGGCATTAAAATTTTAAAACAAACTTTTCTCGATATTCACACAGATCAAGTGAGACATTACCAACGATATCGACAGATCTAAAAAATACAGTAGCTGAACGATAGCATCCAACAGCGGATAAGTGAAAAGTAGCTAGCTTTTTAGCGATTGTTTTTACCATTGCTCCTTCTAGCCAAAGAACAGTTAAACTATCAACGTCAATATGTAAGCGTGCTCCCCATATCATTAACGACATTGTATGCCAAGAACCATCACAAACTCGAATCGCTGGAAGATTTAAGGCAATTATTATTTATAATAAAATATATTAACCACACTTTTTTTTAAAATGGCAACTTCTTTAATGTTTTCGAAAAAATATGCGGCAAACCACAGAAAATAATTTTTTCCAAACATTGGAAATAAGTAAAATACTTTTTTATATTTGGAAAAAAGTGGGCTAAAAAATAAAAAATAATAATAAAAGATAGAAAACAAATTCAACACAAATTCTACACTTTACAATAAATCGCATAAACTAATCAAAGTTTAAAATAATTAATAATTCAAATGCGACAGCAAAACCATTTTTATTAGGAATTTAATTATTATTGCAATGACAAGCAAACTAATGAGTATAAAAATAATTTTTAAATCATCTCTGCTAAGTTTCATTAAAAAATTCAATAGACTTATTTTAAAAATTATTTTTCGGAAACTTAACCGCTTTACTTTATTTTCAAGTTTATTTTTATTTTATAGATAATTTTATTAATTAATTTGATTTTATGAAGTTAAAACATTTCAGAAACAAAAGCGTTTCACTTAATTATTACTACTTGCTATTCTTCCAACAAAAATAACAATTTTCGACAAAAAAGCGTAAAAAATCTGGTGGAAAATAATTTTCATATTGCTTTATTTTGGTATTTAAAAAAAAAATAATTTAGTTTAAATTAAAAAATAAAGAACTAACTGAACATTTCTTTATAAGTAATAGAAGAAATACCTGGGTAGGCGACTTGTTTAATATTTGCCTGATCAACAAAAAGTGTCAGATGTCCGAAATCATCGAGAGCTATGTAAAGAAGAGTGTCATTCTGATTATCACTTAATAATAGGACAGTTGACTTCTCTTGTAATAAACGAAATTCGATAGAAAATGGTAGAAAAGAAAAAGGAATTGATACATATCCGCCTTTTGATATGGTCATCAACTGTGGTCTGGGTATCTAAAACAGGAATTTGAAATCTTTCTCTTATTTAGTCAAATTTTATTCAAATTTGATGAAAGAATTTTTACTCATAGGAATACCTGGCAATCTCTTTTATAGTCTTCAGGCAATTTCGCTAATAAATCCACATTATTTAAAGTGACCTTGGCAAGGCATCCATGATATGTCGTTTCTATTCCAGTACTTATATCATCAGGCGGCCTACCAGCAATATGAATCTGCAAGTTTATTAATTATGAAAACCGTTCGATTACTATAAAAAGGAGCAATGGATCCGACAAATGATTTAATTGAATGGTACTATTGTCAATTAAAAACAATGCTAATAACCTTGATGTCAAAATCTAATTTCCTATATAATCCCGTTGGAATGGTTGAATTCATCATAACTCCATCGATAAACAATAATACTGAATCAAACTGATGAACCCATTTCATTCGATGCCACTCGCCGTCATTCAGTGCGATACCACCAGAAATTATTAAAGGTGATAACGAACCTAAATGATTGAAGCAAATAAGATATTTTAAATATTCTGCATATTTGGTTGATTCTTTATTCTTGTTTTGTTATTTCCAGTAAAGTTTATTTAATTTTAAGGACTTTGTTCTTAATAAATTTACTAAAATTTTGTAAAAAAACCATCAAAAAAATAAATACCAAAATCAAAAATCACGTGGATTTTTCCTCCAACGATTTGTGCGATAAGTAAATCTCCTTGATCAGCCATTGAAAATAAAAAAATTCCATTTTCGAATGTTCTAAATATAATATCGAGATCGTTTTCATACATCGATGCTATTCCAGCTTTATATGTGTCCACTGTGAATAATTTATCATCAAAATATGAGACTGGAGTATCTGAAGATTAAATATTCATAGTTAAGGCTTTTTGAAAGGATATTAGATCAGAAAAAACTTGAAGGAATTTTAGGAAAATAGGACCGAAAATAAAATTTTTTCTTATAAAAGGCATTAATTTTGAGAAATATGCTTGAATAATTACCATATTTGCAGGCATTTATCATTATTAAAGGATTATTCAAATTGTTATTTAGTTCATAGACGGGTGTAACATAAATTCTCCTTGCAAGTTCATCCAAATTTAGCCACTCAGCTGCTGAAGGCGTTAACGATGAATAAATTACCTACCAAAGAAAATATTTTTTACCATGATGAATAAGTTCATTTACTATCATTTTTTTCAACGAAAAAATTTTTCTTTAAATTGATGAAAAATTCACTATGTTCAGTACCTTTAAGAAATGTTTATCTAAAAATTTTTCCTACAGGAAAAAATTACCAATGGTGAACCATTCGATGATCGCAGCTGACTTCGAATCCTTTGATCATCACTAATTTCAATAAATACATGGTACACAGTCAATGGAGAAATAACAGCGATCCTTCGCAACACATAAATGGAATCGAATTCCACGGTCAGCGAAGAAAAACTAAGTTCTTTGCAATCATCTGCATTAACTGAAAACCAAAAGTTGAAATTGAATACGGTCAGATAATAAGCAAAAAATTTGTTAAATATTATATCAAAAAATAATTCTGCAAGAAAAGATTGCTCCTTCGAATATTTCACATTTAATTTCTTCCATAAACTAGCAGAATCAGATTCCCTTACAGTAGATTTAATAGAGGATAGAATCACAGGTGATTCCGCAGCATCACTCGAATTCCACTTTCAGCGATAGATTTACTTAAATCAGCATACATTCGACCACACTATTCACAAAGAGGAAACTAAAGATGCTTTAAAAAAACAAAATTTTATCACTGAATTTTTGATAATAGGAAACTGGTTTTCAAACAGTTCGCTTCTATTCTTTTTTATTCTTTTTCCATTTTTCTTACAACGTTCACCATTTCCGGTTAGACTCACTCTGCTGGCTCGATAATTTAACCAGATCAATTTTGCTAACGAGTCATTTTGGCGACAAAAATTAGGTAGCTAGTATCACTCAATTTCAGAAGACAGACAAACAGCAATACTTAATAACACTTTACTAACAAAACGCGTTCACTCTTGGGAATAGAACTCCACCATCGGCGCCTCGAAATGATAATAATAACCCACTGAACTATTATTTTTTTATCGCCTTTTTAGGTTTAAAAAAATAGAAAATTTTAATCTTGAATAAATAAAACACTGCAACCAAGAAAGGAAAGAAAAAAAGAAACTGAAAAAACCAAATTCAATATCAGTGAAAAGTGATACCTTGAATAACTGATAAAGCACTTAGCATTAATGATACAGTAAAAGCGATAATATCCATATTATTTTTGCATTGATAATTTATAATTTAATAATACTTCATCAATAAAACAATTTCAAAATTAACAATCGCTGTGCGAATTTTTTAAAATCCAAAAAAACGATTTCATTAATTAACGAAATCTCGTTTGATCTAAATCACAATTCTAGAAAAATTAGTAAAATAAATAGTTTTGGCAGTAAAAAAAATTATTCAAATTTAATTATTATTCAAATTTTTTCACCTATAATTTAAATGATGTTTAACTTAAAAACGAGAATCAATAATACATATCCGAAAGATAGAAAAGCCAAAATGAATATAATAATAATGTGCGTTTATTGATGGATAAAATGAAGTGGAGTGTTGTTGTTGGTCAAATCATTTGCGAACGGGAATCGATAATAATAACAATGATGACACCGAATGACCTTTTGACCTTTGCCTTAATACCGCATATGCCATTCGAGTCATTCATAAAGAGAATTATCGTTTTACAAAGTAAATTTTTCTAATGAAATAGATTCGGGATTAATGGCATTTGTTGGATTTCTTCTATATAACCAGCTGTTTTATTTCTCATTCCCGTACTTTCAACTGTTTAACTCTTTCTCTCATCGTTCTTTGGATACGAATCTCAATTCTTTTATTTCTGTATATGGCCAATAATATTGATCGCTTTCAATTCATATATTTAAAATTATATTCAATATTTGAATTTATAATTTATTAATAAAATTTATTTAAAAAAATTAAATTTGTAAAATTTGAGTTGAATGGAATGAATATCTTTGTGAACAAAGGCGCATATTGCATTTTGTCTAACTATTCTTACTTTTCCCGAGTTTTTAGAAAGGATACGTACAAAATAGTGCCGCTAATTAAATGAATTAACGCAATTAAAATTAAAATTAAGTTAAAATTCTTAAAATCTATAAAGTAATAATTACGTTGCGAAAAATAAATGAGTGTAGAATGAAGGAGAAATTTTCGAGGAAATTAATCTCCTCATGAGTGGACTTCTTAATGTTAAATGATATCAAGAAAATTAATTGGATACAAAATGGAGTGCAAAAGAAGAAAAGATCGCTATTAAAATTTTTTGATATGATTCGCATTGCATGACAAATGTTTCATGACAAAATAGTCGAACAGCAGCAAGCTAAATGAAAATTTTTGCCTGAAGATAAGCCAAAATCAATGTGCATCGTATACTAACTGCTACTGAGAGAACGAATCAATGCCTTTTTTCATTCCGTAACTTTAACAATGTTTTTTCAAGGTAATTTTTTCGCTGAAATTACTTCTAAATAAATGGAAATTTATGCTAAGAAAGGAAATTTTTTTATTTAATTTATATTAGAAAAATTTGCTTAAAATAGCTAATTAGTAAGTTCGATTTATATTTATATCGAGAAAAATGAAAATGATCGAGTGAACCAACCTAATTTAATTCATTCTGCCAGCATCTTTAATTTTTATAATGGAATTTTCAGTTTTTAAGTGAAATTCAATTCAGAATGCTTACTTTCGCTGAAATGAAGGGAATTTAATAAAGTTTATTTCAATAAAATCTATAAAATGAACCTTTAAATTCCTTAAAAGAATTTAAATTGGATCCTTCACGCAGATTTCTCTTCAAGGCTCTTCAATTATCACAAATTTGATTTGTTAAAAATCCAATTTTTTACTAATTTGTAAAACATTACATCCTTAATTAAACTTCATTTCTTCTCGATTAATTTCTCTTCCATATTTTTCTTTCCAGAAATTTTCATTTTCCATGATTTTGATTGACATATTTGCATAAAAATAATTCTTTCGTTTTCGGAGAAAAAAAGGATGCATAAAGCTTAATTCCTAAATAAAATTTAATCCCTTAAAGAAACTTTATTTATTTTATAATTTTTCATTTTATATAATTAATATTGTGAGATGTTTAGTCATAAAAATAGAATTTATTTCTTTTTTGATAATTTAAAATGTTCTTTTTTTGTTCTAATAATTGCATCAGTACAACAGTACAATATTTATAAATAAAATCTTCATACTTTTGTACAAATAAGAAGAAAAAATTTACAATTTTTAATGATAAAAAATGATAAAAATTTCCATTATCATTTCTATTATCACATTGATAAAAAATGTATATTTAAGGGCAAACGATTTGTCTTAAAGTATAAAAAAAGCATACATTGTTCAGATAATTCAAAACACTGCAACTTGCATTAATTTTCAAAAAATTTAAATTAAATTTAAAAAATTTAGAGAGGATTTAGAAAGAATTAATTTAAATTAAAAGGAAAATATCTATATAAGATTTACAAGATTGATGAAATTACCATTCTTTTCGAAATAGAAAAAAACATTTTTTTGTAGATTATTTAACATAGAATATGATCTATATACTCAGAATTATAAGTAGAGAAAAGTGGTTAATGCTCATCATTTCTGGTGGTTAGACTAGCTGTTAGTGTGATGGAATTTTTGTGTATAATTCACTCGGAAATAGAAATATAGATGAATCCCAAGTACCCCAATTTTTTTAATGACTTATTTATTCCTATCGAATGCAAAGTTTGAGCGCTGAGATAATGATCTCAGCAATAACACTCGGCTATCCTGGCCCCTCCACAAGATTGCGCTGAAATAAATCAATGGGAATCTGGAAAATGGATAGAAGATTAATGTAATTTAATGGGGCTGATTTTTGAAAAAATTGCTTGTGATTAAATTTCAAAAACATTGTTCATTTCAGTGAAACTTGTTAAGTAACCTTCTTTAGAGCGAAAAGGCAAAATTCCAAATTGAGTAAAATCCAAGGGGAAGTAAGATTAATTTGTTTATTCAAAGATACTCGCGTCTTTTTGGATTGCTTCTCGTCGTTCACATCGGGTCAAATATTCACAGTAGCAACAACTAAGGCATAGAATTATGAGCTGAAACATAAAAATTTTAAATTTTATTAAAAATTATGACCAATCATAGATATGGCTTAATGGGTCAAAATATCCCATTTCCCAACATTAAAGGGAACACTAATCCTTTCCTAGTTAAAATCCTAGAAGGAATTATTTTGAAGAGATTTACTTTGAAATTGCGATCTTAAACAGTTGTTAATATTAGCACTATTTCATTTTTCCCTTTTTTCATTTATTTTGCATTTTATTTCTTTTCTATACACTCCATTTCGATTTTTCCATTTACCTTCAACCGACCTGTTCTCACTATGTGGCAAACAGCACTAATGCACTAAACGGCTTTTTGCTTAGTTTTGGCCTATATTTTAAAAAATGTAAAATAAGGCCAAATAAGAAAGGAAATTAAAAAAAAATTGATTTAAGTTGAAGAAATAATTAATATTTGACTAAAAAGAAAGTATAAACAGAAATGAAATAAAGATGGTGATTTTTTCAAAAATTTCTCGATCTAATTTAATTTGTGAGAGGAAATGATAAGTAATTGGCGAAAATTGATAATAGATTTGATAATATAATTTCTTGCGAAATTGCAAAATTATTAGATGTAAATCGAAAGAAATTTAGTACTTTAAAAACGGCCTTTTATATCAAATTAATCCAGAAATATAAACGAAATCCTTAAAAATATTCAAATTTTATCGAAAAAATATAAAAAAACAATAAAAAATTGCTAATCTTATTAATTTATTTAATACTGTTTCAATATTTTATTTTTTATTTTATAATTCTCGAATATAAAAAGGTTAAATAATAATTCTCTATTCTCCACAAAAATAAAATTTTATTTTTTTATCGTAAAAAGAAAATAAAAAAGAGAAAATTGGTAGAAATTTATTTGCTAAGTAATTCAGCAAACTTTTTTCAAAAGCGATAGCAAATATCAGCAAAGAAATAATAATAAGAAATTTCAGATTTTTTAGGAGAGCAATTCTAAAGAATTTTTATTCAAAATATTGCATTATTTATCAATAATAAAGCGATTAATCAGTTTCATTGAGTCATTTGTCGATTCTTTTTTTTGTACTTCTTTTATTATTAATATTTACTTATAGTTTTCCACTGAAAATAAATCGGCCAAAAATATAAATTTGCAAATTTAAAGTTTTATTACTATAAATAAGAGTAATCTTATTTACTTTTAATCACTAATTATATATTCAATTAAATTTTAAATTTTTTCAATGTCTTCAATTAAATTTTAAATTTAAAGGAAGAGGATTTTTCTATTTAAATATATATTGGGAGTGCCGATGCTGATGTTCGATTTCCCTCAGGAGTAAACCTGCACAAATTCCGGGTAATACTGGCGACTCACCTGTATTTCTATAGCCAAGGTACTCCCTGGCATATTACCCATATGCTGCGGTTCTATTCCCCATTGGGAAAAGCTTGTTGGAAAAATTCGAGTGATGCTGACATATACCACTAATATATATATATATATATATATATAATAAACAAGGCAAAAAAGCATTATGTTACCAAAAAATAGAAACAATAGTTTTAAATATCTAAAATCTCTATATTAACGAAATATCTAAAATCTCTATATTAATCTCTATATTAACGAAATGAATGGAAAATGAAAAAAAAAAATGAAGAAATATGATTTAATATAAAATAAAAAGTTTAAAATATGTAATTAAAAATTTTTGTATTTTATTATTTTATAATGCAAAGATGATTTTACTGAACTGAAATTACTCAACGAGATAGTTGTCCTCACGCAAAGCGGAAGCTTTAATTACTTAAGGCTTTGATTATGTAAAGCTTTAAAAATATTCAATTGCATTAATTATGCATGAGAAAAGATGATCAGATATTTCAATCAAAAATTAATTATTAATAAATTATTAATAAATATTAAAGATTAATATTAATTAATATTAAATTAGATTTTTTTTTCTGGTTAATGCCTACCTCGAAGACGAAAAATATCGCCAAGAAAATAAATAGGGAATGCTCAGCGTCGTAAAGCAATTTCATTTCGCCATCACATTTGGAATTAATACATCCAGGAATACTATAATTATCATTTGA